ACAAAGAACAGAACACACACGTGCACGCTCACACACATGCACGCACGCACGCACGCACGCACGCACACACACACACACACACACACACACACACACACACACACAATGTAGATCATATATATATGTATACACACGTTGCTTCCATCCAAACAATATGATATATAGAAAAACATAAAGGGATGAGGATGAAGAAACAAGAAGCAGGTTACCGAAGCTGTCTTGCCGTTCCTCCAACCGCCGTATGGTAGAGCGTACTTTTCTGAACGTCATTGTTGCTCCGTGGCCCCGGGCATTCTGGTCGGCAGATACTGTGTCTTGTGTGTATACGCGTCTAACGCAGTGATTGACCTGTCACATATGTACTAGTTGGTTGTTAAACAATTAAAATCGCATCAGACAGGAGAGATATTGCCATATGAAAGGACTGTTCCCACACGAAAGGTAGCCCCAAATGGCCTGCGGTCTTCAAATTGGCTTGCGGTCTTTAATTAAAACTGTGGCTTCTTTATACAATTCATGTCCCTTCCTGTGAAATTTTAAATTTTTTTCTTATTATCAGAGTTAGGAAACAACTTAAAAGTTGTTTCCTAACTCTGGAAAGGAAAGTTGTTTCCTAACTCTGGTTAGGAAACAACTTAAAAGTTGTTTCCTAACTCTGATAATAAGAGGCGGTCTTTATCCACAAATCTAGAGAGGACATGCCCTGGTATTTGTTCCGCGTTAAAGTCGCGGCACGAACAGATCGTTGAAATTATGATCGCATCACTTTTGACCGGCGTCAGCGCTATAAGGGCTACTCCAATGTTTTCTATGAAGGGGGCGGAGTGAAGCCTTTAAACTTTTTTTATTGAACCATACGGTAGATGCTAGGCTTTACTGAAGCTTCGGTTGTTAATAATTGCATGTTGCTTCATTTCAAGTGGAAGGAATACGGATAGACAGATCAGCATTTGCTAACCCCACTTAAGTTCGGTGGTGGTCCCGAGTGACTCAAAACAAAAGGGGTCGCGTCGACCGAAATGGGCGTTCCCCGTTTACCCGTGTGTCAGCTAGGCTGCCTTTCATTGTAGTAATATAAGTGGTTGGCGTAGGGGATAAACATCGTGAATAAATGAATTGACAAAATTTGACATATCCAAACAGAGTTTGTGGGCGGAGGAATTTTTATACTCGCGTATCGCTATATCTGTATTGTAGCGTAAGCGAAAATATGCGAACAAGTGTGTGAAGTTGCATTTCTCTTCATTGCAGTACTCTAGAATTCATTTTGTCTGAATGCTAAACGTTATGATTACGACATATATAATTTGCTTTACGCTAAGTAGTGCAGCAAGATCGTCGGGGCTTTCAACCACTGTACTACAAGGGACAGTGCCAGGAAGTCAAAAGGGGTAGGCAGAGAAAGAGGTGGGAAGACAATATAAATCATATAAGAGCGGCGGAGGACAGAGTTAAATGGAGGACGATAGTGAACCAAGTCGTGGTGCCTCAAGAAGGACAAGGGATAGGTGAGGTGAGTTGAGGAGTGCAGCAACGCATACTTACATTTTCTGTAGTTACCAATCGCATTTTAGATAGCCTGATAACGTTAGAGAATTTCTCATTATCTATCTTACTAAGTAATCCTGAATTACGTAAAGGTATGTGGACGGGTTGGCCAGTATACGTACATACGCAACTTGTACATAGGAAAGAATGTTAGCTATTCGTAGCAATCTCGTTTGGGGAAGGTTCTTTTCCTTGATAGTTTCCATATGGCACCCGCATTCCTGGAGTGAGCTGTGTAACACGATGCGCTTTTTCTGTTGGTTCTGAGTAAACAGTTAATGTGGAGAGACCCCGCCGTGTCACAAGGGTCTCTAATGAGACGGGCGGTGCTTGGAGAGAAGACAAATGTGTGCGGCACACTTTTTCGTTTGTATGCGATTAATAATAGATACGTTTGTCTGCGATCTTGTAAAAGTTTGACGCAGCAGCTGTTGAACATTTCTTTGCAAAATATTTGTAAAATATTTGTGAAAACAGCTTTTAGTGCTATGAAAAGGATATTATGTTCTTGTAATAAGGTCTTAAAACATTTATATTTTGTTTAACTTTTAGTTGCGTCTTCTCTCCAGATGTCATGAAAATAGTTATGTTTACCTTCCAAGTTAACACTCCCCCCCCTTTACTGTTTTCCTCTAGCCTATTGAAAAGTAGTGTCTTTTCTTCTCAAACTTAGTGCAGCTGTCGTGATGTAAAGTTGCCTCAGTGAAGGATGAAAGAAAGCATGTACGTCACTGTTCACCCAAGGAGGTTAGAGATCGTTAGAGACTCTACCCTTCGGTTTGCCTATGTGGTCAGCTGCCGGTGGAACAACTTCAGCAATTGCAAAACCCAAACCTCTGCTTGGAGAGTAATACACGTGAGCCAGAATGTCAAGGAAGATGTGAAGATGTCAAGGAAAATTGCTGCTGTGATTGCATAACCTTCCTAAAGGTTGCTTTGTAGATTTCCCAAGATTGCTTGTCCGAAATTACGATTCCAACCGTCGAAATACGCGTCTTACAGTCGGCTGTATATCTGCTAAGTCGAGTACTGCAGTTGTTCCCGACTGAATTCTTGCCGACGATTTTTCAGCCCCGGGCGGCTTGCGCCATGACAACTATTCTAATGAAAGCCACAAGGTCAAAACTGTATCACACACATGTACACGAGGTCGGCTACTGTTAGAAGGCCGGCCTAGCCTTCGGGAAACAATATAACCAAACTGGCAGGAGTACGTGGTCCAATAAAGATAGATGCCTTGGTCATGATGTAAAAGGAAGATAAAAGAAGCAGCGCGGATCGTACAACAGCGTAAAAAATGGTTGACCTACTTTCGCACAGGTTCATGTAATTCAGTTCACGATCGATATTAATGGGAATTTAAGCTATTCTGTAAGAAGTCTTTAGTTATATATGTAGCCAGGGGAATATTATTTATGGTGTTGGGCATACATTATTAATGTGTAGGTTTGGGCAAATAAAAATCCATTCATGATAAATTATTAGGATATAATCGTAACACTTCTTTTCGGCAAAATAGTGGCTGCTTGCTTTGTGGTGAAGCTCAAATTACGTTTAAAAATCAGCGGTATATTAAGGTACTCTCCAAGCAGAGGTTGGTGGAGAAGATTGTAATACCTTTCTATTATATCTGTTGCCAACCTCTGTCGCCCAGCGGAGGCTCAAAGGACACGGGGAGGGGTAGTTGTTTCTGAGAAATGGAGGAGAGTGGTGACGGAAAACGAGGCAAATCATAGAAAGGCCGCCCACCCATCTTCCCCCACCGACCTCTGCTTGTCTTGGAGAGTATATTTAGGTCGTTACAGTCAACTGTGCTTGCAATAAACTACAGCGCGCTACGTAGCAATTGGAGCGTGGCTCCTAATCTCCACGCAGATTTTGGTGGCGAAAATTGGAAACCGGTGACCCCATTTCACTACTGGGAACACGCAAACGTTGGATGAGTGTTAAAAAAAAAGAGAAGTAGAAAACAACAAAATCAACAACAACACACACACAATACAACAGTAGCAAGAACATTTAATGATTATCCTATCCAAACATCTGCTTGGAGATTACGTCATCTACATGTATGTCACATAGAGATATTGACCCATTCGGTTATTGACCTCATCGGAGCGCACCCTCTGTAATACCATCCACATCTAAAGAATGTCGATCAAGCCAAGTAGGGCACGTTGTTTTGCCTGGTCAAAACAATAGGGTTCACAGTAAAATACACCCAACTCTTCTGATCATGTTTAACGTTTTGTGGCTTATTTTGTTGGAACATGTATTTTTCTTCCAGGTAACTTGACATTTTTGTCAGAAAAAGTAAAAAAGAAGACATGATTTTTTAAAATAACAATATATGTATATTTACTTTATCATATAATGTGTGTGTGTGTGTGTGTGTGTGTGTGTGTGTGTGTGTGTGTGTGTGTGTGTGTGTATGCATCAAACACTATATGGGATTTATACATGTTTTTATTGTATTTATACAGAACAAGGTTTAATAAGGGGTATTAGAAGGCTAAGTCTCCTTTTTTTGGGTCGGTAGCTAAGCAGAGAACACAAACAACATAGTTGGAGAAGAATCAGGCACTCAGTCTCAAGCCTTTTCATCCTCAACAACAATTTTGCAGTTTAAACACATTAAGGTGCTCAACCAATCAGAGCAGCTGTTTTAAAAAAACATGGAGATTCTAGGTTAAGTGGTACTTACGACCCTGCTCATTGTTATGAAGATTTTAATTCGCAGTTGAAATAATTCTGTGCTACATTAGCGACACGCTTTGTGGTGTCATGAATTCACAGTGGAGAGATTACTAGTACCACAAAGATTTTATGAAAATAAAACCACCCCCAAAGTATCTGCTCTTACAGTACTCGGTAAGACCTTGCCCTTAAGAGTACACACGCACACAGCCTCACCGGTACATACCGGTACATGCGTGACACCGCTCTGGTGGTCTCAGACCCGTCATGCCCTCATTCCCCCAACGGTCGGGTTACACGACTTTTAAAGATATTAGTGTCCTCACTGTAAGCAACTTAACAAAATGGGCCTAACCTTGTTCAGGGCGATGAGGGAACATGTTCAAAGGGGATAAAGGCACTTTATGCAGTGGCTAATTTGTTTATGAAAGTTAGCCTCAAATACACTACATTCTACCGAACTACTACCGATTGCTAGTTAATGAACCACTGTTAACTTGATACAACAGTTGGCCTCTTATCTAACATATGTGATCAAGCAGTAACATGTAGTTTCAGTCCACAGTGAACCAGTTATAATTTACCTGATGAAGATGACAGACGGTCATAGAAATATTATGTCTTGTTAAACAGGTGGTTGTGAATAAAGAGCATAAATTTTTCTATTCGATCATTCACCAACCCGATGAAACTATTCATGGTATGTCGACATAGGTATAACTTATGGCTAACCCTCACTTTTTTTTCAATCACAGGAGATTGTTGGAAACCCAGAGTTCATCGATGCATCAGAGGGAGCAAGCCGATTTGACGTCTGCCAGGGATGTGTGGGTAAGTCTCAGAAGTATCCTCTTCTCTCTTTTTGTGATACACGAAGAAATAGATTCAAGATTTCAGACTGCAATCCTCGTCTTCCTGAATTCCTCCATGCTGACCACTGATTTTCAATGATATTAACTTCAATGTAGGGACTAGCATTGTGTTCCCATTTTGGGGCCTTCACTGCACAACACAATGGTGACATCTGCAGCCCTGTAGGGGTAGTCTTGTATATTGACAATGTGGCGTTGTCAATTACCTATCATAACAACATAAAACTGCAACATTTATTTATTTCTCTTGATCGCAGGTGATTGCTGGATGTTGGCTGCCACGGCCACCCTGGCCCAGAAGCCGTACTTGTTCAACAGAGTTTGCTGCGGGGACAACTCGTATCAGGACGACTACTGCGGCGTGTTTCACTTCCGCTTCTGGCAGTACGGAGAGTACGTAGTGCAACCAGAGCTGTTTTTTTTACCATTACAAAGAAGGTTACATTTTTGGCGGTGCTTTTATGTACATGTATGTCTGGACGAGAGAGTGTAGTCGATGATGTGTGGATGTATTGTCTCAAAACTCGGTAGGTGGGTAGGTCTCGGGTCCCTCGGCGGCTTGTTACAGTAACTGCAGAAGGACTTAAGGTTTTGATTTTTATCTCATGATCTGGACATGCTAGGGTCATGGATTTCGGATATGGTGATTGTCGACCATATCCCCATGGGTAACAGATTTTGGATGGTAGATATTTCTTGTAAGTAAGTAATGATAGTTCTTGTGCTTGGGTAGAAATGCTGGGAAGAAAGTTTCATCATGACCACTTACGCTGAATGTTGTTCCTTCAGGTGGGTTGATGTGGTGATTGATGACCGTATCCCCATGGTGGTGTTTGACTGGGGCGACCCGCAGTACTTCAGTCTCCACTCCAACGACAAGAACGAGTTCTGGAGCGCTCTCCTGGAGAAGGCTTACGCTAAGTAAGTTCAACAACAGTGTCTATATGGAATGTGCCATAATCAAGAATGAAAGTTGTAGGATTTTGATGTTGTAGAAAAAAATACTAGTAGCAAGGAGCATAGAAGTCACTGTCAGACTTTACCATATATAATGTTATGTAACAAGTTGCTTGAGTAACTGTTTATTGACGTGTCTTATTACCTGGATGTCTAACCTTCACCGACGCATTGAAATGATGCATTCAGACAGCTGAAATTTGCAGTACTAGTCTGTACGATACATGGATGACTTTTCCAAGAATGCCCTCAGACCAATGTACTAGGCTCCTCAACATGTACATACACGTATGAAATTAAATTTTTACCTCAGGAATTCAGGAAGCCAAGGATTGCATGTTTCCTTGAAGATCACTGAATTTTTGTTTTTTTTAGTCTAAAATACTTTTTATTACGTGGAATAGCAGCAACTTTCATATACTAAAACTTTACATGATCATTTAAGAACATATTTACACGTTCTTATTTTTTCTAAGGCTGCATGGCTCCTACGAGTCTCTGGAGGGAGGTCACACCAGCGATGCTCTGGTTGACTTCACAGGCGGGATGACTGAGAGGTACGACACCACCGACCCAGACAAGCTACCCGGCAACCTCTACAAGATCCTGCAGAAGGCCTTCGAGAGGGGGTCCACCATGGGATGCAGCGGCATCAAGGTATGTAGAGGGTAAATGCAGCTATCAATGAAAATATGTAGGGAGGGAGGGGGCTACAGGTATACTTATAGACAGTCTGAATGTTATAGAGTTATCAGCCTCTTCAAGATCCTGCAGAAGGCCTTTGAGAGGGGCTCCACCATGGGATGTAGTGGCATCAAGGTAAAGGGTTCATGCAGATATCAGTGACAATCTGTAGGGAGGGAGGGGGGTCATGTGTTGAGCTGCATGTCTACTACACGTGGAGGTAGTCTGACTGTTACAGAGTTATCAGCCTCTACAAGATCCTGCAGAAGGCCTTCGAGAGGGGATCCACCATGGGATGCAGCGGGATCAAGGTAAAGGGCTCATGCAGCTACCAGTGAAAATCTGGGTGGTGTCCATTGATCATGAACACCATCACTGAACTACAGCTGCCAGTTAGACCAAGGAAGACCTGGATGGCGGGTAGAGAGATGGCCTTGCCAGTGTGGACCTGCTGGACAGAACTGTTCGGAAATATGGTGTGAAGATTATAGCCAACTAGCAGCAGTATAATCAAAGAGGTCAAAGGTCTCAGATGCAGAGTGGGGCCATGAGACATCAGCAATTAGAGGTCAACATGAAGGAATTTAAAAAGCCAAGGATTGCATATTTTACCCAAAGTCTGCAATTTTGATTTTATTACGATCCACAATTCAGCTTGACATCTCAGCTATATATTCTCCCTGTGGTCCTCCGGATTCTTGTTATGTTTTAAGATCTAATGTTTTGGTGTTGACTTCTACAGGGAGGTTCTGCGGGTCTGGAGGCAATCCAGGACAACGGTCTGGTCCAGCAGCATGCCTACAGCATCACCGGGTTCGCAGAGGTGGGTCAAAGGTTATAGTCCTGATGTTGCACCCTTCTGTAACTGGGATGTTCTATGATATCATCAGTGTTCACTGTATAAAGTTGTGCCCTATTATAATGGGCATAAATGCAATAGATCTCCTGACTTGTCCATTAAATTTCTAGGGGCCTGACCAGTTGAAAGAATCATAATGTAGTTACACTGACTATTGTCATTTTGTAAGTAAATGTCAAGACTGTGTCAAATATGTTTTTTTACATTCTTAGTCTCCTTTCAAAGAAAGAAGACCCAAGATGTAGACTTACATGTGTATCATGTACATCTCTTTCTCCTCATGTTCCTTAGGTTGAGGGAACTCCACTGGTCCGTATCCGGAACCCGTGGGGCAAGACTGAATGGAAGGGTCCGTGGGGAGACCAGTAAGTGCTTCGTGTTCACTCCAGTACAATAGAGAATGATGACAGCAATACCATATATTGGTAGAAACATTGTCAAATTTGGACAGCAAAGCAATTATTCATTTACAGATAGAAATCTGCACGCATGGTCACCATAATATAAGTTTAAAAAATGTATGTGCTGACATATCAACTTGAAATCTATGATAATTATTTGAATATGATTACTGGTCATAACGAATAAAGTTTTGCAAAAATTTGCAGGTAAAAATTTGCATGTAGATATAAGAAATATTTCTGTCAAGATGTTTCAAAACCAGCCAGCCTGAAAAAAGTTTCAGGCTGGCTAGGACTAAGTGTAACAATGTCCTCCAAGCTGAATTAAAAACTTGATTATTGCGACAGGTCTGATGAGTGGAGCTCTGTGGATGATGACACCAAAGAGGAACTCGGGATTGTCAACCGAGACGACGGAGAATTCTGGTACGATCAATTGAAATTTTTTTCATTTAGTGATTGATGATGTTGAATAGCAAAGTTCTTTATTCACAACGACGTGTTTGAAACACCAAAATATCTGATGCACATATTAACTCAAGCTGGTGTGTTACGCCGAAGGGCGGTTATACCTGCTATACATGTACATGTACCAATACAGATACAGAACTTGAAAACTTTATTTGTCTTACCTGCCTAGCACCCTCCTCTTAGTGCCGTATCAAGAGATAAAGGCTTTGATCCAAGCAATCTTTCATCTTGTATATACATTGTAATAAAGATGATTTTAAACCCCCTCTGGTGTTACTGGTTTATTCCTTGCAGGATGAGCTTTGAAGACTTCCTGACGTACTGGAAAAACATTGAGATCTGTAACCTGACACCAGACTCCATGGGTGATGATGATGACGACAAGCTGAGGTGGAACGTCAACAGCATGAACGGCCGGTGGATCAAGAACGAGAGCGCCGGAGGGTGCGCCAACTTCAGACGTGAGTTAGGATTGGCCGTACATCTCTATCAAGAGTAGTGGTGCATACCGGTTCACTGGACTTGGATCCGGACTTGTAAGAATGTTTAGGTTCAAGTCCAAAAAAACCCTAAAAGTCAAGAACTTATTACCATAAAAGACCATTTCACATACCCCTTTTCTTTCCAAACCACCTAAAACCTTCCGTAGATTGCAAAATCTTTGCTGCAAAATCAAGAAAACATTGCCATGTTAAAACACTTACAAGTCCGGAACTAAACCTAAACCTCTGGACTTGAATCCGGACCTGAACCTAAATGTGGGTTTAGGTATGCACCACTAATCAATAGCCAAACAAACAAACAAACAAAAAACAAAGGGCTGCAGGACTTTCACCTTTTACAATTTCACATGTAAAAATATGTGTATATTTATTACAGTTTCAACTGTTGCATTAAAACTGTATCTTTGTTGATATAATTTATATTATTATATATATATATTTTGTCCCTTAACTCTTCCCTCCTGCCAAAAGTTTGTCCTTAAAAATAGCTCTGTGCTAGTTGGAAACATTGGCTCACACAGTATATTCAGCCAAAATGAATAAATGAAAACAAGATGTAAAATGGTGATTCAAACAAACAAAATCCCACTTAAGGGTCATCGTTCGCCTGTAGTTTTTCCCTAGACACAGACCACTGCCTCTACAACCTCAAAAAATGCCATGGGACTTCCTTAAGTTTACCTTTACCTTTTTGTTTTGCTTCAGAGTCGTCGTTTGCGGCCAACCCGCAGTTCAAGGTGAACCTGACGGACGCTGATGATGGGGACGATGATGACCAGGCGTCGTGTCTGGTCTCGCTCCTGCAGAAGGACAGGCGCAAGCAGAAACATCTCGGCAAGACCAACCTCTTCCTGGGGTTCTACATGTACGAGGTGAGTAGAAATAAAGTAACCGATCAAGGTTTTTTGATACAACAATTGTACGGCAACTTTCGTAAGGTCTTCTACAACTATTATGCTAACAAACAAGAGGATGCTTGCTTACTTGCTTAAGGCTGTCCTTCGGTTTCGAAGATGACGTCCCTCATTGTTGACTCTCTGTCTCTCTCACTCGGTGTGTTCTTCGATGGCTGATTATGCCGATTCTAGCTGCTAAGACGCGGCCGCATATCTCGCAGATGTGCTGTCCCTGCTGCTGAGCCGGCATGTGTCTTCTTGCTCTGCTGGTCTCTGCCCTCTGGTTGTAGCTGGCTGTGTACGATTCGGTAGCTGTCGAGCATACCTGTCTCCAACTGTTTCTGTCAGCTGCTAGTCGTTCAAGACTTTGTGGCTCGATGCCACAGGACTTGAGGTTACTTTTCAAGTAGTCCTTGAACCTCTTGCGCTGGCCACCAGCGGTGCGTTTGCCCGTGGAAAGCTCACCGTACAGCATCTGCCTTGGTAGCCGGTTTTCAGGCATGCGGATCACATGACCTACCCATCAAACAAGAGGATACAAATGAATTAACTCACGTACATGACATATCAGTTAGCTCTGAGGCTTAAAACATTGTTTGATATTATTTGTATCCAGTGAAGGTTAACTCCATCTAGAATGTACTATTAATTGATATTGTAGGGTGTCGTAAGGAGAGACTATAGAAGAGGTCCGTACTCTGTGGCTGCCTGCTAGAACTGTCTCCTCAGACACTGTCGTCACATCTGGCGTCAATTACTAAAGTGACCAATAAAGGACAGGGACCCTGTGTCCCTGAGATCAGTCTGGCCCAAGCCGTGGTCTAGTATGGTCATCTCTATAGCAGCATCCAGCAATATAATTGAATGAGGTCCTGTCCTTGGTACTGAATGACACACCTACAAGACTGATGTCAAAAAGGCTTCTCTTAATCATCTCACTGAGTGTACCAAGTATTTCCACCTCTTGCAGCTGTTGGCAGCATCAACAATAGCTGTAGGTGCACATTAAAAAACACTCTCTCTATTCCCTGCTCATTATTTTCTAGCACTCATGGGTTTATGTGGTGTTTTTTCTTCCGCCCAGGCTAAGGGGCGCAGCAAGCTGAAGCGGCGTGATGTCATGACAGAGCCACCAGTGGCCAGCTCCGGGAGTTACATCAACTACCGCGAACGTTCTGAGCACTTCAAGGTATGTAAAAACCTGATCTGCAATGAGTAGTAGACCATCTTAAAGTCAGCCAAGTAGACATGTTAACATGATGTAAAAGTAGAACAAAAAGATGCTTTAAAAAAAAATTTGTTTCTTTTTTCTGAATTTGACAAAGTTGAAGGGCTTTAAAATGTTCTGCCAGAATGTGCACAGCGGGTGTGTGGAGATTGGCATCACAGTCAATTTTGTTTTAACTTTGATTTGATTATATGGATGACATCCGCGTGCATGAATTTTCGGCCGTTTCCAAAAAAAAAAGTTTTCAACCATACTGTAAATCGTACAAAACAGTTGCAAAATGAGCAAAAATATACCGTAAGTTACAAAAAAATTATAAATAAAAACTATACCAATGTTGTAGAATGCCGGATGCCAAAATCAAACGAAAAAAGACGAAATTGTAAAGAAATGAACTTGAAGACTAGATTATTCGCCAAACCATATTCTGTCCCATTTGTTCAACCCTCATCCTCATGACCATGTAGATTTCATAATGAAAACAACTATTTTTTTTTGCAAAACTTTTTTTTATTCGCACGCGCGCATCAGTTTTGGGGTTCTCGGAGGATGTCATCCATATAATCAAATCAACATGGCCTTACAGTGTACTGTTGTCTCGTTTACTGTATGATTCTGTATGGCTCAATCTAGGCCACACTACCTATATGATTGTCTTAAAGATTTTTATGGATTTCCTTTCGCAGGTCGCTCCTGGTGAATACATCGTTCTCCCCACGACCTTCAACCCCAACGAAGAAGGTGAATTCATCCTGAGGGTCTTCACTGAGAAGGAAGCATCAGCCGAGTACGTCTTATTTCATTTCCTCAAACTTGTGATACAATCTTAGTTAATGTGATTAATTGATACAGGTGTTATGGCCCGTGTGATAATTAGCCGTTTCATACGGGGTTCTAATGGTTGTCACACGGGCTTCCAAAATTTCTATACATTTATTTGTACGCATTTTGCGTGCTTTGCTGTTGAAAATTCAAATACCACTGATTCGGAAGTTGTAATTGATGTTGCTATAATCATTTGATAAGAGAAGAGATACATTAATTTTGTTTACTGCTATTGCTCATTGTTGCTTTACATTGTTAATTCATTTAGTCTTAGGCTGCATAACTGCAAACAAAACTGTAGATTAAAGCAATTTGCTAACTGTTATTAGAACTAGAATGCATTTTAATTTCAGCTGTGTATTTGTGCTCTACTAGCAAATTAGATTTTGTGCTCTCTAGCATTTTGCTTAAAAGCAATCATTGTTTAATGCTTGTTAGTTGACCCATAGGTGCTAAAAGATTCCTATACTGCTGTTTTTTATTCACATTGCTTGACAGTTGCAAACTTAATGTATTCATCTCCTTTTAGAAGCTGACCTGCTGGCACTGGCACATTACTACTGGCAAATCATCATTGCCTCATGTTGCTATAACTATCATTATTGTTGCACACTTACACATGCTTTCTTTTGAAACTCACTATACACAATATTCTTTTCTTCGCCTTTGTTTTCAATTCAGAGCTTTGGTATGTTGTGTTGTGGTGCGTAGTGGTGTAACATTCGTGCAAGGCAATGGCTAACGGTAAACTTCTAGATCTTGTGCTGTCAACATACGGCAATTGTTAAATATTAGAATATAATGCTTTTTTCAATTACATGTACATGTAATTCATGGTATTGTATAGTACTTGACAAGTGTAATGTTTGCACCATGTTAAAAAATCATTTTCCACTCTGTATTATATGTCGAGTATGTTGACAGCACTTTTGAAGAGAAAAGTGCTTTTAGCTAGTAGTAGTATATTATCTTTTCAAATTTATGCTTCCAGTAGTCTTTCCCTAATGAGTCACTTTTTGCTTCATCCTCACTCATTCTGCCTAATCTCTTTACTCATGCATACCTCCTGACAATGGTTGGCCTGCATGCTTTGGTCTGGACATGGTTAATATACCGCAATTTTTCGTTGTATAATCTGAATATCGTCAGACTCTATTTTTGCCAAAATACCGCTTGAGTTAGTTGTTTTATTTAATTTTTTTCTTGTCAGATCCTATTGTTTATCATGACATAGTGACATTAGTAAATTGAGTGCTATGTCATATATGATCATGAATTGCACAGCAAAACTTGTAATCGTCAGAAGTTGGGGAAGAGTCATGTTAGCGGATCAGAGAAAACATTACTGTTATTTTAAACAATGTACCTGAGTAATGTGTATGCTCTGAGTTGTTAATCTACTGTTGTCATTCTTAAGACATTTTTGTGATTTTTTTTCGTCATGACTTTAACCTGACTTTCAATGAATAAAAAGAATTGAAAGGTTGATTGGCAAAAAATGCCACATCTCATCATGATGACCATTTTTCCACGTTTGACTAAATGAAAGAAAACATTTACATCATCACTGGTACCACAAAACCCATCAGTGTCAGGTGGTCCTCTTCTCTCTTACCTCACCTCCTTAACTGACGATCCTACGCCGTTCTCTTCCAGTGAAATCGATGAAGGAGACGCAATCATCAAGCAGGACAAGCCCAAACCGGTAAAAAACAAACATAAAAAAACACACACAGGTCTCAGAACCGGGCGCACCCCTCCCATGTACACAGTGTTGAGATGTATCGCTTGACCAAACTGTTTTGTTTCTCTTTGTTTTCTCTCTCTCGTTTGGCACAAATGCACCATGCAGAGAGCAGGAAGATGACGACAAGATTGTCAAACAGGACAAGCCCAAACCGGTAACACGACGAGTTATGATAAGAAAGAATCCAAACTTTTCTTTCACATAGGACAATACTTACTAAAAAGTACAATCTTCTACTAACGATTCCATGTTCTTGATTAAATTCAATGAACACTAATTAGGCTTGTGTATAATTAGGAATAATAAAGTAATTGATTAGCAATACACACTTTCACACTAACTACTAAAAAATTCAATCACTATGATATCTTTCCTACTATCCCTATCTCTATGGATCAAATCCAATTAACACTAATTAGGCTTGTTTATGATTATGCATGCATAAAGAAATTAATGACACACTTTCACATGATAACCTCACAGCACATCATTGTGAACTGTGCAAGTGGCACCTGGTGCATGATAATCGAAAGCTGCAATTTTTTTAAGTTTGAATGTTTTAAGTGAATGTTTGAAGTGATGTTTCATCAAAGGCTATGTAACAAAATGAATGACAAATGCTTTTGGTGTTAACCAGTGCATGAACTAAGTTTGAAAGCAGAATATTAACGCACCCTTGACAAGTATTTGACATTTATGAATTTCTAAACAAATACGCTGCAACATGTGCACATCGACTAATGAAATAACTCATCTCAGAGCACATTTGAGTGTCTGTTTAATGTTCTCTATTTCACTCAATGACAAAGACTGAACAGTTACAGAAATCTTTCTGACATTTCTAATAATGTCCATATTGCAATCACAACTGTACAGTGTCCTGTTGTTCCCATCCGAAATATGCCACTCCTTATTTTCAAATGATTGAAATGCTGAATTCCTGTGAGCATTTTCAAGTGCCACTCATGGTTTTTGAATCCACATCTTTACACTATTACTATATCAATAAAGGAATTGTAGAATGTGTGATAAGACCATCACATAATTTGGGTTAAGGGTCATTGTATGGATCTTTTGACTAATCTTTTTTATCTGAGTGTGTGTAATCTATTGTGATTTTCCTGTAACGATTTGTTCTATGTATTTCCACAATGTCATATATTATACATATTAATTATTATCATATGTAATTATCTTCAAGTTAATTACTTATATACATAATCTTTGACTCTGATGTTGGTGAAAAACATAATTTGTATGAAATTCGATCATAGCTCATTCGATACCCAGGAAGAAGCAAAAGATACAGAGAAACAAATGGTATAATGACCAACAATATTCAGTAGCAAGAAGTCGTCATTATTCAACTTTATGTTGTAATGTTCATCTGTCTATGAATCTGACCGTTCCATCATCAGCCTAAGGAAGAGTGGAGTGACGAGAAGAAGGACAAGTTCCGTGCGTTCTTCGAGATGGTTGCTGGCCTCTCTGGTGATGACGAGGTATGACGTGTTAAGGTTTTAAAAAACTAGCCTGGTTACCAATAGCTACCGAGTCCTACATCCTCTATTTGCGGAGAGGATGTAGGACTCAGCAGCTATAATAGGTTTAGTAGCCAGGCTATTAAAAAACACCAATATGTTGGGGTACAACTGTTAAACCATTGGCAACTTACAGCGGCTGTCTTCATTATGTACTGGGCCTTACTGTGTCATAAACTTGAATGGGCATAATACCCATGAAGGGCTTTGTACAGTATTGTTCAGATGTAGATGTAGATGTAACTCCTGCGCTTCTTGATAATCACCTGATTTCTCCATACAGGAGGTGCCTGCTATTGATCCATTTGAGCTGAAGAGTCTCTTTGACTGCATCTTCAAAGGTATTTCTTGAAGGAGCTCTGCTATGACTGTAAACGTAAAGAAATTATCAGATTACACTGTATTTAATGTTATATAGCCCTTAATTGATAGAAAATAGATGGCAAGTGTAAATTTATATTTCACATAACCTTAAATGATTATTAATTTAGGTCATAGGTCATTGAATCGTATGCTCTTTACGATCAACATTATGATGCATGCGATTTTGATTAAAAGTTATGTTTGTCACAAAATATGCTGTATGATTGACTGTGTTCAGGCCACTCACTATCGGTTTAATGTTAACGAAAAATATTTATCAATGCTTTTTTTCCTTCCAGACCCCAGCCTGACCATTGACCTGTGCAAGGATGTCATCCAGATGTTTGACGTATCCTTATCTGTGTGCAAGTCACAAAATTAGTGTATCAATAATGTATATTTATTTTATTATTTTTATTTTATTCTTTGCTTCAGGCCAGAGGCCCATATAGAAACAGGGACAATACAAAAACAAGTACAGATACACAAATCACATACAGATATCTAAAGAATGCTGCATCACATACAGATATCTAAAGAATGCTGCCAGTAGAGGCTCCTTGTAAACACGTCCGAATGACAAAGCGTGTGCACAATACTATTTCTCGACGCGAGAAGGCGCTTAGCAAATGAATAAGTTTGCAAGTATAGTTTGCATGAATAAGAAACACTCTCACAAGACAATATTAATCATATTACAGATGAAGAGTCTGAATCCTTTAGTGAGCAAAAGTGATAGTCATATCAGGGATCCTGCTTGGTACTAGTCGTTTGTTGGTTTTGTTTCCTGGGAGGGTGTTCCTTGACTCTCCTCCAGGCGGATGGTTCAGGAAAGATCGAGTATGAAGAGTTTGATGACATGTGGGACACTGTGGAACCCTGGCTGGTAATTGGTCTTAAGTGCTCTAATTTTAGCAGTTTTGTTAAATATAAAAAACCTGGTGTAATGTGTTTAAATCATTAAGTGACATTTCTTTCTTGTGTAATGGTATGTGATTTTCATTGTACTCAAAACGTGTTGAAACAAATCATTAGTGACATTTACCACATGTAATGTTAGATATAAGATTCAAATGTACTTTACAGATGAGGTAAAGTTTGAAGTGTAGCAGTTTAATTGCACGAATCTTACATCTAACTGTCTTACTTTTCCCCAGTCTGCCTTCAAGAACAGTGACTATGACAAGAGTGGGAAGCTGAGTGTGTACGAGCTGCAGGAAGCTCTGGAGGATATTGTCGGTATGACACTCTCAATCATTGTGGCAAACTTAAAAGCGTTGAAGCTTATGTTTCCATGCAATAAGGGATATTTTTCCTAGATATTCGAGAGCTACATTATATATCGAAGTGTTGTCAATATTATGATATGGTACATGTATCTTTTTGAATTATCAATATGAATAGTGATATGAGTTCACACTAGAATTGATACTGTGATAGTTAATATATTTTGTTACATGTATGTCATTATTGTTGTGCCTGTCATAACTTTCTTCCACAAAGGTATGCTTTAGATGATTTCCTGTCTTGATTTTACGTGTTTCAGTAATGTTACAACTTCATGGCAACAATTTGTTCTTCTGTACGTTATATCTTTTATCATCACACCATATCTTGCTCTATGCTGCTGTACACTATACAACATGTAGAACAGTGGGATGATGATTTTTGCTGAGTGTAACAGTAATGTAATTGTAGTGTTTAACCTATCAGTACTTTTAGTTTTATGACTTGGTAGATAGATCATTGACTAGAAATGTTGAATGTTTTTTTATGGTCGATTCGCGCTATCAATGATTTTATTTCAGACAGACAACAGATATGTTGCTAATCTAACATTAATTCCCTTTGTGCTAATTAGCCTCAACTTTTTGTTGTCATCTTCAACAGTTTATTTGTGTCTTCTTTACTCTTGTGCATACATCAAGTGTTACTTACCTCAACTCTCATCTAATAATTATTATAAATTAGTCAAGTGTTGGGTTACCACAGATGATGGGACAACGAGTTCCCTCCATACTTTATGGTTTTCTGTTCCTCTTAATGTTTCATATTTGTGTCATGCGGGTCCATTCCCTGATCTCTTCTACCCATCTTTTCTGTTGCCTACCTCTATCTCTCTCTTCCTCAATTTTGTCACAAGTGTTAACATGTCGACAGCTGGCCATGTGTGTTACATGGAGTGACACCTGTACTAACCATACACATGAGACATTTAACTGCTTTCCGCCATGTATTCAGGTTTCTACATCCCCAAGCGCTTGCTGTGCAAGCTTGCATTCCGCTACGTTGACGAAGACGGACACGTCAGCGGTGGTAACTTCCTGAGGATTGCCATGCGGCTCCACTGGCTGTGGAGTAAGTGCCAAAGTAGTTAGTGGGGGGAGGGAGGGTGTCCAGAACACATCCACAGAATATACTGCACCTGCGCGAAACCTGGATGTTCTGTCGATGTTGCACCAGAATTTTTCCAGTTGCAGATTGTAGCTTTTCCAACATAACATGTGAAAACAGGTTGTCATCATTAAATATGGAAATACGACCATAAACAAGACGTAATCTGATGAGGTGCTATGGGCAATACATTACAGGTTTCGCACAGGCGCAGTACGTTCGGCCAATGTGCTGGGGTGGCCCTGCATGACCATCATGGCAGCTGTCAATCAGTGATTCAAAACTTGACTGACAGTTCGTCATGAGGGTCTAAAAGCAGTAGGGCCGTTTCACGCTCCCGGTATCTTATACTAGTTAACGAGTCACGAGAGTTTTGCTAACATTACACGTTGGTGCTGCCCTGCATGACCAACAATGGCAGCTGTCAATCAGCAATTCAAAACTTGATTGACAGTTTGTCGTGATGGTCTCAAAGCATCAGGGTGAACGCAATTGCGGTACGTTAGCGTTAACGTGTTAACAGTTAGAAAAAGTTTTGCTAACGTTCCACGGCGCCGCAGGTTTCACCATCCCTAAGAAGCTGCTGTGTCAGCTCGCTCGCCGTTACGTTGACGAGGAAGGTTGTATCAGCGGCGGAGACTTCCTGCGTATTGCCATCCGCCTGACCAACCTGTGGAGTGAGTTATAATGGACAGAGCAGTCAGGCATACGGTGGCTTTGAGGGCATTTAGCAATTACACCTAGGAGCCGACCTTATTTAGACTGCATGTTATGCCTCACATTTGTACTAAGCTGGGCAAATTTGAGGCTGCGCTTTTTTCAGTTTTGGTTTATAAATTATTATTTCAGACCTGAGCTAGTAGGTGTTCATAGATTTGGGGTTGGTGCATCATAGTTACACATTTAGGTATAGACGCTGGTTTGCAAGAAAGGTGCATGTACTTGTACCAGCTGAAAAGGATATACTTTTCATCAAGAAATCTATCAGAAACCTAGGTCAGGTTATTTAAGTTTAGAATTTGCTACTTAATGCACTGCAAAGCCAAAGAAAGCTAAGGGACTTAATAATATATTGCTTGGAGTTTAAGGCAAATGACTTATGCTTAGGCTAGCATTGGTGTAGCATTAAGCTGCGGGTATCGTGCTGTTTTGGATACAACCCTGGTGATTATGAGTATGGAAAGACATTTTTGAGTTAGATTAATAATTCAATTAATTTTTCAAATTCTTGATGAACATATAGTTTAGCATGATGGCTATTGAGGAGCACAATGCTTTTGTCTGTATGTTTTAGTATTCTAAATTTCTAATTGTAATTATAGTAATGTTTGGTTTTAGAATGGATTAGATTTTTAAAGATTCAAGTTTTTTCCATACCTGAAGTAGGCAGTGTTATTTGGTATCCAACATGAAGCAGAGTTCATGTCTGAGGTTGTTTATTCATTTGTTTAATTATCTACTTTCCAATAGATCAACAAGGAGGAGATGCCGAGGATGATGGTGGCGGTGGCTTTGCCCTGAACATGGTACGACACCTTACTTTTGATTTATGTTTACCGAAGGAAAACATCCTGTTTTTGCTCAGTTTCTTCTTCTTCTCCAAACAGTGACCACTGGCCTGGTCAATGACCTGAACCAGACCATGACCTGTCACCATGGTAGCTGGTGTCGGGTTACATGATGTTGCAATTTTATAGTAGGAGGGATTTAGACTCCCGTCATCATATTGTATGTGACCATATGACCATATGCGAAGATAAACATCATTTGGTTTGCAAATGTTACTTTTCTAGTTTTTGATTTTGTTTACCTTCACAGAAGGAAACATATTGTTTTCATTTTCTTCTTCCTCTTCTTCAAACAAATAAAGTGAATGACCTGGGCCAGACGTCTGTCACTAATACTCACTATGGTAACTGGTGTTGTAGCATAATGTAACCTGTCCTACTACATAATGTAACCCAACATGCAATAATTCAACTCTGAGTCTGACATCCTGTTAATACAATGTATGTTTGCACTCAGTCATGGGAGTTATATTTGGAGAAGACATATTGATAGATACTAAAATGTGTCAATCTTCTTTTTTTTTCTCCAGGGTGGACAGATGGGAGGACTGCTTGGCATGTTCATGTGATCTCTTTCCCGGGGTACTGTAGACACCACTTACGCACAGCAGGGGATGCTGGGAATGCAAAATGCATCATGTAGAAGCTTTTTAACTAGTGGGACACTAAATATTACGGTACAAAGTTGATCCTGGAAACTGTCAGTTTGCTACAATATACTTTGATGCTTGAACTCTGAACACACAAAACTACTAAGTACTGTAAGTGGTAAACTTTTAACTGGCTTAATTGGAGATCTTAAGGCCTAATGATAATGCCTTATACTAGATGAGAAGAATTTTAACTGACATTCCTAACTATATCACACTAATTCCTATGAAATCTATCGGATATATAATAGTCAATGTACAAGTTCAGCAATAATAAAAGATTAAAACACTGCTATGGAGAAATTATCTAATATGATGTATCTGGAATATTTGATAACTATGCTAATATATAGCTTATCATTATCTAGCCTGGTGACTTGCAAAAACTAAGTAAAAGAATTACTCATAAATGAACCATATGGACAATATAATGATCACTTTTTTCTCCTGAACTGCGTACTATATAGTAACAATGTAGATACTTCTTTGGCTGAATGTATTTCATTTAAAACCTGAGTATTAACAACAGAAAAAGTTGGTTTTAAGTTTCCTTTTCAAAGCATCATATTAAGTATACTGAAAAATACTGGAGTACCTTAGAAATTAAGAACTTAATAATATGAATGAGGGTGATCAGAATGATAATAGAGTTGGGTCATGGGTGAAAAAGTTGGTTACATTTGGGGAAATTTGTGTTTTACTAGTATTCAAGATAGCATATTAGGATATATAAATTTGCACTGCATATGTACACACATATTATATTATTGTGCACATTCCAATTATAATAGACAATTGAAAGAGCAATGCTTTTGTAGTTCATTTTTAACAAGGGAATAGTTAACAAGTCATTACCTTGCCAGAGTAGTTTATCAGTTCGAATTCACTTTACAATGGTTTACATGATGCTACGTACGGTTTAAATGCTTGGTGCAAATTCTTGCTTGGTGATGAGTGTGTCTCAACAGCGCCATCTGTTGACGGAACAGTATAATTGCAGAATCGACCAGGAAATGGCAAAACGTTTCACTTTGAGTTAAGTGTTACATATTATCCCATAAGTAGTTATAAAGCAGTAACGTTATAGTATAGGATGGTATCGACAATGCACATGTAACGTTAAGTCTTCTATTGTTTGAGGTGTTTTTTTATTGTTGCTTATATCTCTTATGTAGTATGAAGATATTCAACACAAGAAATAAAGTCAGTTTTTGTGGGATTTATATACTTGTACATCTGTGTCTTTTTGTCAGTCACCTAAACAACATGGAGCTCCGAGGTATCTTTCCCCATTACATTTTTACATGCGATATTCAAGAGCGATTTCCGCCGGTTATCCAAATTTAAGACAGTGCCTTCATAGCAGCACCAGTTGAATTGTTTTAATATTAGGCCACCATTACAAAAAGTACAAATGATGTTTCATTCGCATTTTAGCAACAGAAGTTGTCAAGTCTACATTGCCTGTGAATTGCCCCGGTCTTAAGGCCTACCACATCCAAATTCATAGCTCCTATCATGTGAAACAAGAAGACGTTCAACTTATGCGACGGTGTTTTTATCAGTTTTATCAATACGTAATTATCCAATTTCCTTCCCACAAACTGTGACGTGTGGTGTACGTGTTGCGCCAAAGGTGTCCATTGGAACCATTGTTATATGTAACGCTACACATGAGCAAGTTTTCTGATCGGATACGGCAAGGAGGCTATAGCCTCTTTGGATACGTTAGCTACAATGTAGAACCGTCTGTATGATCAGATCAAGGAGCTTCAGATCAGCAACCCCCTGGAAATTCAGGAATCCATGTCAGGGACATTTCTTGCAGATTAATCCTAGTGTTATGTATAGATTTATTTAGTCATACGATCAGGTACACACACAGTCACACCCAGTTTATTTGCGGTCACGTCAATATTACAAAGGATCCCAGCATCCCCAAAGTGTGCTAAAGGTCACTGACACTGAAAGCAGCAATCACTTGTCTGTACACGCGCAAGGATACAAAGGTGAAATATGATTCCAAATTCAATTTTCACCACAAATCACATCGATTTCTACACATGGGAGCCATTCAAGTATTCTATATAGTTAACAGGTAGGTTATCAGCAATGTAAAACGCAAATCTGCTCCCAAAAATCGGAAGTCAGCTTCCTTCTCATATTTCCGGGCTGCACTATGTTGTGACCGCGGAGGAATCGCGGTGTGCAACCCGTAACTAGGACGCCATTTTGGATCGACAGGTGCATACGGATAGTACGCATCACCGCATGACGTCTGTCGATTTCTGACAGCTACAAACGACTCTACACCAACCTTTTTACTTTGTAAGTCAACCCTGGATGTCTGCTGGTACCTGTACTAAGTTGTAGGCAGCACTGTTCGTCTCAGAAAATCGGCAATGCAGCCAGAAATCCAACCACAACAACAACATCCGCCGCCTGGCGTACCCATGCAGCCGCTGCATGTACCGCCACCATCCAGTATCGAAATGCCGATGGAAAATCCCGACAACAGCACGAGGCCACTCCAACCGCTGCCGGACGACAGCGGCAGGAGTATGGAGGAGTACGACATGGGATGGTGCCCTGTGGTCGTCTCCTTCATCATAGCTCTCATATTCTTTCCCATCGCCGTGTGCTCCTGCATCAAGATCGTGCAGGAGTACGAGCGGGTGGTGATCTTCCGACTGGGGAAGATTTTGGGAGGCGGGGCGAAGGGGCCGGGCGTCACCATCGTCTGGCCCTGCATCGACGAGTACAAGACGGTCGACATGCGGACCAAGGCCATCAACGTGCCACCTCAGGCCATCCTGACGAAAGACAGCGTCTCCGTGATGGTGGACGCGGTGGTGTACTACCGGGTGAACAACGCCGTGCTCTCGGTGGCGAAGGTGGAGGACGTCGACCAGTCCACCAGCCTGCTGGCGCAGACGGCCATCCGCGACGCGCTGGGCGTCAAGACGCTGGCTGAGATCCTCGCGGGACGGGACGAGACGGTCAGCAGTTTTTTTTTAAATCTTCTTTCTTCTTTTTATTGCGGAAGACAACGATTAGTGGTGCCGTGATCAAGCTAACATGTAACTTGATATTCTGTTTATAGCGGCACCAGAAACGACAAGATACAAAGCAATATAAAACAACGACAAGATAAAACGATGACAAGATAAAACGACGACAAGATAAAACGACGACAAGATAAAACGACGAGAAGATACATACAAATGTACTAGTTGTAAATTGCATAGTCATGATAGTGGTGCCGTGCTCAAGCTTAACGGCATAAACACGGCACAGATCATCGGTTATTCATCGTCAATATGTAACGTTACTATATGTCTAAGAAATGATCATAGTAAAAACACTAGTAATGCTATTAAACATAAAGCTAGTAACGAAGCCAAGCCAAGAGAGTAACGAATATCAGAGGTACCAATAGTGATATTGGTAAAAGTGATAATAACATTATTTTTTTTGATAACCATAAACCATCAGGTCGCCAGGCTGCGGGTCCAGCTTGACGACGCCACGGACCGCTGGGGGATCAAAGTGGAGCGCGTGGAGGTCAAGGACGTGCGGCTGCCGCCCCAGCTGCAGAGGGCCATGGCCGCCGAGGCCGAGGCCGCACGCGAGGCCCGCGCTAAAGTCATCATAGCCGAGGGCGAGATGAACGCCGCCAGGGCCCTGAAGCAGGCGTCGGACGTGCTGGCGGACTCGGCGGAGTCCATCCAGCTCCGCTACCTGCAGACGATGAACCAGGTGGCTGGGGAGAAGAACTCCACCATCATCTTCCCACTGCCCATGGACATCGGTCTGATGGACATGGTCGCCAAGAAGAAAGCCTAGAACGTCACAATTATAAACACCTGTTGTCGGACATTATCATTCACTTTTGTTATCAGTCAGAAAACACTTGTTCTTGCCTAACTTCTGTATTGTCTGTTATCTGTATTCTTTGTTATTGCCCTGTCACTTGTAGCCTCTACCAGGCTTCAGTAGCGACAGAAAAAGGCCAAATAGAAATGTTATCTGTCTATTTGGCCAAACAAAATTTTAGTAAAATGAGTACAGAGTGGCAAACTGTACTCCTTTAGCGGACCAACTCCCCTGGCATGTTATTTGTCTATTAAGTCAATTTCTGTTCTTTCCCACGCCCTCTGAAGCCTGGTAGAGGATATATCACTTGAAGAAAGGAGCTGAACAGTTGATATTCATATGAACTGAGGCAAACCAACACAATATACAATACAGCACATGTATATGAATGGCCGCTCAGGGAACGCAGGAATATTGTTAGGAGTAGGTGGAGTCCGTTTGTTATGCTGATAAAGCTTTTGTTTGTATATATGTGCTTTCAAAGGTTGTGTACAGAAAGATTGATGTTAAGTTTGGACATACTGTAAATTATAGTTATAATTGTGCTGTTTGGTGCCCTCCGTGGCTAGTTAGGCAGCAAATTTCATTGTTAAGTGTCATACTCTCCCCCTATACTGTTGTTATACATTTTGTACATGTATATACTTACCACTATACTTACTACTATTACTACATGAATATAACTTTTGTAAAAAAAAAAGGATTGCTCAGCAATGGAAATATGTAACCAAGTACGAAATGTAATTCGGGCATTTTTTTGCCTTGCAATGAGATTTTGGATGATTTATGAATAAAGTTTCTTACACGTAACACTCGTCACTCTCTTAAATCGACCCCAAATCAATGGCTTTCTTTTTTAAAACATCGAAAGTCTCCAGCCATTCTATATTTAGTTCCACATCAATCATGTAATAACATGAAATATTTACCCTTTCACGGTAGCCGCAAAGGAATGTTGTTTTTATTAGATTACTTGGCTATTTTCCAACATGACCCTAGGAATATCGTAAAAGCTGTTATTTTGCGGATTAGTAAACAAACAGCACAAGTGGTTGAGCATAGAGAACTTTGCTATTCAATCATTCACCATTCACTCTAGCATGCTTAACAGGTGGCCAGGAAAGAGTTGAAATTGGCCGGATAGATAACTTGCCGGTGGAATAAGTCCGCTAAATGTGTACAGTTTACCGCTTCCGAAACTATACTCCTAAAACGGACTAGAACCATTCAATCATTCACTGATGCCATTGTTCACAGAAATAAACTGATATTATATACTAGTACATCACTTATGTTACACTTTCACAACAACGCGCACACAACCCCAGCCACCGGTTCGTCATGTGCTTTATATAGTACTTTAGGTGGTCCCTTTAATATTTGTATGAAAGAGTAACTTATACACATGTATGACCCGTGTGACCCCGATGACCTGCCGGGATACCGATAGGCAGACCCAGAAGGAACAAAGTCCTTCGATCAGTTCCCTAAAATTTTATATAAGGAAACTACATTCCGCTCACGTGTCATTTCTATTCCCTCCAAGCCGGGACTTCTGCTTACATTTGACGCGTTTTAGGCGTTTTAATCGTTTGGTCTTGTACTAGGATATCTTCTTTGTACACTAGCCAAACGGGTGGCGTATAGGATACTGCCTGGCCAATTTGACGCTGTCCTGCCAACGTTTGATACTACAGTATACTGGACTGAAGCCACCAAAAGATCTGCTTGGAGATAAGAATTGCTACATGATGTCCGCCAAGGGTACTAGTATTTCAGTGGGTCCACTCTGTCCACTCCTGGCGTGGCTGGTGGTCAGTATTGTTCCGGCCGGTGTACTGGCCACCCCTCTGGACGACTACGTCAACAAGCCGGACCCGCACTACTCCTACCACGAGGTGTTGGAATGGCGTCTGAAAGGTCCCGGCTACACCACCTACCTCCTCAACATGACCTCACAACAGTGGCTAACAGGTGAGTGTTTGGTAAACCGCGGTCCAAGGACGTTATTAGCCCCTACCGGGCTTTAGTAGTGGCTAGGGCTTAACAGGTGGCTAGGAAAGAGTATAGATTGGCCAAATAGTCTGCTAGTCTGTTAGTCTGCTATTAAAATGAGAACAGTTTACCTCTTCCGAAACTGCACTCCTTTAAATCTAACGGTCTAACGTATCTGACATGTTATCTGTCCATTTATCCAATTTCTACTCTTTCCATTCCCCTCTGAAGCCTTGTAGAGGACAGGACGATGTTACATGATGGACTTTGTACATGTAGAAAACGCGATAAAGAATCTGTGATTTGAGGATTTAACGGTTAACGCATAGGATCATAATCATTAAAAGACTGGTAACCTTATGATGATAACTTTATTGTACAGGCCTATAGCTAGCTATGGTACAAAGTATGCATATATGGCATCTACTGATCATCACTCCAACACGATTCGTACCTTTGGCATCATTATTTTAATTTTAGAAAGACTGTGCCAACCTGTGAACTTACCAATTCTTTAAAAATTGTAAGATATCAATTATTTGATAATTATTTGATGTTTGTACATGTACTGTCCTATTATGTCTCCAGAGAAAGACGTGGACCGAACCATCTGGTGGCACTGGCTAACTGTCACCGTCCCGGACAACATCACCCACCCTGAAGCCGCCTTCTTGTTTATAGACGAAGGCAGCAACGACAACCCAGAAAGGTACTTGACATATCATAATGGGTATCTATTAATAAAGGGTAGGAAGGCGGGGAACAGGTCGGCCTGCACGGAACCCGTAATGTATCGTTAACTTAACGATCGTGAAGTGATTGTTGAGCGTTTGAGGTAAAATTTTCTGGCAGTGATTTCTGAGACGTGAAAGCTATTAGGACTGGGAGTAAGATATGTGACAGTGACATGGTACAAATTTATGATTCGTCCGTCGTAATGGTTAACATCGATTGGCGAAGGTGTAGGGTAGCCCTACATCACCAGCCAGTCGGTCTATTACGTCATGCGAGGACACCCGATGGCATGCATGTTTAGCACGTCCCTGTTTGGGTTCCCACAGGACCAGTTCGCTAGCTAGCTCGTTATGATCCTTAAATTAAACTGAGCAGTTTGTTCTCTGGTCGTTATTGCAGTCTTCCGTCTCACCACGACAACTTCATCTCCCTGGCACAGATGTTCGCCGTGTCCACTGGAAGGTCAGAAAACTATTTTTGGCGACGCCTTACAGGCGAGCCAAATACTACATATTTTACGTCCAGTTTTCTGGTCTGTCTCTTTATTGCACGTTAAATTTTACGACTTTTGTAAGTTTATCAAATGGGAACATCATTAGACACATGTATTAGAGACATATAACAAATCATGATATGAATCAATAAAAAATTAGGACACGCACAGAGATATAACATATTAGAACGTTTTGCTCATTAACATTTCGTTAAATATTGTAAAAACCAATAACTTCTTTCTTCCCTAGCGTTGGGGCGAATCTGAAACAGATACCCAACCAACACATCTTATTTAAGGTAAAAAACTTACTTTTTTTAACAACTTTGTCTATGAAAAATTGCAATTGCACACTACTTCTACTACTATTTATAGAATTGCTCCCCTCACATTGTTATCTTTCTTTTCCTTGTAGAAAGATCCGCTACAGAAGCGTCGATCCGAAGACTCCCTTCTCGCGTATTCCTGGAGACTCTTTCTGGACCACCCTGACCAACCGGACTGGCTGATATGGAACGCCATGACAAAGGTTACATTATGAAGTTTAAGCTGTACCTTCCAACACAAGAAATTGGACTTAGCCAAATATCCGACTGTACAACTCTTTGCCTTTCACAAGAAATGACCAATCTACGGCTCCTGCACGTGATGCATGTCACGTTATGCAGATGACATAAGGGGGTCATAGGTTGCAGAAAGACTATTGCGCCCCCCGTCTTTGTTGATAGATTGTTGTAATGGCCTGATGTGGATTTTTCCTATAGAATTCGAAGCTTGGACCTGTGTGAGAATAGCATTGACTACTCCGTAATTATATTCTTGGTACTGAACTTACTTGTTTCGTCGCCATGGCTAATTTCATTACCGTTATTACACCAATTGTCCGTCTCTTAAAGGCATCTGTACGAGCGATGGACACTGTTCAAGACTTTGTGAAGAAAAACAACCGATCGCAGCCTGAAAAGTTCCTGGTTTCAGGAGCATCGAAAGTACGTGTGATATCATTACTACCAAACGTTTCCTTTTTGATTTTGATAAGCAATGTGACTGCTCCTTTTTTAAGGGGCCAGATTATTTAAATTTACGCATCACTTAATACCAAGTATGAGCATCTACAGTCGTTGGCTTGGATGTACAATGTACACGTATTTTACAAATCGTACCTTGCTTCAAAACAGTACGGGCATGTTAGTAAAATTTATGAGTGCTGCAATGTTGTCGGTGAATTGGACTACAATTTATGAGAGCTGCAATGTCATTGGTGTATTGAACAATGCTGATGACCAATGATACCTCCTCACAGCGCGGATGGACCACGTGGTTAACGGGTGCAGTAGACAAGAGGGTGTTCGCTCTAGCGCCAATCGTGTTCGACCTACTAAACCTGCGCAAGGTATGTGGCATGCAAGGCAAGCTTTGCAGGCGCGCGGCGCGGCGGTAGATGGCTATGTTGCATGCAACGACCTGTTACACCTAACTTTTGTAAATACGTTGTCTAAAGCTAGTGATGATGCCCCTACTGTACTTGATGGCAGCTACTTCCGCTCTAAGATAGGTCTAGATATCGAATCGAAGTATGTATAGTGCACTGAGCCTCATTCTATCACGTACAGAACCTGCATCACTATTATCGGTCGCTAGGGGGCTGGCCGTTTGCTTTCGGACCGTATTACGACGTCAACATCACAGGACGATGTGATGACCCGAGTCTGGAAACAATGGCGGCCATCGCCGACCCACTCGGTAAGGCCATTGACCTGCTGTCATATGCATTTTGTCAATCTGCCCCACCCATGTGCTGTCAACCGACTCTCAAGTTCACACTATTTCCTGTGTCTGACCTTTTGGCCCCCTGTCTTTCTGCCTGTCAACCTTCCAGATCCCCCACCCACGAGCTATAATTCGACTCAACCACACAAACAACACAAACACACAGCTCAGCCACCCCAAACAATACTTCCCCGCCCTGAAGCAAGAAAATGACAAATGTTAAGCATATGGTAGAGTGGATTAATTCCTCAAGCTAACCTACATCTAGTACGCCACAGTCGTCTCTCTGTAAGGCATCTGGAGCCGCATAGTTACTGTTTAGAACTTTTATTCAGCCTGTCATGGCCGGTTTTGCCCTGTGGGCTTCCGCCAAATGTTCAGAGACTAACTGACATACTGTTTACGAAGTTCTTACTTGTATACTTTTTTTTTTTTAATTTTTTTTAAACACTTTATTGACAAAAATACAGAAAACATTACATACAGTATGACACATACAAAGGTTTACAGTATAAAAATACAAATACTATACATACATGATCAATGTTAGCATATTAAAAAACAACCTGAGACGCCCACACCATCAGTTACCCCCCGTATTTACAGTCATCATAAAATCAGAAGTGAATTGTTTTAAATCTACTCTTACACTCTTCGAAGCTAGTAAAATGAAGTAAATCCTTAATGTACATCTTATATAAACAAAACTTAATATCAGTAACACAGAAGTACATTTTGTTCGACATATCGACACTACCATACACTATTTCGTGTGGGTCTAACTTAACGTCTTTTCCTACCACAATTTTCCACCACTTAAAGAATTCAACCCAAATTCGTTGTGCGTACTTGCATTGATAAAGCAGGTGCATTATAGTTTGTTCTGTATTACAATGTTGGCATAATCCTGATTCGCCTATTTTCCTTTTATACAACCACATTTTTGTTGGCAAGAAGTTATGTAATATCTTAAACATAAAGTTTTGCAGTTTCGTCTCAACTAGTCGACTTGGGGCGAAGAAAAGTCGAGGAATTACATCCCCTTGAAAGATCTCTTCTAAATTATGTACATTTGTTGGAGGGACATACAGTCTTGCTACATATTTCTTATACAAGATTTTGTTTGTTACTTTCTGTATGTCTATTTCCTGTGTTTGTTCGTTAATATTACATACAGACATACTGTCAGGCTCTTTCAAGGTCGTTTTCCAACTCGTGGGGATGGATTCACGCAGCCCATAATATCTTAGGAGCTCTGATGCATTCAAGGAAATTGAATATTTTTTTCTTAAATCTTCAGGAGTTAAAATGTTACCATGTTCATCGGCTATGTCCTGAATTGTTTTTATTCCCTCTTCAAACAACTTTTTCCAGAAAATCGATTTACAGTTTTGTACTATGTATTGATTGTTCCAAAGAAATTCATGTCTTATTTCCTCCTTAGTTTGTGGGCGGTGTGAATTTAACTCCTCCCATGCTTCTAACATGCTTACATAAAAAGAAGGCATGTTCTTAACATTCAATGCTTTAACTGAGAAATTGCACTTAAATAAAAAAGTTCCCCCAAAGCAGTGGAAGTGATATTCTAATACATTTGTTGTGTATATTCTCTTTATCCAGCTGGCGTTCAGTGCCTTTAACATGCAAGTAAAATTCATCATATTTAAGCCACCTTGTTCCCTGTTTCCCATTAGGGTTGACAACTTGACCTTTGGTGATTTGTTATTCCATATAAACTTCAGTCCTATTGAATTGACTTTCTTATCAAAGTCTTCTGGGGCTTTGAGTACTGAACAATTATATATTAGTTTGGATACAGCTAGTGACTTAAATACGAGGATTTTTCCTATTAAAGTTAAATCTCTTCCTGACCAAATATTTAACAAGTTTCTCATTTTCTTCAACTTTTCATCAAAGTCCAGTTCTTCGCATTTCTTTCTGTCATAGGAGAAATGGACCCCAAGACATTTGATTGGCTTGCTTGGCCAGTGGACACCTAGAGGTGTATACGGTGTTACCACTCCAGTGCATATCGCCCTGCTCAGCAGTAAAATGATAATAATTTTAATAATAATAGTAATAATAGATGCAGTTCGTAGTGCTCTGACCTTAAGATGATATGTCCAGCGTATAAGGATCGTCTGACGATGCCAAAGTACCTTACCGGAACGGGAGGGGACGAGTTCTTCCTGCCGGACAATTCCTACTTTTACTGGGATCAGTTGGAAGGAGAAAAATATCGTCGGTAAGAATATCGGATTTATTGTATTAATCATAGATTTGAAAAAAAAAAGTACTATGGCGACATATTAGACCAAATTTCGTTGTTGCATACATTATGTTTGTGATTGATAATTTATGAAAGTATTTTTGCATAATTCAGCAGCTAATGTATGCTTTACAATATCTGACTGTACTGGTGTTACAGTGAAGTATGTCAAATATACGCAGATGGATACCAAACGCTGAGCACTCTTGCGGTGGGCACGAAATCAGCATCTTATTTGGACTTCGGGCCTTCTTCTTCAGCATTCTGGAGGTAAATATTGCACCGTTTCATGTAAGGTCATTGTTTTGGGTTCGTCTTTTAAGATATTTAGATATCTAATATCAAGCGTTATTCGGGAAGTACTAAACCTCTGTTTGTGTGGATCACGGAGAGCATTGTTTTACTTCCATATGTATTTTTAAACGGATGTGCTTTGAAAAATATCGAACAGTTTTGTCCGTTTATAATATGATAGGACTCGCCGCGACCAAAGCTGACGTGGACGAGAGAAACGGTGAGTGGATTAACTTTCCCTTTTTCTTAATATCACTTGTACTTGACTTAGATTGTATGTGAGTGTTTGCTTCTAATGCAGGATACTAGTATGCAAATGACGCTATTGACGCTGTAACGTCATTATTGAGATTTGAGTATCAATAATAGCAACGGTAAAATTAACCGAATGGCATTATAGATCTACTTTGAAAACTCTTTGTGTCGATTGAATTGGTTTTTTTAGGGTCCGAGAAGTGGGAAGATAACACTACAGACTAACGCGGAGCCTGTGATCATCCGGTCTTTCCACGCACGAACACTGGATGGTGTAAGGTTAGTGCAATGTCTTTGGTTAGTGGAAGTTGCTTTATACGCCGGAGATTACTGTACGTAGATACAAAAGAAGTCAGCTGGAGGTGGCCCATCATCGCCGCGACGCGCTTCTTCAGAAAATTGTACTCTGACTCGGTTCCCCCGAAGAAATCTGCTTGTAGATTATAGTACCCGATCAATACACATCTAACAGTCTCCTCCACAGTTTCCAAAACACTTTCGAGTTGCGAAAACATAAAACATCCCGGAATCTCTGAAAAGTCTTGAGGTCAATGATAATTATATGTTGATAGTTCTTGATCCCAGAGATACAAAAAAATTAATTGTTTTTACAGACGTGACTTCCGCTTGCTAAATCAACCACCAGGAGAAAAGGATCCCCAGCCACACCCTGTCGTCTGGCTACCCGAGGATGTAGAAGACATGGTAAAACATTATAATTACGATATTCACGGTGGTCTGTCACTACGGTATTCTTTCCCATTGCTATGCGCGTTCGAAAAGGTATCGGGTTACAAGACGCTATTTTGGCCTGTTTTGGACTACCCGTAAAATATTTGAAACTAAACAAATAATATTTAGGGGTAAATTTCGTCCAATTAAAATGAAATTATCGTCTTAACATCCTTTAAATGTTCGCTTTTTATGCTAAGTCACTGATTTTTTAAAATTTCGCTCAGAAAGACGATTATTTTCGGGTTTCCCAGCACAAGTCATGTCACGTTTTTAGGCAAACATCGTTCAAACCTGGCTACGTATATTACCCCAGATCCCCGATTTTTATATTTTTCGCAGACTAGGAATAAGATCAAAAATCCTGTTTTAGGGATTTTTTAATTTCCAATTTTAAGTCTAGTTTTTATCGACATATTGGTGAAAAAATGGCATTTTTTGACATTTTTCTCACTAAATTACCCATAATTCAAAATTGAAGCCATTTTTCAAAAATCCCTAAAACACGATTTTCGGGACAACCGTTACAGTCATTTTGAGCCGTAAATGGGGTATGTTTGACTCTCCATGTTTCCAGGTTTGAACGAGTTTTTCAGACATATCATATAGCCAGAAATTGTGCATTGTGTTATTCACACTGGCGTAAAGAATCATTACAGTATTCAAGGTCACCCAAGGATATGACAGCAGCTTCGCTACATGTTACATACCCACCAAAAATTATTGCGGACATGTACTGTCCAGGAAACTGTTTGTATCTATAGAAAAGTGTTGTTTTTTATCTGTTGCAAGGCACTCAGGCAGAAGGGCTTGTTTTGTCGCTTTATTGTAAATGACCGCAGGTGACCCCGAAATGGAACGCGGGTTCGATTCGAATTGCCCAGATCGAACACGATCGAACACAGTTCGGATTCTATGAAATGTGGGAACTTTGCAGCCCAGATTTGACCACCGTGATTCACCCATATTACACATTTATTTATCACATATTGCATGATCCGCTGTGTTTAGGTCAGTTTGCTTCCTCTTCTCCAAACAAACGAGGTCAATGACCTGGACCAGACGTCTGTCACTGTGGTAACTGGTGCTGTAGCAAACACCCTGTGGTGTTGGGATACATTATGTAGCAAGTGGCTGGGCAGAGTTGGATGGGCTGGTCACCAAATGTATGAATAGGCCACAGAGCGATAGTTTGCTAGCATGCACCATATGAAGGTAACTATCGTGCACTTCCTTTGCAAATGTTACCCTTCTAGTTTCCGCATGTATTTCATACCTGACACTTTTACGTACATGTACACCTTGTGTTTTTAGGGAAACGGAACGTACGTTGCGGAGTTCGATTTCCCAGATGTCGGCTGGCTCGCCTTCTTCATCCAGGTTTGTGAAGAACATTCGGTCGTCATGAGCTTGATAGACAAACCTCTGTCTGTCTATCTATCTATCTATCTATCTATCTATCTATCTATCTACCTATCTATCTACCTATCTATCTATCTATACACACACACACACACACACATAAACATATCTCTATTGATCTACCTACATGCCTATCATCTATCTGACTGTCTAAGTATATATATAGATATTATATTTATCGCTCTTAGCTGTCTTACACAACTTCTGTATGTAACGTATACCAAACATCTGTTTCCCCAGGCGACCTTCCCAGCCCCACACGGAACTGTTCTGGAGTTCACCACCGAGGTGCACGTCATCCCGGACACGTTCCCGTTCCCAGAGTGCCACGGGGACGACTGCAGGGGCGTCATCGTTTGAAAAGACGCTTTGAAACTTTATTAGAATGGCGCCCTTGAGCACACCACTAGTCTTCCTGAACTTCTCAACAATAACAATTACATACAATGTACAATTACATACAATTTCACCATGTATCTATGTATATGTAAGAACACACAAGTCAGCCCTGTGGGCTGCAAGTTGTTCATTTGCAATAAACCAATTATTATATAGCAGTTAATGTATAACGACGAATGTTGTAGTTCCATACCATCTATTGCCTCTACCAGGCTCCCCAAGTTGCTGGGAAAAATTGTGGAAATTGCAAAAAAATGAATTGGCAAAATAGACTGAATAGAATGCCAGTTAAATGTTTATTGGTTTATATTCTATTAATTATAATTAATTCTATTAATTATATATTACATTCTATTCATATTATATTCTCTGTTCTTGGAAAGCATGTATTACAAGTTTACTCATTATACATTTTGTAATTAGTAAGATTTCATATTTTGAAACTTATTTCAAGCTTCTAAATCCAAAACAAAGCACACAAAGCAATAACTGTTCAACAACTATTAGAAATATCTTAACTTCATAATAATGTTCAATTCATTACCAACAGGTAATACTGTATTTTCATCAATTACTCGATATTAGAGACCCATGGAGAATCAACATTTCGTCATTCCAACAACCAACTGCACAAGGATCCAAGATTTGAAACTACATGTAGTAATTCTGAAATTCTATATGTTGCAAATGAAAGATAATGTTTCCTGTATCAATCACACGTCATAATTCAGAAATTATATACTAATATATAGAAGATTTTGTTGACAGTATTCTTAGACTATTCTTATTCCCTCTGTTCTCGTAGGAGACTCAGTAGATTTTCAGCACACACTTTCAGAGTTATGAATGATTAGTAACATTTTTGTAAGACATAGACATTAGTTTCAGACAAACATCATATAATATAAATGTCATAGCATATAATACTAGTATATTGCCACTAATTGATCTCTTTTTAGTAATGTTCATCATTCATCTGTGTATTTATCATGAAGATTAACATCATTAAATCACAAATCATTATGTAATTCTACATTATATACTTGTGCTACAATTCTAAAAAGCACTTCTTTGACATTGGAAACATGTTTTCTATTTGATGAGTTCAAAAAGTCCTTTTACACACCAAAACAGAACACTTGCCAATCAAATAAAATCCAAACCACAAATGTCAGATAGCCTTGCTCACTGCCCACAGTCTTGGGAGAGGTTGAAAGTCCGTGCAGTGGGCTAAAATGATTCATTAAGTGAAGAATCAGTTTGCCATCTCCACCCTCAGGCGAATGGGCTCGGTAGGGGTGGGGAAGGACTTCCACTTGTTGAGCTTCAGAGGGACCTGAGTGTGCAGAACAGATGCAGGCAAATTATCAGACTGACATAAGATATCCAACAATGTGTAAAAATTGAGCTGAAACAAGAGAACTCTTAGACTTAACAAGAACAAAAGTTTAATATCCTTTGTTAAACCATAGTCTGTGTGTAATGACATCGAAAACCATTGTAATGCCTAAAAGATGTATTTTTTTATTGCTCAATTTGGGTATCCTAAATTTTCCCCCAGACTAGTATTGGGCCATTAGCCGCTTTCCTTTGGCAGCCAACTCCCCTCACTAACTCCCCTCGGGCTCAACTCCCCCGTACGCATACATGTAGCAGTAATTTAGATAGGCAGGCGAAGGGCCAAAGAAAAATGGCTTAACAGCCCAATATTAGCCTGTCTTACAGGGTCACTTAAGTACTGTGGCTGTGACTTACAACAGTGTCGGGTCCAGTCAGGAGGCGATACTTCATGAGAACCCTGGCCAGGCCAACCTTCAGCTCCAGCAGGGCCAGTCTCATCCCGATGCAGTTTCTCGGCCCCGCCCCAAAAGGCAGCCAGTCAAACTGGCTCCGCTTCCCCCTCTCTTCCTTCGTGAACCTTTCAGTTGAAAGTCACAACATTTAAGAGTAATTCATTCAATGCCTTGTTGACCATGAAATGTATATTGTACAGCAAAAAAATCCCCAACATCATGCCTCACTGCCAAGGGTGACAAAGTAGATAATATTTTTGAGATTCACTGACTCAGAGGTAAAACAAAAGATACAGTCTAAACTTGGTCTAAGATGACCAACCAGGAGACCAAAGAAACATGGTCTTCTGAAGTCTGGGTCTTCTTAAACAAGTGGTCTTCTTATCCAACAAGCATGGTAATGATAGTTTATCTATAATTTACCCACCTGTACCCACCAGTACCTGTACTTTGATTTTTCTAATTATTTCTTATTGGTATTTTTGTGGGATCCCATGGAGTATAAAGACTGAATAATGATCAATTATTTATATAATGAATAAATAAATAAATAGAAACATTGGACGATGAAATATTGTATAAACACCTTTCTGGGATGAACTTCCTGGGTTGGTCCCAGCGTGCAGGGTCGTAGTGAATGGCGAGGGCGGGGACACCCACAACCATACCCTTCGGGACAGTAAGTGACTTCAGCTCAGTATCTTCGTTAGCAACCCTCATGATGCTGAAAGAACACATTTTACAAACGTATAAGGTGCAAAATATTCCTTAAAAAAGTATGCACCCTGGTGCCTGAGTATAACAAGCAACAAACTGTATACTCAGGGATCTTTCCTGATCATTCTACTAAATGTTTTGTGTCAACATTCCTTGTAGATTGTTTGCAAATAATGATACCCAAGGCATACAATCTAAAATCGATTTGTACAAGCCCTGCACTTTTTACGTATCAAATATTAAAATATTAAGCAAACATGCATTAAAAAGGCTTCCACTCCTGTAAGTGTACTGATTGATACTCATGTATGTTGTCTGTAACTTTCATTGTTTCATTGCAGATGATAACTTTTCTGACACAACTATAAAAACTATAGATAGGATATCATCCTTAAATATGCAAATGCTCGGAATACATTACAGGTTTTGCACAGGCACAGAGTACGTTCTGCTGACGTGCTTGTCTAAAGTACATGTTAACTAGATAAAACTTACAATGATACGATAGGGTAGAGGCGAAGGGTCTCCATGACACACATCTCCAGGTAAGGCATCTTCTGCACAGCATCGTAGTCCACTTCAGCCTGTAGAACATAGAGCAGGTCTTAAAATCCTTTATTCTGCATTATAAACCTACACAATGAAAATGTTATGCCTGCAGAAGACAAATTTTACGTGCACCACCCATGAATTGTTAAAGAAAACATTCAATGCACAACATCTAATGCACAAATAAAAATCCTTATACACCTACACACACACACACACACACACACACACACAAACACACACATAACATGTACATTTGTATCTATACATGTACAGTCATACATAAATCCAGTATATAGACCTGTGCAGGACAGGTGCAGGTAGACATCAGACATAGAGAGAGAGAGAGAGAGAGAGAGAGAGACCCAAGAGCTCTCACAACAACAATCAATATGACAGACAGGTCCCACATGGGCACGCAAACCACTGCGTAGCAGCATTAACATAATCTACATGTATGTGGCGCAAAAGTTCGATAGCTGACCGCATTTACATTGCATTCATCTGCACTGTGACTAAAAGTATGTACACATACTGAAGTAAGTGGGTCATTCATCATGAAGAAGGCTGCAGAAAAGCCTTTAAAGCTTCCTCAGGATAAATGACAGGATAAGGACCTACTTTGTTCCCAACGGCCTCGATGATCTCCTCCCTCGCTCTGTCCTGGATCTCCGGGTCGAGGGCAAGGTGGTATAGAGCAAAGGACATCGTGATTGAGACAGTGTCAAAACCCCCGGAAAAGAAGCCGATTCCGTTTGCGACAACATCGTCCCTGGTCAGAGCTGAAATCGTAGGAAATGTTTTCAGCCGCGATATAACATCTGTGTCCATAATATCACCAGGGTCCATAATATCGCCACCTTGAGAAATAGTGTGCTTTAAGATATTTTTACTGCAACATACCTTAGGTATGTACATTTGATGTGTGAAGGAGTGCATACCAAAAGTATGTTGCAGTAAAAATATCTTTAAGCACACTTTTTCTCAAGGTGGTGATATTATGGACCCTGGTGATATTATGGACACGGATGTTACTTTTAGTACTGTAATTCAATTGTTTGTGGTAGCAAAAGTTCACAGTCTGAGATAAATAGAGGTGCTCACAGAACTATATGCTCGCAGTAGCGACAGGTGCAGAAAAAAAAGTTGTAACTAATAAAACTATTAACAGATTAGTAGTACATACGTTGCTTTTTTCCGACCACTTTAGGTGCTTCTGCACCAGTATCGTCGCTCTCCTTGTGTGCATCTATCATAACTTGCAGTAGGTCTGCACGTCCCTTTCAAAACAAACAAAAGAAATCAAAGGTGTCAGACTTCTTGGAAGTTGTTTTTGGGATGTGCTACTGGTAGGAAATGATGACAATAATGTGTGAGAAATGCCAGTAAATATCAATACCAGACCAATTTCCTTATCCAGAATATTTTTGCTGCCCTGAAACTGCATTTGATGCCTTTAAAGTCAATGTAGAAAGAAAGACAATAATATTCTAAAGCCCTACTTTTCCTCCATCAGTTTTCCTCAGTTCCAGAAGCTGGTCCATGACGCCGTCAAAGAAGTCGCTTACATCTCTTTTGTTCAGGGGGTGATAGTTGAACATCTCGAAAAAGGGCTTCATGATGCCAGGAATGGTGACTGTAGAGACATGACATTACAGCAGGTGGTCAGGAATGTGACATTTAAATGATGTGTGTTGAAGGAGGCCTGTGAGACAGTTCCCTCACACAAACACAAGATGTACTGTAAAAAAAAAGAGTAAAAAAGATACTAGTACTGGTTTTCAGGCTGATGGCATGTGGAAGACAATGCAGGACACTGGACTTCTGGGCTGCCATGGTGGTTTGGGTGGCAGAAGAGGATGTGGCACCCAACATAAGTCAAGTCAAGTGTTAAAGTTTTACTCACTATAAAGCCACATGAGTGGACTTCGAAAGTTGAAGTCGAGCGCTCTCCTTGCGTGGGTGATGAACGGATGTTGTGGATCCTGCTGCGAGTGCACCTCAAGCCCGAAGATGGTCCTGGCCGTGGTGTCCATGCTGAACGCACCTGTCAGTCTGCAAGTCAGGATCGTCAATTATAAAAAAATTAAACTTAAACATCCAATGGAAAAACTGGGTTTTCTAAGTCAATTTTTTGGTCATTCTTTTAAGGTAGTAGGTTTAATTAATCCTATCCCATTGGCATGCTGATACATATGAGACAAAAGTTGTAGCCCTCTTGAGGCAGAGTGGCCTCCACTGCAAAGCTGTGACACAAGCAGTTTGGTAGCCTAGCGTGTGTTTACACAAGCTCTCGGCCGAGGGCAATTCTTAGCCCTGATAATTCAGCGCCCTTTGGCCCTGTCGTGTACAGGAGTTTTCATAATAAACCAATAGACAAAAAAAAATTAATGCTATTATACATTTAAGAAAGGGATTTTTTGTTCTTCCTTACTCCCTGACATCAAAAGACTCCTTGGTGGCTACAAAGCTGCTGATGTTCTCCAACAGTTGGTCCGCACATATGTTCACTCCAGCTGTGATCTGGAAACACAGAATCAACGTTAACTGCTAGCCTCAGTCTATTGTGGTTGAGGCTATCTTCAGGGCTCTAATAGTTTTCCCCATCCAGCTCAACACGCTGCCTGGTGGGACACCTGTATAGATTTGCTAATAGAGTTTTGTACGCCAGCAGTTAATTAGCCCGATAGTGACCGGTCTAATCAAGCTCCCGTCATGCAATTTAACGTAACCAGGAACCGACATGTAGCCAAGTTGGGCAGGGAAGAGCTCTTGCAGTCCTAAAGAAAACCTGTACCAACTGCGATAGACTGGACACCAAGCTAATCAACTACTGGATCAATCACATTAGAAGACTTCTGGGAACCTCTGTGAATTGTGTTATCAGGTTGGCACTGAAAAAGTAGACTTGTTTAACACAACCAAGTCTTTTATTCAGCCAGCATTTTGGTGACCGTCTGTCACCTTCCTCAGGGTAGCTCTGACTCATTGCACAGCACCTGTTAATCTCCAAGCAGATTCTGTGGGGCAAGGGCAAGTATACATTGGCCTCCTTATAAAATAATGGAGGATACAGGAGGCCTATGGATACAGGTGGTCTTTGCCCAAAAGAATTCTGCTTGTTGATTAAGCACAGATGTGTCACTGCTAATACCAAAGGTCCGAGTCGACACGTACCTGCTTGAGCTTGCTGCTGCTGAAGGCTGGGGTAAGTGAGGTCCGCACGTTCCTCCAGGCCTCCTCCCTCAGATTAAACAGCTGCAGGCTTTGGGGCTTCACATTGATGTCTTGTGTATCTGGCTGCAGTGATTGAAGTATAAGTCTCATCATGTTTCTCCAATGAATGAAAAACCTATTCTCATCCCATACTACACACTACTCCTGTTCCAGTAATTTCCATCCTTAACTTTGTACCTTGTATACAATTAAGTATAGAAAGTACTGACAGACGACACCTTCTACAATTGTCATGCAAAAAGTTGTATTTCAATACATGTGTATATTCATTCATATATTATGGTAAGTGGTATAAAGAGACACTGATCATACAAATTCAATATGATGGTTCCTTAACACTTACCCCCCCCCTCCCATCAGCTAGCCTGGGTGCCATCCTCCGTAGTTTCCGCCAGCTACCTGAATGTTGGTGGCCAGCGACATAGGATTTAGCAGAAACTATGAAGGGTGGCACCCAGGCTACCCGACCTGAAGTGGGATGAAGATGCTGACAAAAGTGTAACACTCACTTGACGATTGACAAACTTGTGGAACTGTTTCACGAAGACCTCCTTTAACATCTCTGCATCACTCAGAATGAGAAGTGGCATCATCCCATTGAAGACTCTGTATCCATAAATTGATAAAACATTAACATCAAGATCGACTTCAGACTTCCTTAGAGTATTTCGGGCTTTCGTTTACATGCCTGTGACATTTGTAAGAGACTACCAAAACAGCAACCAAATAAAAACGACTTTGAAATGTCATGCAATGACATGTGCTGTCTAATGTATTTACTCACCCAAATGCTGGAGCCATATCAGAAGCAGAGTATTGAGTGTTGTAAACCCCCTACGACAGAAAAGGGCAGAAAATCAGAAATCCAATTGATTTTGAACATACATACAGTATAATGTCAACTTATATTATAGACACACACACACATGCATGAGCACGCACACACACGCACACGCACACATGCACACGCACACACGCACACACACATGCAAACATAAATACACACACACATGCAAACATAAATACACACACACATTAAGCATACACACACATGCACACATAAACATACACACACATGCAAACATAAATACACACACACATTAAACATACACATACATGCACACACACACACACACACACACACACACACACACACACATGCACATTAAAAGAAATAAAACATACATACACATCACACACACACACACACACACACACAGAGGCTGAAACACATTTAATAGAGCTTACCCCAAGAAGGGTCAGGTATGCGGTCCCGATGATGGGTAGAGGTGGCAACCCAATTCCAGGTACTCCCATCCTCTTGAACACAAACAGAGGATGGACTGCATACCTTTGGGATGAAGGAAGAAACCCCAAAATAATGTTAACTTCACATGGTAACCTAACAAGCTATTCTTAATAATAGTCATCATTCTTACTCAAACGCATTCATATATAATACTATATGATGACCAGCCCCGTCATCTCTGTCCTGCTACATAACGTAACGCAACACCACAGGGTGTACTCTGTGGTACAGAACCAGTTACCATGGTAACAGACTTCTGGTCCAGGTCATTGACCTCATTTGTTTGGAGAAGAAGAAACCGAGCAAAAACAATCAATATGCACAAAACTCTAAATGACTGGAAAGCAGAATGGCTGTCAACTAGCCGTGGCGACTCGGTACGCCTTTTGTATGACTATGATATTATGGTATTTACCAATACAAGATACATTGTACAAAGTATCACCACGGTTAGTTGTCAACATGACTGCCAAAGATTTGAGACACTTACAGATAGAAAAGTACCGCCAGTACAGGCAGTAGGATCCATGTCAGCGGGACCGGCAGAAACTCCAAGTTTATTATTGAGGCCATTTCTGCTCAATGCACTGCTGATTATCGTCGTGACCCCAGAAATAATTTATGCCAGAACCATAGCGTTACTCGCAGACTCGCTGAGCTGACTGAGCCAGGGGAGGGGCAGTCCGCAAACAATTTGACCAAAGTACGGCGCACGAAAAGGTTAGCGATGCCATTCAAGCCTGCTGAAAAACATTGGGACGTCTAGGCTCGGGTAAACAGGAATCTGACGTCATGACGCCCCACAGGACGTTGACCTTATAATGTTGGGTCACGGAAGCACACAGAGAGTGACGTCACAGACGCTCTAGAGGTCGCCCATGGGCATGGAGAAGAGTGACAGAGGACAGAGGCTGGCAATGATGTTGTCTGTTATAAAACAGGCTAAACATTGGAATGAAAAGGCTTCATGTTGCGGAAGAAAAAATTATGACCTATTACTATATAACTGCAAGCCTTTGAACTGCCGGACTTCACTACTTTTCACTGATGGTCTTTACTGAATCATTACTTCTGTCAAAAATGAAAGTGCACGAAAATACTCATAATCTCATACCTGAACCTAGAACCAAGGAGGTTAAAAAAAGGGACCAAGGAGTTTAACCTCCTTGCTAGAACCATGGAGGTAGAAAAAGAGAAGGAGGGAGCTCAAACTCAAAGTCTCTTTTTCTACCTCCATGCTAGAACTGACAAATGTTTGAGACACTTACACATAGAAAAGTACCGCCAGTACAGGCAGTAGGATCCATGTCAGCGGGACCGGCAGAAACTCCAAGATGAAGTCCATTTTTGCTGGATCCACCGATTGTGCGGCGTAGTGATGATACAATGGACACTCCTTCCAGCAAATGCCAGACGCAGCCTCTCGCGATGTAGCAATGCTCAAGACTGATCGGCCAGTCAGCAGATTATCCGACCTAGCCAACATTTTGACCGGTCGGTCGGACGTAGCCTCTCTTGGGCTTCAGAAGCAGCTGAAAATACTAGAAATTGGCATAAATTGGCAACTGAATACTGGTAGACAGATAACATGCTAGGGGAGTTGGTCACGCTAAAAATACCCCCAAAACCCAAACCTCTGCTTGGAGAGTATGCTAGTAGAGACTTCAGGGAACCCTGCTAGTAGAGGCTATCTTCGACCGACCGGTCGAGAATGATGTCTCTTTATTTTCTTTAGCCAACCGCACACATTTTGCCAAGTCCAAGGTCTATTTTCTCTACCAAGAATTCCGGAAGCGGCGGGAAAGAGCAGAATGATTGGCAGATGCCAAATCGACAGATGATTCTTCTCTCCAAGCAGAGGTTGTGGGGGAATGATCGTTACCTTTTTATATATATTGCCGGGTTTTTTTTGTCCTGACCCCCACACGCTTTTTTATGGGGTTAACCCAAACCTCTGCTTGCAAAGTACATGTAGTCTTAGCGCGGACCAATTCCTCCTGCATATCCCGAAGCAAAATAACCTCCGCACGGGCCATACTATACACAGTGCGTTTCTTATCAAGACCGCTAGAGGCCTCGCTTCAAGTCACACGCAGATGACGTCATTCTTGTACAGTTGGAATGGGCCAGGATGTAAACCTCCACGTGGAAGCAATGACAATACATAGGTTGACGTAATCTCTATAAGAATACAAAGCGTGCGATATAAGGCACGACTGCCAGTTGTCAGGACGCTAGGACCCAGAGCACAACTGCATTACTGCTATCACAGAAACTGCTGTATGTATCTAAAAGACGACTACTGCACCGTGTGAACTTTAGCATATTGTCAAAGTTCGAGTCACTTACCATATTTTAATAGACAGGAACAATGGGGCTGTATATGGGAAAGCTCATCGCAAAATTGTATGGACAACAAGAAGTCAGGATTCTCATGTTAGGTGAGTGTTAATATGTTAACATTTTTCAGCACAAACCACTCACAGTGAGGCGGTGTACAACAGTTACTAGATTTAGTGTAGACACTCACTGAGTTTATACATAGTATATCGTAAGTTCACACATTTGGTTACACATATCATATGAATACGCAAAACGCCTGCCAAACCGTCGTACGTGTATTTGGATAGAATTAAAGCCTTACGAACAGTTCTGTTCACCCCTACGTATACGCTTTCAGCAATATGACTAGTGAATTGATTACTGTCTTCCTTGCTCATGGCTTTCACACATACACATATCTGTCTTTTAAATGCTCTTCAGGACTAGACTGTGCCGGCAAAACCACAATCTTATACAGACTCATGAAATCAGGACTGGGGGAAGTTAGAGACTGCACGGCATGCGCACACAGCACATCACTGGGTATGTTATCACCTGTATATGTTGTGTCATGTAGCTAGATAGCCTAGACGTACAATCTTCAATTTGCTTCAACCTGTAGGTTTGGACGCGGCCGGAAAGACCACAACCCTGTATAGACTGAAGCTTGGGGAGGTTGTCACCACCATTCCGACTATAGGTAGGGTTGAATAAATAGGAGAAATCGTCCTAAAAGGGGATATAATTGGACAGGGGAGTTAGCCGGCCATAGAAGGACCAGTTTGCCGCATGCCCGCTAGTTATCAGCTATACCGATGCCGATACAGAACTTGCATGGCGCATGGGATATCTTTCATTCATTTGCCGTTGAACTCAAGGTACAATTATATTTTCACAACATCGTAGCAACCTACAAGTACACGTACGTGACGTCGAGATGTTTTTTCACAGGGTTTAACGTGGAGACGATTGAATACAAGAACGTCAAGTTCACATCTTGGGACGTCGGTGGGCGTGACAAAGCCGTAAGTACGGACTTTCACATTCATGATCCTGTTTCCTTCAAAAACTGTTTTGGATGGAATATATGGCACATCGATATCGACAATGTATAATGGATTTTTACGTCTCTCATTTTAACCAAGAACGTGTGATGAAAGCTCCTTGGTAAAACCAATAGCATTTTTCACGGGAAAAACTACATGTATACGCAGTCCGTTTTGGAGTAGATGTTTACAAATAGAATGCTGTTGTTTTGTCTTCTTACAGAGGCCTCTCTGGCGCCACTATTACCCGAACACGGACGCCATCATCTTCGTGTTGGACAGCAGCGACAGAGAGAGGCTACCGGAAATGCGGGAGGAGATAGGAAGGTACCTACATGAGGATGAACTGCGAGACTCCCTCTTTCTGATTCTTGCCAACAAACAGGTAAAAAGTTTCTTTTATTTTACCGGTAATGTTAATTATCGTTGATAGATATAAAGATACAACAGAAATTCGTCATTTCACTTCCGGATACGGCAGTATTGTTTTTGGGTGGCAGAGTCGTGGGTTTGTGTCTCCGTTTGTCCTAAAATTTGCTTCTTTTGCATGGTGTTGGGAGGTGATTTTGACAGTTGATTGATAGGAAGGTCGTGCTTGTATGTGACCCAGCAGGCAGCACGTGCCGGGTGTGAGTAAGAGGGCAGTATGTGGAGGAATTCAGGAAACGCAGTGCCTGATTAGATTACAATGGACATCATACAACGCTCTACACGGTTAAAGTACATTCACGAAAACCCCAAAAACGCTTCCCGGGGGTCTGTGGACTTGGCAGTCGTCGTCACGAAAACCCCCAAATACTTCCTGGGAGTCTGAAATCTCCGATTTCTTTCTTGTATGTTTTTAGAAAGGACAAGAACAGATCGCCACTGTACATGGTCTATAGTCAGCGGACGTACTTAAACAATGTTTTCCCTTGAAGGACCTGCCGAATGCACTACCTCCAGACGTCATAAGAGAGAAACTTGAGCTGGACACACTGTTGAGAGGCCGTCAATGGCGTGAGTAGCAAAAGTTTTGGCGACGCCTGTGGGGAGGATGCATTTTCAGATTTAGTTTGATGTCTTTTGATACGTTCATTGTTTCTCAGTTATTAATATTACGGATGTCTCATTTTCCCAGTTTTTTTTATATCAGAACTAATGTTTACTTACAGTCTAAGATGTGAATACTTAAAGAATGGAGGTTGATAACTTGCATTCCATTAACAATACTGGGCCATCAATGCTCTCATTTTTCCTACCCAGACCTTCAGCCAGCCTCTGCCAGAGAGGGACAGGGTCTGTATGAGGGTCTGGACTGGCTGACCGCCAAACTTGCAAATAAAGAGGCACACAAGTACGTCACGCAGTCGGTCGTGGAGGCGAGGACTGACGCCGAGGCGCTGACCAAGTCCAACCCCATCAAATCTGTAGTGAGGTACTTCAAGTCCTGGTGGAGCAACGTGGGACAGGCAATGGCTACGTGAATTCAGTTTGCTGGATAGCTTGTGCATGTTTGGACATCTTTTGAAAATAAAGGGTTTGGACTGTGTAAATATTATGTACATACGTCATTAACGAATTGATTTCGACATCGAAGTACAAAAATGTACACTGTTTACACACATAATTGAAGGATTACGTACACGTTAACATACCTATACATTATCAAAGTATACATATTACATGTAACAAATGACATGTAACAAATTGCCATGGTAGACGGTTCAACCATCCACTGATGAAGAAAGCATGCTGTTAACTTGGATTAGGAGGAAAATGACTATTGCATGTGTAAAACTATATATACTTATTTCTAATCATATTATTTGATCAATAAGGGAACAATCCATTGAGATCCCATTTGTGTAAATGTTGTACCAAAGACCTCCTATCGTACTGTCTAGAGAAGCATAGACACAAACCCACAGACAACACACCCTGAAGTAATAAAAACACACATGACAGCGATCTGGTTGTTGAGTTCATCATCTCCTAACCCATGTGCTGTTAGTAGCATTTGAACCTACTCTATCTGGACAAGCATAAGAACAAACCCCCAGACAACCCATCCAGAAGTAATGAAACACACAGACGACTGGTCTGGTTGTTGAGTTTATCATCTCCCAACCCATGTGCTATTATTAGCCTGTTAACCTATTCTATATGGACAAGCATACACACAAACCCACAGACAACACATGTAATAAAACACGACAGCTATCTGGTTGTTGAGTTTATCATCTCCAAACCCATGTGCTGTCAACCTACTCTGTCTAGACAATCATACACATAAACCCAAAGACAAGCCACCCAGAAGTAATAAAAACACAGATGACAGTGATCTGGTTGTTGAGTTTATTATCTCACAGACAACAGGCAGACAGAGGGAAGCTACTCGATTTCCTCCTCCTGAATCTTGCCCTTCTGCTTCTCCGTCTGCTGCCTGCTGGCCGCCTTACGGTCGATGATCTGCTTACGGTCCTTGTCCATCTTTAGTTTGGTGATCTCCATCTGGAAAGCCGACAAGAAGGGAAGAAATCGGGTTACAGTGGAATGAATTATCACTATAAGCACTGACTGGCTCTTCCAGGGCTGGAAATATCACATGCATATGAAAGTGCAGGTAAAAATGGAGCTGTATGTGTGGGGGTATTTCTGATGTCTGCCCGTACCTAAGCTGCACTGGTCCATAAACATGTTAACATGTATGTAGATGTACTATACCCTAAGTTAACTGCTGCATTTTCACACTGAAATACAAAATACGATAATGTACACGTACACCAACATAATCATCTCAACAAGGGCTGAAGAATTTCCCAATTACAATTGTTCTGGCAATTACAATATTATTGTTCTGGCATTTCTAGTAAAAGAAGTGACCTAGATTATAGGAGGCTTGTGTAGAGACTGATATGGTAATAATTTTTAATATGAACTAAAGATGGCCACAAGCTACTCATTGTTTGAAGTGTCTGCACAATGTCCTTGGAACATAGCATTGTCATTACAATCATCATAGCCTGCTCTGGACATCCTGTTGACAACTGACATATCTTGGAAGAAAAACGTCAACAATTCTTCAACAAGGGCTAAAACAGTGCTACCTCCCTAACTGAACAATGTGTTTCACCTAAGCACTTTCCACGTAAGTTAATACCTCTACATTTATAAGAGGTAGATCACTGAAATAGGAGGTAGATACATTGACATGTTGATAATGTCTGAAAAACCTGCCCAAAAAGCCCACCCTGGGGGAACCGAGTGGTCTTCTTCCAACAGTAGCGGCCGTGGACGGGTCGCTTAATACTTGCAGCTATGGGCAAACAACGTTCCGATTCTGAGACCAGGACAAGGTGATTGTTATGGCCAGATGGCCAACTTGAAGAGTAGGCCACATGGGCAGGTTTGACTGAAGGTCATCTCAAGGACTCACCTTGGAAGGGTGGATACCGACGTACACCGTTGCACCGTTGGCCTTCTCGCGCTGGATTCTCTCGATGTAGCAGACAAATTTCTTTCTGTAGACCGACACGACCTTGCCAACCTGGCTACCCTTGTAGTGACCTCTGGTCACCTGCAAATCAAAGAAAAAAAAAAGGCAAAAAAATGATTAAGTGCTACAAATGTCAACATCTTGAGCAATAAATGCATTGTAAAAATATCCATACATAAACATATATGCTGCTGCTGCATGGCACTCTTCTATGGAATGTAACAAAAAACATTGATGGAGAAAAGGCTATAGCATAAATTTTTATTTAAAATTAGTACTATAATGTGCCAGTGCTTCGCATATAGGGTATACTGATGATGAAAATCAGAAGATGGCCACAGGCTACTCATCTTAGAAGTGTCTGCACAATGTGCTTGGAACATAGCATTGTTATTACAATCATCGTAGCTTGTCGTGGACATCCTTAGAGGTATACCATGGCTTGGAACAAGACACACAAATCAGGGCTCTCCCCAAGCAATGAAGCAAGAGTGTTCCCCTTCTCCCCAAAATCCTACATGTATCCCCCAAAATGTCCAAATTTGGGGATTTCTCTTAGTATAATCCTGAAAATTCTCTGATTTTTCATCAACCAGCTTGGAAGCATTTCTCCCCTTGAAGAATTTCATGGGAGACCCCTACAAATGTTTACCATTCTATTTTAAAAAAATTATACTTTCAACCGTGTCACAAAACAGTTTCTCTTTTACATTGATTTTCTACATCTCACCTGAACCTCATCGTCCTTGCGGATGGGCATGGCCCGGACGTTGTACTTGGCGCGGAGCTCCTTGGACAGAGGCGAGCTCATGATCTTCCTACGGACGTGGGAGGGCGCGTTGAAGTGACGCTTGCGGTTCTTCCTCCGGGAGGAGGACACCATCTTGTTAAACTTCATCTTGCCTAAATGTGAGTGTGCAAAATAACATGTGTTATAGGACTGCATCCTTTTCATACAATGTCCTACACATGCTAGTTCAGTTGGTGCCATAGCCTGGATGTCAAGACTGTTTTGGGGGCACAGGCCAGCACTCAGAAATTTTAAGATATGGGTGTGTAACTGTCTACCGTAAAAAATAGCTACAAACCTGATAAATTACGAAGCACGACAAGAGCATTACTTAAAGAGGGACGGGCTCTTAATTCATCAAGAGCAAAAGTGGCTTCCACTGCTTTTGAATGGAACACAGGAACATCGGTAGTTTGTATCTGGACACCATAATAAAATATGGGGAGGGGGACAAGTACTGTACTGTAGTCGAATGGATTTCACGTCATCAAAGTAGTCCGCAAATCGTATCACCCGACCAAGAATACGGTGACAAAATGCACTGCGTCATGTGGCAACTGAAGACTTGGTATACACCTTTTAATCCAAATACTTGTACTAGTTCTACCATATACAAATGTATATGATCAGGGCCATCACTGTACTAGTCCTGTTCTTTCAACGGGAGAATTCCGGTTCGTGTGTAAAAACTATTACATTCTGGTTCAAAATATTAGCCCCGATTGATAGCAGAGATACTGTGCTTTCATATTCCTGAATGACTTTGACTGATGATGTACATTTTCAACGATATTTGGCGGATGTTGATGTGTGGATTTGGAACCTCATACCTTTTTCCAAGATGGCAGACCACGAAGAGGTCGTAACATCCGGGGATTTTTCAATCCAACTCTCGCGCTGTCTCGCGCTGTTGCCTCTGGCAGTAACCGAGATTCTGCGAGATTAGCATGTACCATAATAAGATAGGGGTGCAGGATCAAATCAATGTCAATGACCACATTAAATGTATAAAACTAAAGACAAAATGTCAGTGATGCATTTGTAAAGAATTGTCATGTATCAAGTACTTTACAAAATGTTTTGTAATCTATTTGAATAAGTATCTGAACAATTAGAGCACCTGATATAAATATCAAATTTCTACCTACCTATTTAAAAGTGGGCACGACTTCCAGAAACATGGCAGCACTTCGAGTAAGTGATCTTTTCTGTCCACATTTTGACGACGTTTTCTAGTTTCCTCGCCGCCGAGGGACGTGTATACTTCGCTATAGTAGAAAATAACACACATTTAAAGCACAGAATACGAACGTCTTTAGAGTTTTTGCCTGTATACTTGGTTAAAGCCGGGAATTTTACCCGGGAAACAAGTTGCGTAACCTGCGCATGAGCTGACAACCGGTTTGGTTTGGGGGTGTGTTTGGGGGCACGGCCTCTTGTGACACGTTGATCGTGTTTGACCAAAGATAGATACATTAGATAAAGCTACTTCACAGCCAATGTTGGGCCAGTGTTTTACTTATGCCTTGTAGTTACAGTTGGAATGAACGGGCACAGTCTATGTAACTTACAAAATTCAAATTATATTACCTTGATACCTTGATACGTCTTCCAGGAAAGAAGGCCGGGGCCTGTTATGTCCTGATCTCTGCTTACTCGGTTGCGTACCTTCGCTTCTCCCAGTGACTGTCAAGTCTGCTTTTGAACTGATTAACAGTTTCTGCTGCTACTACTTCTTGAGGCAGAGAATTCCAGTTTTTGATTGTTCTGACACTGAACCCCTGCGCCCTAACCCTGGATCTTGCTAGAGGAACTTTCAACTTGAGGTTGTGACCTCTGGTCGCTGTTTGATCCGCTGGCTCGAAGAAACAGCTGACTGGGACCCTCTCAAGGCCCTTCATAATCTTAAAAACCTGGATCATGTCCCCCCGCTGACGCCTGTACTCCAAGGTTGGGAGTTTAAGTCTCTGCAGTCTGGTACTGTAAGGGAGTTCCCTGAGTGTGGGGATCAGTCTTGTGGCCCTTCTCTGTACCTTTTCCAGCTGCTGCTTTCCAGACTTGGAGTGTGGTCCCCAGATCACATTTCCATACTCTAAGTGTGGTCTGACCATCGTTTTGAACAGGATTGGTAGGGTTTGTTCGTCCAGGTGGGCAAACGACCTCTTGATTAAACCCAGCATTTGGTTTCCCTTGTTCTTTGCTGTCGCTGTGTGGGTACAGAATTTGAGGTGGTGATCGACTATCACTCCCAAGTCCTTCTCTTCCTCAGTCTTTAGCAGATCCTGGTCCCCCAGGGTATAGTTAAGTCCATTATTGCCACTTCCAAGGTGGAGGACTTTGCACTTGTCCACATTGAACGGTAGCTGCCATGTTGAAGACCAACCTTTAAAGCCTCTAAGTCCCGCTGAAGTGTGTCATGGTCCTCCCTTCCCTTTATACCACGGTACAGCTTGCTGTCGTCGGCAAATATTCTAACCGTACTGCTGACCACTTCCGGCATGTCGTTAATATAAACCACAAAAAGTACCGGACCCAGGACGCTCCCTTGCGGGATCCCACTCTTCACCGTACTCCACGAGGACTGCTTGCCATTCACCACTACCCTCTGCTTTCTCTGGACTAGAAAGTCCTTCACCCAGTCCCGCAGTTTCCCTCTCACTCCATAAGCTTCCAACTTGCTGAGTAGACGCTGGTGGGGTACTGCATCAAAAGCCTTCCTGAAGTCCAAGTACACCGTGTCAACTGCTTCCCCCCTTTCCAGCAACTGCGTCCATTCTTCCATAACGACCAGTAATTGGGTTGTACAGGACCTCCCCGGGACAAAACCATGTTGTGCATCTGTAAACAGGTTTGCAGCAGACATGTGTTGCACCAGTGCATCCCGGATAATGGCCTCAAGTGTCTTCCCAACCACCGACGTGAGGCTAACAGGCCTGTAATTTCCCGCTGTTGTTCGACTACCTTTCTTGTGTATCGGCGTTATGTGGGCAGTTTTCCATTCTTCGGGTAGCCTAGCAGCCTTCAAGGACTTGTTGAAGAGGATGGTCAAGGGGTAGGCCAGTTCCCCAGCCAATTCCTTCAGAAACCGGGGGTGAAAGTTATCAGGGCCCGCTGACTTGCTTGGATTCAGTGCTTCCAGTTTGTCCCTCACTGCCTTCTCTGTGACCTCTATACCCTCTAGTACCGGTGCGGACGTTCTGGCATCCAACCTGGGGATAGATGACACATCTTCCGTTGTAAAGACGCTGGCAAAGAAGTTGCTGAGCTCTTCGGCTTTTTCCAGATCTGTCTGAGCGATAGATCCATCAGTTCTTACTAGGCTCCCAACCTTCTGCCTCACTTGTAGTCTTGAGTTTACGTATTTCCAGAACGCTTTAGGATTGTTCTTAATGTCCTTTGCCAACCTATGCTCGAAATCGGTGCACAACTTCCTTGTGAGACCCCGAAGAGAGTTTCTCTCTGCAGCATAACGTATGTAGTCAGCCTGTGTTCCAGTATGCTTCCATCTTCCCCATGCCTTTCTCTTCTTCTTCCTAGCTCTCATAGCCTGGGTGTTCATGTACAACTTATCCGGCTTCTGCTTGGAGTTGGACTGGGGTACACACTCTTCAATAATACCATTCAGACCACTGCTAAACTTAGCCCAGGCCTCGGATATGTCTAGGTGGCACAGTTCTCTATCCCAGTCTATTGCCTGTAGATCCTGACTTGCTTTGGCGTAGCTTGCCTTGTTATAGTTCCTTCTCATAACACTGTGGACAGATGAGCTGATGCAGCAGTTAATCTGGAAGCTTAAGCAGCAGTGATCCCCTTTCCCCAATCCTGGGTCATACCTTATTCCTCCAATTGTATCCTCCTCATTTGTTATGACCAAATCCAGGATGGATGGCACCTGGTTTACTCTGTATCGGGTGGGTTCCATGACATGTTGAAACATGTAGTTATCATCCAGACAGTCAATCAGTAGTTGACTGTGATGTCTGCTCCCGACCGTTGAGCGCCTCACTTCCCAGTCCACCTCCTTGATGTTACGCAACAGATTCTGAAAAAAATTACACAATGTCATATGTTTTCTGATAATATACAGCAGATACAGAGTTATTTCAATATCCAATAACTTATACACTGTACTTTTAACACAAAGTTGACATATTCTTTTACATATGGTTTATTTGACTTTTAGTTACACATTTGGACCAGGGCCAAATGGCAACTTACACAATATAAACTTGATCAACGATAAGGCTAAATTAAGCCCAAGTCTAGTATTAACCACATACTAAAACTAACATTACTAAAAGAAATTTTTAAAGGTAGATTGTTTGTCTTGGCTCTGACAGGTGATACAGAAGCTGGCGCGGACGGTACCGGCGCGATGTGTGTCGGCGGGGCGGATGTCGAGCCAGACGTCTACGGTGTCCGCCGGCCATCCCGTGTCGGAGGTGGTCATGCCGCTCACCGTGCTGTCAGAGGACGAACAGATGATGAGAGATTCAGGTACATCCTGGTGTATATTACCTCTGTGTCACAGAACTAAAAGGAATGGGATTTTATTATAGGATTTTATAGTAGCCTGACTACATCACGCTTGCAGCAGCCTTTTCACTGGTTAGGCCCTTAGACTAAGTTAGAGGCTTGATGGCCAACACCTCTAAATCAGGAGGGGACACCCTAACTTGATTCATTTATGCATATGCCATATTTTTTTTTGTCAGACACAGAATGGTCTGTTACTCGACTCGGTTACAGTCCTGACCATAGTGTTGGAGGCTGTGATCAAAAATACTAGTAGTGGGAATGGTTCTCATGTACTAGTATGTACCATGACATGAGAATCAGAATTTGTGAATATCTCATATTTCGTCATCATTCTTACTACCTTTTTATGCCATGTTCAACCTAGTTATTTCATAGAGTAATAATCCATATTTCTTTTTGTAGTTGCTAAGTTTGCGAAGGAGAAGATCGGCCCTCTTGTTCGAGAGATGGATCGAAACTCCAAGATGGACGACTCAGTGTTGCAGGGCCTGTTTGAAAATGGGGTAAGTCTAGTCTGTCCTCACAATGCATTCAAAGTTTAGTCTGTTTTATACTGAGCAGTAGTCAGAATAGTGATATTACTGTGTAAGTAAGGTTCACTGCAGCTTGACAGTTGTTGCAACTGTTTGTTTGTAGATTTCCACATGTACACACTAGCTGATGTAGGTGGCACTTTTGTGATAAGAAGCACTCTATTCAGAAACTATGTGGAAGGTGTTTGATAGATATAAAGTTAAGCCCGAGGTTGCAAATTGGATGGCACCCAGGCTAGCAGGCTAGTTAAGGAGGTGAGAGAAGTATAGCGCAAACTCTGAGCGATTTAATCAGGCTAAGTACTGGTTGTGTTAAAGAAAACTCCAATGCGCCAAAAAGCAATTACTCAAGCAACTGGATATAGTTTTGAAAACCATATCCAGTTGCTTGAGTAATTGCTTTTTGGCGTATCGTATTACCAGGATGTCTAACCTTCATCGACAAAACTCCAATGCCCTATATATGCTATGTTCGACCAACCCAGTGAAGTTACTTTTGGCATCTGTGTTTATAGTTGATGGGAGTTGAGGTGGAGGCTGAATATGGGGGTACAGACTCGACATTCTTCTCCTCGTGCCTGGTGGTGGAGGAGCTGGCCAGGGTGGACCCAGCAGTGGCTGTGCTGGTGGACATACAGAACACCCTCATAGTAACCTCGCTACGGCTTCACGGCAATGAGGAACAGAAACAGAAGTACCTGCCACGACTGGCAACCGACACGGTCAGTTCTACACTAGAACCGGTAGCAGGAGGCTACAGTAGTGTTCTAGTTAGCATAAAGGGGGCTCCCTACCTCCTCTTCTGTCATTTAGGCCCCTATGGTGTCTTTCATAATAATTTTTCAATCAGAGTAGGGATGTTTAAGTTTGCATTTTAAGCAATATTGTAAAACAAAAACACATGTTTGCAGTGTTATTTCTTGAAATGCTTACAGAATGGTGTGTTAGGCCAAAAGGCGGTTATACTGGCTATACAGATACAGATACAGAGAATGAGATTAACATTCTAACCTTATACCATGCACTGTGTGCTTCTTCCCGCAGGTTGGGAGTTTTTGTTTGTCAGAAGCGGAGTCCGGAAGCGATGCCTTTGCCCTGAAGACTCGAGCAGACAAGAAGGGCGACTACTGGGTGATCAACGGGTCCAAGATGTGGATCAGTAACTCAGAACAGGCCGGGCTGTTCCTTGTCTTTGCCAACGCCGACTCCTCACAGGTAACCAGGCTGGGCTCAAGTTTTATGAAGTAAGCTCAAACTGCAAATTCCAACACCTAGAAATTGGACTTGACCAAATTTTTGATTGTACAAGTCCAGTCTTTGTCAAGGAATAAACAATCGACCACTAAAATATATGTGCTACAGCATGTGCCATAAAGAAAAATGTCCTAGGACTGATATTATTTGCCCTATGTAAATTGGGTCTTAGTGGGCAGTATATGGAGCAATTTATGAAGGCTAGTGGTGTATAATATCATGTACAATCCCTTCCACAGTTCCAATACCTTCACCCAAAGCAAGAACACTTCTCAGATGTCTGTGAACTTGATTGAAGGTCACGAAAACCTAAACTACTTCCCGGATGTTTGAAATCTCTGATCTCTTGTTTTTTGCATAGGGCTACAAGGGCATCTCCACCTTTCTGGTGGACAGGGACACTCCAGGACTGACCATCGACAAGCATGAGGACAAGCTGGGCATCAGGGCTTCATCCACATGTCCTGTTCACTTTGAAGATGTCAAGGTTTGTATCATTCCATAATATCAATAGTCTAGGCATGGCAGGGCTCGAATCACGTCTTTCCACATACCTGTACTTGTGCATGTAACATTGAAAATTCCTTGCACCAGACAAGTTTTACCTGCACCACACATAATGTAAGAAGTATGGATCACACTAAAAACACTAAGAAACCATTGCCATTATTTCTTTTTTTACATCATGTCTAGCCTGGCCATTTTTCTTTTGTCTTCAGGCCACACCAATTTAATTTGTTGGTTCTCGGATTCGCCTCTTCATTTTTTTCTGATTTGAAAAAAAAAAAAAAAAAAAAATTCTGGTTCTGATGAGCTGAATCATCTAAAAAATGCTCAATTTTGCTCCCAACAGTTGAGGAAAGTCCTTTTCTTCCTAGTTGTTACAGTTTTTCAATCTTTTAATGCAGTGGTTTGGTTAAAAGTTCAAAATTCATTGTTTAAATTTTATCCCAGCTTTTTGTGTTGACTTCATGGCTCCAATCGAAGCATTTGGGGCTATAATAGGATGCCTAGGCCTGTTTTTATTTTTATTTTTTTTCGCCCTGTTGCTTCATATTTTTTCTGAAAAAATCCGAGAACCAACAAATTAAATTGGTGTGGCCTCAAGTGTAGTTTCTTTTTTTTTTCATTTCCCTGACATTAGCACCTCTTCCATAGTCTAAGTCATAAGCTTGTCAATCCTAACAATTGTAGTTGTATCTGTTTGTACATACAGATCCCAGAAAGCCATCTCCTGGGGACCGTGGGCCATGGTTATAAGTATGCCATCGGGCTTCTGAATGAAGGAAGGATAGGAATAGCTGCTCAGGTGAGTAGGTTAACCTTCTGTGTGCCAAGGGTGTCTCAATGTGTTAGCTTTTCACTGATACACTGAAGTGCTGAGTTAAGGTGAAGTTTGAATAGAAAAATTCTTTATTCACAGCCACTTGTTTAACAAGAGCCGACGTTTCGATAACTATCTGTAGGTGTTAATAGTGTTATCTTCATCAGGGCAATTATGACTGGTTCACTCTGCACTAGGTGTTACTGCTTGTAAGAATAAACAGATGTTACCTTTCTAATGTTTGCTTGTTTTTGTTGTTGTTTAGATGCTTGGCCTGGCACAGGGATGTTTTGACCATGCTGTTCCCTACACCATGGAGAGGAAGCAGTTTGGACAAAGCATATTTGACTTCCAGGTAAGAACCTGTCAAAAATTGATGACCAGCGATTCAGTCCAAAGTTCCAAAACTTGCCAACTCAACTTTCATGCTTGAGAAGTGCATTTGAATTTTGGATTATTTATGTACAATGGTTTTTATGAATAGTGCAATGGACCTATAACATTATTACGTCACAGTTTGTTTACCGCAATGAATGCCGGTCAATCGACGTTTATATTGTACAGGGGTGCGTAGCGTGGTGTGTGTTTGTGTAGTGTTAGCCTTAATATAAGGTTTTTAACACAGTACTACTTTCGTCTAATGTCACAACTAAAGCACCCATTACGGCATGTAATGCTGTGTCAACAAAACTAGATGCAGCAAAAATCAAACATACCTGACTTTGAAAACTTTGAAATGATCTTTATTCTTTAACTGGCCGTTATAGAAAGTTCTTTAGAACAGGTAAACAAACTGTGACGTAATAATGTTATAGGTCCATTCCATTGTGATGTCTTGTCTTTGTTGGGCCTTTACAATAGCCACAGGCAGACAGGCTAGTTGGGCTGCCCTGATTGTGTATGCAATAGCCAAACCAATGAACTAGATAAATGTATGTGAATGATGTGTTATTGTTTTTGTCTAGTCCATGCAGCATCAGATCTCGGAGATAGCCACAGAGATTGAGGCGGCCAGACTGCTGGTGTACAACGCTGCCAGGCTGAGGGAGGCCGGCCAGCCTTTCATCAAACAAGCTGCCATGGCAAAGTTCTACGCTGCTGAGGTATGGACACCCTGTCTCAAAAACTGTACACAAAAGAAACCAACAACAACACTAAAATTAGCCAATTTACTAGTAGCAGAGAGACAAAGAGAGAGGAAGACCAGCTTTAAAACTAAAAGTATTAGTACTCTGTGTTGATTGCTATTGTATTGTGGATTGTATTCTGGTGCAACAAAGAAAATCTTGCAGGATTGTCAATGGTCTAATCCAAAAGAAAGCTGTAGTAATAGACAAAGATTGAAAACTGTCATCTCAAACTCTACAAAAAGTAGATAAGAGGTTTATTGAGATTAAAACAAGCCAAGTCATTGAAATTGAACTAACTTGTCTTTTTGCAGGTTGCTGCTAAGACCACTGCCAAGAGTATAGAGTGGCTGGGAGGTGTGGGTTTCACTAAGGACTACCCTGTGGAGAAGTTCTACAGGGACTGTAAGATAGGTAAGATATCACTGATATCTTGTTGTCGTATTTTGTTTAGTAAACGTGACCAAATAATATTATAACATGGAGTAGTGATAGATAGCGTGGGGTTGTTTCCTATCAACAAATCCTAATTTTCAAGTCAATCTGCATTGATCTTTTAAAAGTGACATGAACTTTAGATTTAGATCAGAGTGTCTGTTGACAAAGACTCTCTGTCTTTCTCTATGGGACTTGAACTTGCAGTATGGGAAAAGGGGTGAAGCATGCCATCTGCTGTTGGCCTTGTTTTGTTCTTGATGTAACTGTATGGTTTTTCCTTTTATTACAGGTGCAATCTATGAGGGTACAAACAACATTCAACTGTCCACCATTGCGAGGTACCTGAAACAAGAATGGCAACAGTAGACTCTTAAAAAAACTGGAACCTCCAATTCTCGCACTGGTCCAGTTTCAAGTGTAGCTACCTCTATTTTAAAATTGCCAAGCGTATCAAAGCCCTTAAATTATAAATGGTGGTCAAGAGGCTAGTTTGCTGTCATGTAATATTAGGTGAGTATCTGGAACAAAATCATGATCTCAGTGGTTCAAATATATTTGGGATTTTGTACTTTCTTGAAAGTTTTGTTTTCAAGATACAATGTATGTTCTTATTTCTCTGCATGCAAAAATGTAACTAACATGAAAAGTTTGTGTTTTATGGTATATATGTAGAATATTTAAAGATGTGTATTTGACTGTTAAATTGGCAAAAGAAAATGGTGTCACACTAAACACACAGCACTAGACTGTTGTCTCTCCCCCCCCCCCTTGCCGCAAGGCCTTTGGGCTTCACCAAAACACTTGTATAGAACACTGAAGACACAAATACCTGTATATCTTCTGCAGAGACATTGTTAGCCAAGAAAATATTTAATGATTTTAACTACACAGTAGTCTTCTGAAGTGTGTAAAAAGTATAAAGGAAAACAGTTATCAGTATTGCTTGTGAATAGATACATTTTGTTGCAAATTGTGATAACATAACAACATTGTTGAGTTTGAAAATACATTCTGAGATTGTTAAGCATTGTAGAATCTTCATGTGTATACAAATGTGTAGATTATATGATGACCCAGCCAGTCCTTTGTACTTAACTTCTCAGAACTGGTGTTGGTATAACAAACTGTGTTTTGTAGTAAACATGTTGACAATGATTCTAGTACTGGTAGTGTTTTTTCAGTTCGGTACCTTCAGATCTTTCTCCCCAAATGTCACATATGAGGCATGGACATAAAACAGACACACACTGATACATTTATTCAAACACAAACAAGAATTATCATCAAGAGTGATGTCCATAATGTTTATTTCATTGCAAACATGAAATAATTCACATCACAAAGTGAAGACTTTACCAAACGGCTTAAAGGGCATGCTCTACCAATACGTTCTACTGCAGAATTCTATACACACCACTTGGGACTACTTTCCCCAGTGGTCTCCCAAACATTCTAAACCAAAGTTGTTTTTTTTGCCAAAATCAGTGAGCATCACCTTTCCCATCCACCATAAAACTGACAAAAAAGGCACCAAATTTTCCAAGAAAAGTGAAGTTTTAATGGTGTATAGGCTAATAGAAATCTATGCCCTAACGTTATTTGGTCACAGTTTTGTTGAATGACGTCATCATTGAGTTGCACAGTGAAGGCCCCAAAATGGAGCACGATTCTAGTCTCTAGCTTATATCTTTGAAAATCAGTTTAGTGGGTGTAATGACAGTTCTAACTGGATACATGAGAAATTATTTTTGTGGTCAACCACCTGTTTTTGTTGTATATTTGAGAGTTGGACCCTTGTTGCTTTCTAGTGCAGAAGAATATTTGAGATTGAAATGTGGGAAAGTACTCTTATGTAACCTTGTTTCCGTGTATCTAACTATAGCCTTCAACGTCCAAACATAATGGTGGCATCTACCCTGTTGTAGGCAGCTCATTTGGGCTGCAGGCAGGGAGGGAGAGCGCGCCTCTCACTGCACTTTCTTGGTGCACCAGTAGAGGGCGTTGAGGCGCGGCACCTCCAGCGGGTTTCCGTTCTGCGCGATGGCGGGGTCGGTGGTCAGCAGTTTGAGCATTTTCTCGGCGCACTCTTTCCTGACGTCGGGCTCCCGAGCGATGGCGCTGTACGTCATGAAGAGTTTCACCACAGACTCGGCGTCGGGCTATGGGGAAAGAAAAATGATTATAAGTTAGGATTTTGCCAGGGGAAAATCTGCTTGGAGATTACAATCTACCAGACTTCTGAAGCGACTGTAAAGAGTAGAAATTTAATAGCCAAATAGACAGTTGTCACGGTGTTCTTATTGTGCAAATGGGTATCAAAGATTGCAACTGGGGTAATGTTGCTGTACATCTTCATAAATAATACATGTCAGGGTAAAGATTGCGATGTAGCAAAACCGAGAAATTTTAACAGCGAAGATACAACAAAAAATGCTGAGGAGACGGAGACTACTAGACACAGGCTACTCATGAGAAGATGAAAGGACCACGACAAGCACAAGTATACATAGCTGTACAAGTATACATAAAAAAGTATACATAGCTGTACAAGTATACATGAAAAAGTATACATAGCTGTACAAGTATACATAAAAACAAAACATAAAGATTTAATTTTGAAAACTGATACTGTATGACGCGCATTCTGTTGTCACAATTTAAGGGACAGTGGACAAGTAGGGCTTCTTGGAACACCTGTATGTTGTAAGCCATATAGTTATGCGGGTGGTTTTGTTTAGTAAACGGAAGACCATATCCGGCTATGTGGGACAGAGGCTCATCAGAAGTACAGTGCAGGTAATAACTGTTCTGTTGACCTGGTTTCCACTGGACACCTGGAGGCGGTGGCTTTACCATTCATTCGGTTCGACATAATTACGGTTGAGTCAGCCAAAATGTTCTTTATCTGATCAAACCGTCAAAGTTCATGTGTTTGCGTGTGTGAACGGAACGTACAAGTCCAGCCTTTTGTTATTGTTATCTGGTGGGCCGAATACTCTTCGCTGCAAGCTTAAGGCTGACTTGCAAGGAGCTTACAATATTGGCGGGGCTGAATTGTGTAATCTCCAAGCAGATCTTTCGATGGTCGCAAAGACAGTATCAAATTGGCCAGGCTGTATTCACTGGCCTCCAGACAGTTACCATTTCGCCACCGTGAAGATCTTTCGGAGACAGGGACAACTCTAATGGTATAGGGAGAAAGAGAGATATACAGACAGACAGATTGAGCTCTAGAGAGGAAGAGGGGGAAAAGAGAGACTCTTGTACTACCGATTGTAAAACGAGAGAGAGGCCCTTGTACATGTGCCATTGTAAACCGACAACAGATATCACAACGACATTTATACAATACTGGACCATGGCCTGACCAGAGTCTGTTGGTTCTCCCAGGGAAAGATGTGCTCCTGCAGCGGAGTGAAGAGCGGCGCCGCGTCGAAGCAGTTCTTCCAGCTGGTGTCCAGGAGCGGGTTGAGGTAGTACTCGGGACACTCGGGGTACATGTACTTCCGGATCAGTTCGTACACGCCGTGAACCAGCGGGTACTTCTCGTCATCCCCCGTGAAGTTGATCCCTGGGAGAAAAAAAGGAGAAAAACCGGCAACAACGGGAGAAGTAACAGTATTAACAATTAAGCTGGAAAATGCTGAGATATCTTTCTGTATCTTGCTAGGTCTGTGAGTATTTATGATATATATACATGTACCACCAAGTACAGACTATTCCACACCAAAGCTCTTGATTTAATTTTATGGTCTCCACAATTACAACTGATGAGGTGATGAGGAACTCATTCGTTGCATCACGTTACATTCGTGCTTTACAGTAGATTCCCATCTCTTTAAAAATGTCCAGGTTGCTAGCTCTTTTCTTCAGCCTAGATCTTAATTTCAAGCATTTCATTTCCCTAAGAAACACCTAGGCAGAAGAAAAATCTCCAGGCTACTAGCGTTTGATCTACAAAATGACTAACAAACTTGTGGATGCAACAACTACTTAACTGAACTAGTTAAGAAAAGAAGCAGATCACAACTATCAGAGTTATAAATCAATAAGGATTCATGTTTTCCCATAAATATTGTTGTATACAGTAGATAAAGTTGACATCCTCAGTAGATTAAACAAAGCCTAGAGTTAGATGTGGAAGGGAGGATGGGGCCTACCGTTCCGGCTGTAATATAAGCAGTCACCGCCGCGTGCCTGAGAAGTTACACCGGCGCCGGGCAGTTTTACCGGCTATGCAAATACAGATACATGTACAGAAACAAGCAACACAACAACAAGTTGCTCTCCAAGCAGAGGTTTAAGCTCTGGCTTCTTTTCACGTGCTTCATGCGTTTTATCGGGCTTTACTTTTTGCAATGATATCCTTTTTTTCATAAACCAAATGTTGGTGTATATTGGATGCTGTCTTGCCGATTTGATATGCCACCAAAAGATCTGCTTGAAGATTAACAAAGTGTCATTGATGAATTTTCAGCTACAACCTTCACTAGCAGATTCAAATGACCAATCACACAGGGGCACGTGATCTTACGTCAACAATTGGTCAAAAGCGCCAGGAAGTCTATAACGCCCCCCGTCCCTGATGACTTACCGAACTTTCCGCCAGGAATGAGGACCCGGTGAACCTCGCGCAGGGCGGCCTCGTTCGCGTAGAAATGGAAACTCTGCGAGGAGACAACAGCCTGAGGAAACAGGGAAAAGGATAGGTATTAAAGCAAACGATGCTACAGCACCAGTTACCATGGTGACAAACGTCTGGTCCAGGTCATTGACCTTACATGTATGTGTTTGGGGAAGAAGATCAAGAAACAAAGCAAAAACAATATGTTTTCCTTCTGCGAAGGTTAACAGGACGAAGGTAAACCTTGAAAAATAACGACAACGCATTTTGAAACCACACCTACCCTGACAGAGTTGTCGGGAAGCGGGATGTTCTCGCAGGGGCCGACAAAGGCGTCCACCCCGGGAACATTGGCCTTCAGCTGCCGGATCATACCCGCCACAGGGTCTAGAGCCACGATCCGCGCGTCCTGAAAATCACAGCCGAAAATGTGTCAGCAGGCTCCAGTAGATGTCATGTGAGTAATCTTCAAGCAGATCTTTATGTGGCAAGGCTGCAGCGAATGGTCTCTCCTTTTGCCACTGTAGTATCTGCTTAAACTTAAAAGATTAGATATCATGTCTGTAACCTATAGACACATTCTAAGGTAGTAACTGCCCATTAGCCACCCTGTCACCATTAGCCATCGGTGGCTAATGGTCACTCATCCTCTTGCCAAGAGAGACTGCCTTAAGCTTGCAACCAACCGTTGGTCTGCTTGGAGATTACATGTGAGGACGATATGCTGCTGCAAAGAGGGCGTGCATTTATTCATTGCAGGAAGTATGACAAATAGGAGTTTACCTCTCCAAGTACGTCCTTGATGACACGGGTACATTTCCCGGTCCCGGCGCCCACGTCCAACACGTCATAGGTTGTCGGGCTGACGTCATCAGTGGGCGTGGTCCCGTTGGTTTGATTGACGTTGTCCACGAGGCCCAGGTGTTCCAACAGAACCCTCACTCCCGCCTTGTCATGGGACGGACGGAACTTCTCGTAGTCGTCGTTCTGTGGACGCATAAAACGGCCTCATTTGTGTTGCTCTTAACTTGTAGACAGCTTTGATACGACAATCAAGTCTCTCTCATAGCTTAGGTCCTTAGGATAGCCTAAAAAAGGCTCATTTGTGTTGGCCCTTAAAGGCATTCAAGCCGATTTCAGGACAGTAAAACTGGGTTTTCAAACTCAATTTTCTGGCTGGCCAATGACTTCTTGAACCATGCTGTTATTAAACTAAAAAGTACATTTACGTTGCAACGTAGTTTTCATGGTGGAAATTAAATGTAAGACTATGTAGAAGCTGACAAAAAAACTTCTAACCGTGGTTTCCCACATGTCCCTTGCGGCATCGCTATGCTGTTCCTTCTGAGCACTCATGGCGGCTGGTACGGTAAAGTCGGGGGAGAACTAGTCTGGGGAGGACAGAGACAATGGCAGGAAGGAGAAGCCAACGTTAGATAGTGTGCGTGAGTTCACCATGTGATAGAGAATTTAGTCTCCACCAGACTCCTTTGCAGGCTGAATAAATAGTAGAAATCGGCCTAAAAAGGGTATTTAATTGGCCAGAGGAGATGGCCGGCCGTGCAGGCAAATGGACCCTCTCTAGCCGGCCAACTCCTCTGGCCAGTTAAATCCCTTTTTAGGCCGATTTCTACCATCCATTTAGCCTTCAAAGAAGTCTGATGGAGACTATAGAGAATTCATCACAACGAACCTGTTAAACTGAAGAATGATGTAGCTCGGAATTCGATTAAAAGATTACAGATGCATGCATGCTACCTGTTTAGGTGAGACTGCATAACTTACAAGAAGACACGGTTCATAAAAATGCTTGGACAAAATTATTAGAGTCCTGGACGCAATTTTTTTTTGCAAGAGGAGTGAGTATGACACTAGTCCGAATTCAGTCATGACAAAAACAGGGTCGGTACATGTAGGTATGCCTAAGTCTTCTCTTAATCTTTAAATCTCGGCTTAAGTGATATGTCAGAAAAAAACTGCATGTATCTCCTGACCAGAGATGTCTCCAGGACCTGTCCCACCGGTTGCTTGTGGGGCCGGGAAGGGACAGTCAAAATTTGCACCCGTTTCAGAGGGTTTGAAATTCAGATGCCACGCAGAACAACACAAAAAGTAAGGCAGGGATGACCTGCGTGCCATCCTATTTGTTTGCCGGGTAGGAAAACTGGAAAGACAACATTTTTCCCAGGCCTATAAAGGCCCTCATTAGCAGAGGACAAGAGGATGTGCCCTACTTATTCACTGGTCCTTAAATTGCGACACCAGCATGCGCGTCACACAAGATTAGTTTTGAGAACGAAATATTCGTAGTTTGTTTGTCATGTCACATATTGACTGTTAGAATTTTTACCTAAGAGCGGAGGCATTCTGTAACAACTCCTTCAAATCGCAATGCCATGGTGGTTATTAAGTTTTTTTCCGCCGTATATGCGTTAACGTAATAATATCCGTTCTTGCAGTACTACTGCTGCATGAAAAGTGGGATTTACCAACATCGGTATTTACCGGCTAAGTCTGGTGATGGTTACTTGGCATGCAGTGGGAGCTCCGAGGGACTAGTGGATATATTGGAGTTTTTGACTCACAGCTAGTCACATCTTCAAGCCAATCATGATTCCAAGTTATTTATGATTGTTTGCATGGTGGTTACGAACTTAGAAGAAGAAACAAGCGCTTTAACTTTTCAAATGCTCCATTATGCATTGTTGTCGGCCATATGGTGTTTTTGATTTGTGATCGATTGTCTTCTCTACTGTGGAAAAGTACCGGTTGCCCCGGGCAGTTCCGACGGGTTACATGCTGTCATCGCACATTTTTGCTGTGAAAAACGTCACAAGTGACCCTTGATGACACAGGTCACATGTCATTCTCATTCGGGTTTTTCCTTTATAGAAAAAAACTGAAAACTGCACGACGCGTTTTACAACACACGCAGCTTGCTTTTGTGGATGATCATGACAAGTGGTGACAGAAAATTCAAAACTAACGCGAGCGCGCGAACAAAAATATGTCTATCACTATTGCTTATCGTCTCTACTGTGGAAAAGTACCGGTTGCCCCGGGCAGTCCCGACGCGTTAAATGATGTCATCGCACATTTTTGCTGAAAGATGGGCACATGTCATTCTCATTCGGGTTTTTCCTTTATAGAAAAAAAACTGAAAACTGCACGACTCCTTATAACACCTGCAGCTTGCTTTTGTGGATGACAATTGGTGACAGAAAATTCAAAACTAACGCGAGTGCGCGAACAAAAATATGTCTATCACTCCTGTGGAAAAGTACTGATTGCCCCGGGCGGATTAAGTGTGAAATGTTGAAATAAACATCAGGTGACCTGTGTCATTAGGGGTCACATTTAGCTACTCTCCAATAAGCAGAGGTAGATGGGGGAAGATCGTTACCTTTTTATATATGGCCCGTTATTTTTTTGTCGCTACCCCCCACCTTGGGTGTCGAATTGGACCCTCTCTGGCCAATGGATACCGCCTGGCCAATTTCATACTGTCTTTTTGCCACCCTAGGATCTGCTTGGAGATTAACAGGGGCTCAGCGAGCGCCCGCCTGAGTGGAAAGGGGGTCTTAAGTAGCTACTTTGCATAATTATGGCATCCAAGAAGGCCCCCTTTTCGAATTCCACTGGACTTTCCAGCCTTTTCCACTCTTTCCTGCCTTTTCCAAAGCCTTTTCAGAACCAGGCTAACACAATTTCACATTTCACATGTCAGCTGGGTTCTTCAGCGACGCCGCTTTCTTCAAGCCGTTCGGTGTGATATAGCTAGCTGCCGCCGCGCCGCGTGCCTGCGAAGCTGGTGTGTTACGCCGAAGGGCGGTTATACCGGCTATACCGATACAGATACAGATTTCTAAATTCTTTTGATCGTCAAATTTACACAAAGATCACATTTATACGCCTGGCTGAGTAGTGTAAGCACGCGAGCGATTTGCCTACCGACAAAGTCGCTATGTACTACTGCAAATTCACAGTACCGGCTTTGTATTCCTGTGGTTTAGCAGCATTTGTTTGCCTGGGGAATTTCTTTAATTGTTAACACGCGAAGCAACTCGCTTTTTGTCATAAGTCGTCCGTACAAAATGTGGAGAAACTGTTTTAAGTCTACATGTCACGAAGAAAACAACAAAGGCCCTGTTCACACGCGCTTAATGATATCTCTTCGGTTCAGGACCAACTACGTAGATTGAGTGTGAACAACTCGACCTTTCTTAAGTGAACTAGATCCAAACAACCACCTGTCAGCTTTTATGAATAAAGTTAGAGCTGTATTTTCCGGGAAACTGGGCGTAGCTGGTTTGCAGCTATACATTAAATCGATTTGTCCGAATGCGAGTACGCCCCAACGTTCGGAACGATCCGGTAAAACTTGGCGATAAAACGACTTTACTCTCAGATCAAAGTAATTACTTCCAAACGACGGTCTAGATTTTACTAGTTCAATGAAAGTGTTCTTACCTGTCTGAGCAATAAAAAGACGGTGTAGTCTCTACCTCTGGGGACAGCGCACACGACTGGTCCGGCGTGCAGAGCAAGCTGTTACCAAATGAACTGGTCTGGTCACTTGCTAAATAATCTTTGTCAAAACAACATGATAATTATCTAGGGTGGATTGGCCGGGTATGCTAGCCTCTACCAGGCTTCGGGAGGCGGGTGGAAAGAGTAGAAATCGGCTAAATAGAGAGATAACATTGCCTTGGGAGTTGGTCCGGTAGGGTGCGGCAAACAGTTCTCTCTATCGGACCAACTCTCCTGGCATGGTTATCTTTCTATTTAGCCGGTTTCTACTCTTTTCAGCCGCCTCATGAAGGCTGAGTAGAGGCTAGGGTATGCATCAGTAGTTACATTGTCAGTACTAGTACTACCGGTATACCGTGTAACTTCAGTGCCATCAGGCAAAGTTGTTCTTCGCGGCTCTTCAAAATGTCGTTTTGATCCTGTCCCAGACCGTTTGACCATGCGTGTTTTAAAAGTCACCTGTGGTGACCTCGAAGTTTTACGATGTGCCTGAAGCACAGGTAGTGACAATTACCACTATGAGCGTCTAACGGTCATTAGAACAGGTGTAAAAATTGTGAATCCACACAGTGACAAATGACTGAGACTTGGTACGACTGAGTGTAGACTAGATGTGAGTACAATGTGGGCCGGCAAACTGTAAACTGGATGGCTAAGCTCCCTCGGCATGTTATATCTCTCTATTTGGCCAATTCCTACTATTTCCAGCCGCGCCCTCAAGCCTGGTAGAGGCTACTAGTCACGGCATAACCCTTAAGATGACTTCTATAGCCTATACCAGGCTTCAGAGGTGGCTGCGACAGTAGAAATTGGCTAAATAGACAGATAACATGCCAGGGGAGTTAGGGCCGGAGTACAGAGTAGCCTCTGAAGCCTGGTGTAGCTATATAGGCTAGAGAAGTTATACCAAGGATTATATACTATGTGAATGCTTATCCAATGTCAAATGATGAAAACAAAAATGGACGACAATCTTATGATACATTTCCAAGGGGCCCGTATGGGGTGTGGCCGGTTTAGGCTCTGGTCGAGCTCAGAAGTCGGGGGGCCCGGGGATACAGGTCGGATCTCATTACGTACTCTCCACTGAACAGTGGTTTATGCTTTGGCTTATTTTGGGCGTGTTGGTATGCGTTTTTTTATCGGGCTTAACATGTTTAATCCATCCATAAAGCTAAAGTGACTTGGCCACACACAATCGTCATTCGATCGCAACCCGACAGCAGCCTAGCCATAGTGGTGCATGTGTCGTCATAAGAATTCAGCTGGCTTGTTGCCGAAAGTCTATCAAAATTCTTATCAGCGGTTAGTTCTGTCACAGTATGCTTGCGCTTAAAAAATCCGCGACATCAAGATCGCACGACGACCAACGACGAATGTACGACGACCTACGACGAGTGTAAGACGACCTAAGACGAATGTAAGACGACCTAAGACGAATGTAAGACGACCTACGACGAATGTACGACGACCTACTACGAATGTAGGACGACCTACGACGAATGTACGACGACCTACGACGAGTGTAAGACGAGCTAAGACGAATGAAAGACGACCTACGACGAATGTACGACGACCTACGACGAGTGTAAGACGACCTAAGACGAATGTAAGACGACCTAAGACAAATGTACGACGACCTACGACGATATACAACGACCTATAACGAAGAAATTTCCCCTTGCAAGGTCTTGCCCCCCCCCCCTCCCCTGTGTTATTTTATTCTCGTTAGAGAAGAAGAACTTTAGTGCACAAGAATTGTACATGGTCAACGACTATTGAACATTGTACAAAAAAGGTATAGAATGAAAATTAACATCCTAATTACTGAACATCAAGGGATACACAATCAGGTAACTAAAGGCTAGTCATGACGAGAGTGTGTTTAAAAGTTGGAAACACAGCAGTCATGTTTGTTTACATTCTGGTAGTTTGTGGTGGCACCACGAACTGAGTGCGCCTCGTGTGGGCTGTTTTAGCGCCAACCATAAATGTCAGAAATGTGAGATGATTTTACAGATATGTTGACAAGTGGAAGTATGTCAAGTTGTCTTTTGGTGCAAAAGAGTGATATAGGGCCACTTTAAGTTTGAGACACATGAAAAGGCTTGTAATGAGTTTGCCCCCAAGCAAGTATGTCAGCCGTAGATTATGTTCATTCAAGGGCGACGGACGTGGCAGCACTAGTAGGCAACACTGTGTGCGTGGTATCTGGTCTTATCGTACGTTTTCACAGGCAGGTAGGAACATTAATATTTCTATATTTTCACAATCTTCAACGTTTAGCTACGTAGATGTTAGAGAAACCTGTCTCACTAAGTTGAGACAGCTCAGCTACTTATACTTACTAACTGCACGGTAACATTTATCTGCGTCATGGGGTAATTTTGATGCCGTGTAATTTTTAGGCGGAATGTGACAGACCCAACCACCGACAATGGTTTATCTGACTAACGATCTTTTCAGTATGAAGACCGATCATATGTACGACTGTCCTATGAATGTCGTTCCCAGTCTTCGACTGTACGTCGAGGATCGCACGACCGAGTCCTAACTTAATTCTGAGGTCACATTTCCAAACCAGGGCCCGGCCGGGCAGCTTTTGGGAACGAAAAGTACGATATAAAAGTCAACAAAACACAGAAACGTTTCCAATGATAATCATGGGCACTATATCTATATACTCTTTGATATGGATTGTTAATTTTTCGTCATACAGACAGCCCGGCCGGGCCCCGGATTGGAAATGTGACCTAAGCATAAGTAAAGGCGCGGTCACATTTCAAAGATCGGGGCCCGGCCGGGCAGTCGTATGGAACGAAAATTATAATATAAGACAGCAAAACACAAAAAAAAGTTTTAGAAAATTAATCTTGGGAACTACTTGCGTATATCATTGATATAAATTTCTGATTTTTCGTTAATTGAAACAGCCCGGCCGGGCGCCCTCTTGGAAATGTGACCATGCCCTAAGGTGCGTTCAACAGGATTATCAGAGAGGTTCTGTCTGACAGAACCGATCAAATCGACAACCTTTTGCGTCACAACCTTAACAAGGCGTGCCTGCGAAACTGGTGTGTTACGCCGAAAGGCGGTTATACCGGCTATACAGATACAGATACAGAAGACAGCCGAAGTTCGTACGGCCCCCTTTTAGTACGACAGTTCCCTAATTTCCTCAGTGGGTGAACGTAGACCAATCGTACGACGCATGTGACCGGGCTTTTGGATCTATTATATTAATATTAGTTTTTCTTCGCGATTACAAAATATGTGACAATGGTGGGTGGGTAGACAAGATTCTTGGCCCCAGGGCCTCCCATTATGTGTCTCAATCGAGGTGGAAAACACGTGAACTTGGGGTCATGTTGTTTTTCTAATGTTCCGATCCCAAATTTGCTCAGATCAGTTCTAGTCATAACACGACGGCGTTACGACTGAGAAGTAAATAAAGTATAAATTCACGTGATAAATTGTAAAAAATTCCCTCAGTTTTTAAGCGTAAAAAACCGTACGACAAATGTGACCGGGCTTTTGGATCTATTATATTAATATTAGTTTTTCTTCGCGACTACAAAATATGTGACAATGGTGGGTAAACATGGCTCTTGGCCAAAGGGCCTCCAATTATGTGCCTGGATGTCTCAATCGAGGTGGAAAACACGTGAACTTGGGGTCAAGTTGTTTGTCCAATGTTCCGATCCCAAATTTGTTCAAATCAGTCATAACACGACGACAGTGGCGTTACTGAGGACTATAAATTTACGTGATGAATTATACTGTAACTTGTTTGACGTTCCTAGCTCATATAGCTCTCATGCACTTTGACCGTCTGGATATCGATGGGCTTGACAGCGAGTAAAAAATACTCTCTACTTTTTAAAATCTTCGCGGTGAATTTGCGGTCAAAAAAATTAAAATTGTCACAGTGTTATACTCACAGGACAAATGGGTATCAAAGATTGCAACTGAGGTAATGTTGCTGTACATCTTCTGTATGATATATGTCAGGGTAAAGATTGTGATCTGTAGGAAAACCGACGATTCAGTATCCCAGTAAAGATCGCGATCGGAGTCTTTGTTGACAGATATAGAGATAAGCGTCCCTGCAAAACTGTGATCTCCTAGCCTCCTGTGCAGGCTCCGGGGCGGGTGGGAATTTCGATACAGCGTTTTGAAGAGTTTTTAATGCGTTCTTTTAATAACCGGCCATCCTACAACTAGCCGCGAGAGAAAGTTCAATTCCCGCGGGCGGAATGGAACCTTCTTTCTTGGCTGGTTGCCACGGTTGTCAAACTCTTTAAAACGCTGCATCAAAATTCTCACCCGCCCCGGAGCCTGCACAGGAGGCTAGCTATAGTGATCTCTAACCTGACATATATGAGGAGGGAGCGCTGCACTACTCTCTTGTTTTTGGCACATCTAATATGAGACATCTACATGTAATATACACTGGTACATTCGGCTTTCACTCGCTTTTGGTAAACATAAACTTAATGTAAGGTTGTGTAAAAGTGTCGAAAGTGGAGATATTTTATCAGTAGAAGACTAAATGAATACTAGTAATAAAATAGTTCCATGCATCTAGTAATTTTCACAAAAGCAAAATTGTTTGGGTGAATTTTTACTAACTATTGTGGTTCTGAACGATTCTGACCAATTATGAGCTGCATCGACATTTTCTTCAGTTTAAAAGGTTCGTTGTGATGAATTATCAATAACATGGTGAACTCACGCGCACTAAACGTTGGCTTCTCCTTCCTGCCATTGTCTCTGTCCTCCCCAGACTAGTTCTCCCCCGACTTTACCGTACCAGCCGCCATGAGTGCTAGGAAGGAACAGCATAGCGATGCCGCAAGGGACATGTGGGAAACCACGGTTAGAAATCTTACAAACTTTTACATAGTCTTTAGTTTAGACCATGAAAGTATCATAACAGCATGGTTCAAAAAGTCATTGATGATGTTTTCTAGAATGTGTCTCGTGTATAAACCTTACGTGATATGCTGATCATGTTAGGCTATCCTAAGTACCGGCGCAACTACGTATTGTGCATAGGAGAGACTTGATTGTTGTATCAATGCTGTGTAGTTTCTGTACGCAATTCTCATCCCTGCTGCAAGGTTTGCTTTTTGGTGTTGAAATAAATAAATAAAATAAACAAATAAGAGCAACACATTTTTCTGCGTCCGCAGAACGACGACTACGAGAAGTTCCGTCCGTCCCATGACAAGGCGGGAGTGAGGGTTCTGTTGGAACACCTGGGCCTCGTGGACAACGTCAATCAAACCAACGGGACCGCGCCCCCTGATGACGTCAGCCCGACCACCTATGACGTGTTAGAAGTGGGCGCTGGGACCGGGAAATGCACCCGTGTCATCAAGGACGTACTTGGAGAGGTAAAGTTGCTTTTAGCATTTTATCACCAAAAATTTACATGCAACTACTTTTTGTGTATGTAGCTACATTATACATAATGTTATAAGCATACATTATGCCATACCTGGGCCGCGATAACGTTGCGTGCCTGTGTGTGATAACTAGCCGTATCACACGGGGTTCTAATCTTCTTACGTTTATTACACAAATATTCCATAGAACAATTCGAACGCGTTTCTCATGCGTCTATTTCGAAAATTCGAATACCGGATTAGGACGTTGGAACTGATGTTTTAGGGACACCAAATTTTCTCAATTTCTTCATAAATAAAGGTAACGTTACCAACCCTACCGCTTGTCGGATCACCCGACGCCCAACTCTTATACTATTATATGAATCATGTCCATTTGTTCCTGTGCTTTTCAGGACGCGCGGATCGTGGCCCTGGACCCCGTGGCTGGGATGACCCGGCAGCTGAAGGCCATGGTGCCCGGGGTGGACGTCCTCATCGGGTTCTGCGAGAACATCCCGCTTCCAGACAACTCCGTTAGAGTAAATACGTGCCACATGTACTGAGTAGTTCGCCACAGTTACATAAGTCACATGTCATATTTCATGTATATACAGAAAACAAGTCAAACAAAGGCTAAACGGCTCAAACAGCCACTACCTAAAACAACATGTTTGCCTTTTATACACCAACATAGATGTAACGTTAGTTTCTCTATTACACGTTTTTGGGTACGTAACGTTACCCTTCGTGCATGGAATATGAATTGTTCTACATGTTCTTTTCGGTGTCATTTTATAGATAGCAGCTAAGTTATCTACTTGTTCTATCTTTTCCCTGTTTCTCCAGGCTGTTGTCTCCTCGCAGAGTTTCCATTTCTACGCGAACGAGGCCGCCCTGCGCGAGGTTCACCGGGTCCTCATTCCGGGCGGGAAGTTCGGTACGTCAGCAGGGACGGCGGGCGTTATAGACTTCCTGGTGGTTACGACCAAAATCTTGCGTTTCGCGCACATGTATATGTAGACGTAATTCAGGTCATCAGGAGTGGTATATCATTTGGTATTTATAAACTGTGCTGTAGTGCTGATAACTGAAAATTCGCCAGTGACATACTTGGAACTAACGTGTCGTGTTCCAACCTTTTCCACCTAATTTTTTTCTAATTCAATTCTTTATTTCATACCAATATTGCAGACATACAAAATATATAATGTTGCCTGAATGGCATTGGTATTTACAGCATAACAGCATTAAAGTAATTACATAACATTTATTACATACATATATATATATACATACTATTATATGTATACACTACTTATATCAACAGTACATCCCGGATATGACACATCTATACAGTCTGATTGTATAGTCTGATAGACCTTATTCACGAACTAGCTAGTTAGTTAAAGTTTTTTTTTAATCATGGCAAACTCACTATCTTATTTTCTCCACAGGAATAAACTTCACGGCAGATGATGAAGACTCCCCGCTAATTCACGGCGTGTTGGACCTGATCAGGCAGTACAAGTACCCCGAGTGTCCGGATTACTTCGTGAACCCTCTCCTGGACTCCAGCTGGAAGAACTGCTTCGACGCGGCGCCGCTCTTCACTCCGCTGCAGGAGCACATCTTTCCCTGGGAGAACCAGCAGACTCTGGTCAGGCCATGGTCCAGTATTGTATAAACGTTGCTGTGATATCTGTTGCCCGTTTACAATGGTACATGTACAAGAGTCCAAGAGTTTTTTTCTCTCTCTTACTTCTGGTACAACAGTCTTGTTCTCTCTCTCTCTCTCTCTCTCTCTCTCTCTCTCTCTCTCTCTCTCACTCACTCACTCTCTCTCACTCCCTCGTTTTACAATGGTACAAGAGTCTATCTTTCTCTTGTACAGTGGTACTAGAGTCTCTTTTTTCCCCTATACCTCTAGCAACTGTCCTTGCCCCCTCTCCCTCCTCTCCATGTCTCTGCCACACGTCACGGTGGGAGTAAGTGGGAGGTACGTGGAGGAATTAAGGAAGTTTATGCAATACCGGATTGAATTACGTCTTACAATCCCATCTACAGTTCCAATACATTCACGAAAACCCAAACCACTCACCGGATGAAGTCGGAAATCTCTTGCTCCATCAATAATTTGTAGCATTACGGGGTCACCAAAAGAAGTACAAGAGATGTTTTCTGATTCTTTTTCCCACAGCCCGACGCAGAATCTGTGGTGAAACTCTTCATGACTTACAGCCCAATCGCTCGGGAGCCCGACGTTAGGAAGGAGTGTGCAGAGCGCATGCTCAAACTGCTGACCACCGACCCCGCCATCGAACAGAACGGCAACCCGCTGGAGATACCCCGCATGAGCGCCCTCTACTGGTGCACCAAGAAAGTGCAGTGAAAAAACTTTTTATAAAATTTTGAGATCCATAGAGGGTCACAAAGGTTCACTCGGAAACATACGATCCTGAATAATTTGGTGACCTGCGTCTGGATCACCAAATTAGTAAGGATCGTATGTTTCCAGGTAATGGATGGTATGTATTTCGTGTCCAAGCTTGGAAATTTGTGGAAATCTGGCTTTTCGTGCAGTGAAACTTCGCATGGATTCCGTAAAATTCGTATGAATTCCGTAAAATTCGTATGAATTCCGTAAAATTCGTATGGTGACATCCTGACACGTTCAGAAAAATCAACGTACGTAACGTTTCTAAGAAATAGACCGATCCTGCAACAGACTGTCCATCACGTAGTAGTTGAACCAATTGGTGATTCGACCAGGAGTGTGGTTGCATCACGTAGTGCGTTCATCATATCAAAAGACATATTTGAATAGGTCTAGTATTCTCTCAGTTGATCAATAGATTATAATATCATAATGACTAATGAATACCAGTAATATTTGACCATGCAATCAGTCTCTGTTCTTTTGTCATTTCAATAAACTTTGTGTTCTGTATGACTTACTGGATGTTTTATTTTACAACATCATCTATTACATTTACAAGTAGAAAATCATTATTGATATGCCCAAGCCAATGTATTGAGCTGTTCTAGAGTTATCCTAATGGCAAACAGACAGGCACTGCCCAAAAGATAACTTTCATTTGTCATAGAGGTATTCAAACATGCACCCCATTATATTTTAAGTCTCTGGCGTTTCGGTCACGGCGTAATCTGTCTCACACACATGGGCAGCACTTTGCCCTCAACTTTGCAGTCAACAACTTGGCATGTTTGCTAATGATAAACGGGTTTAAATATTCACCGATACACCACCAGCGTACGTCCAAACGTCCAACGGGGAATCGCCACGCACGCACGCTGACATCTCCATTTACCCGTGCACGTGAGGTAAGGGTAAATCCCAAAGGTCGTGGATGCGTCGTAATTGCAACGAGAATTCTACCCTGGACTGTTTTATTCCTTGCTGGACCAAAATGGACAGGTAGTTCGCGTTCTTCGTTGAAAAGTGGCCACCTTATAAGTCTTCAGATACGACAGTATTAAACTTCGTACTTATGAGCATCTGAATGGAAACAAACGCTGTGCACAGCTTCGCTTGAGTACGGTTTTTCACTGCAAATCTAACTTTGGGTACAGAGCGTCACAGTGTTCTTAATTAACGCCTTTGTTGCTCTTCTTTCTTTTCCAGATTGGTTTCAATCCGTCCCGCTCTCACCATGTGTACGAATTCGGAGTCACGGTACGGCTGCTGGCTTGTCTTCACCAACGTCTTGAAGCTCGTGATTTACGTCGCTGACGTGGTGTCTGACATCGTGTTAGCGGCCAAATACTTCAACAACGGCGACACCTACTGGGGCGGTTTTACCCTGGCCTTCGCGCTGGTGCCGCAGTTCTTCATGAACATGACCATGTGGTACCAGGAGGGACGGAACCCTCGCACATTCATCCTCTACTTCCTCCAGGTCGGCGTGGTTCTGAGGTATCTCCAAGTCGTGGTTGGTGTCTGCTGTCGTTGTTACAACCCTTCAGATATCCGCAAAGACAAGGAAAAGGCCGAAACGTCCCAGAAGCCAGTGTCTCGCACAGTTCTCCACGTCCTCCCCCTCGTACACCTGATTAGCACCCTCCTGGAGTCCGTCCCACAAATCTGCCTGCAGCTGTACGTTGTCATAGTGACGGGTGAACTTGAGCGCATGGAGATAGACCCGTTAAAGTACGTGTCAGTAGTGATATCTCTTGTGGCGGCGGTGAAGACTGTGTGGGACTGGGAAATGCACTTCTTCGATGTTAATCCCAATCCCCCTCGTCGGTGGTGCCTACTGTACGGACCTCTGTTCGCCGTCTGGAAAGTGGTGGAGCTGTGTTCTCGGGTCGTGGCCTTCTGTGTGTTCTCATCACTGTACAGCTACGGGGGCTTCGTGGTGGTGGGCGTCCACTGGTGAGAAAACTACTTTATAACATCTTGTCCATAAAGAAACGTTTGAACAGCCATATTGTCGTGGAGTTAACTCTTAAAACTATCAAAAAGGTTTCGCCACACACACACACACACACACACACACACACACACACACACACACACACACACACACACACACACACACACACAACCACACACACTCACACACACACACATATGCACCCACAAATAAAATACACACACACAGACGCGCGCATACACACAAATACACACAAAATGGCATAAAAACACACATGCAAACACGCATATTCAAACAATAAACTAATATGTGTTTACTACAATATTTAAATTTCTATCCAGGTTGGTGATGGCAATAACAGAAAACGTGCTGTGCAGTTACTTTAGAGACGGTGATCCGTGGATTGGATTTTATGACGACATCTACTACGATAGCGGCACATTCATGCAGGTCTGCTTCAACCTCCTCACGGTCTCACCTGTTGACGTTTTCGCTTGGGCAACCTTCGGGTCAAGATCATTCTCCAAGATCCAGCCGATTGTGAACGGTGTCCTGACGTTCGCCGGGAACTACGTGATGGTCCTGGTATGGTATTTCCTGAAGGACGCCAGCGCCTGGTACGACTTGTACGCGCTCATTCCGGTTTTGGTTGGAACTGCAACATCCTTGTTGATTTTAAAGCCGCTGTACCTTTGGTGTTACGCTCGCGGACCTTGCAATGCCGTCCCTAGCCCTGAACCAAAATTACAGATGTATTTCATAGGATGAAAATTTGGCGCCATTAACCAGTATAACAAAATATAGCTTTCGTAGACTTGAAGTTAAGAATTGCTCTCAGTTTCAACGGAATGGGACACTATATTATCCAGACATATCTGTAAAATATTTTACATAGTAGTCTATAATTTTGCGCCTGGAGATGTATTCCATAGGATGAAAATTTGGCGCCATTAACCAGTATAACAAAATATAGCTTTCGTAGACTTGAAGTTAAGAATTGCTCTCAGTTTCAACGGAATGGGACACTATATTATCCAGACATATCTGTAAAATATTTTACATAGTAGTCTATAATTTTGCGCCTGGAGATGTATTCCATAGGATGAAAATTTGGCGCCATTAACCAGTATAACAAAATATATATAGCTTTCGTAGACTTGAAGTTAAGAATTGCTCTCAGTTTCAACGGAATGGGACACTATATTATCCAGACATATCTGTAAAATATTTTACATAGTAGTCTATAATTTTGCGTCTGGTATATTTCAAAGCGGTGACTTGAAAAAAAGGAGAGCTAGCTTAAAATATAGGGTGTATGGGGTGTAAGTAAGAAAAACCATGATTTGACAATATGAAAATCATCGATATCACAATATGGAACATTTGATTTCTTCAGATTTCTTATCTTTTTGGTAATAAATGCGAATATTGTCGACTCTGTTCTATTTATGATCTTACAATTGTTGCTAATATTTCCTCTTGCAAGTTATGTAGCCCTTAGGGCAATATTTTACTCGCCCAACAGCCTGCTATACACAACATAATGTTTACTATAAAGTGCAGAATGCGTATGATCAGGTACGTGCACTAGTAGGGTCACCCTCACTAGATCAATCTTACCTTATCCAGAGTTAGATCTGTATACAGGTTGTTTAAACCTAGTCTCCACCAGACTGCTTTTAAATCGAAGAAATCGGCCTAGGAAGGGTATTAATTGGCGAGGATTTGATCGTCGATGGCCGTCTACCTTCTCTCGCCAATTAATACTCTTTTAGGTCGATTTCTACGATTTATTCTGCCTGCAAAAGAAGTCTGGTGGAGACTAGTTTAAACCGACGGTAAGAACTTATAACACGTATTGCCGCCGATGTCCCCCACGTAAATGGCCCCAGTTGATTGGCTGACAGACAAGAGGTGCGGTTGGGCGCCCTCCTTCATTTGCATACTGTCAATCACCTGGCAGTCTCCTAGGCAACCGGGTTCTTTTGGAGCGGCGATGACGACGATCCGGCGAGCCTTCATCTGGAGAGCGAGGATGTGGGACCTGTCTGCGCTGAACCTGTGGTGGGATATTTGGTACAAGACTCAGGTTTCTTATTCACACTGACCCTGACCTCTCCACATGAAATCCTTCACAGAATAAGTTCCTTTGTAGAAAGTTTTTGTTTACATAGAATAATGTAATTCGAGTTTTGTAGATTGTTAAGCCACCTTATAACTTGCGGTAATGTTTTGTCAAAGTTGGGAAAATCATTTTATCATTTTTTGTTGGAAGTTTGTCTATGCTTTTCTAAAACTTTATCTAGCAGTAAGATATGGCTGATTAGCCACACTAGACGCTGCACACGGCCAGGCAACAAACTTAGAGTGCTGGCAACATCTTTCGAGACGGAAGGATGCCTGCTACTACTACAAATGTACTAGTACCTGGCAGTATAGACATCCTCGTCCAGTGCCCACTCCCCTATGTAGTCTCCCGTGTCTCCGCTGAACACCTGGATGCGTCTGTTCCTCCTGTCCGCCACCCACACCTGTCCGTACCTGTCCACCTCCACACAGTGAGGTATGCTGAACTGCCCGGGTGCGGCGCCCTCACCGCCTACACTCCACAGCAGCTGGTAGTCTGAACCGGCGAAGGAGAAGCAAGAGAATAGCATCATTATTTTTAGCCTGTCGAAAAGAAAGAGCAGTTGAACGACGCAGTACTAGTCTTAAACGATATCTTAAGACGCACATCACCTCGGTTTTGCCGGTTGCAGGAATAATTGTCCATGGCGTTCGTTTATACAAAACGAAAGTTACATGGAAACGTTTCGGAAGTCCTTTATATACATGTAGTGCCACCTTTCTCAGATACACTTCTTATCGCAAGATGTGCTGCCGCAGGAAGGATACAGTCCCACACGTGACTGAATTTGCATTCCCCCCTTGACACGGTTCATGACTGGGGTAGATGTTCTTTTACTTTTTTCAAATAAAAGAAATATGGTGAAGGTCGCGAAAACCCAATATATTAGTATCTCATGGAAGGCTGAAACCTGCGATTTATTGTTAGTTACTTTGCTTGTGTCTACAAGGGCAGGCACACAAACCCACGTACAATTAAGCCGCCCCAAACAATACTTCCGTACCAGGAAGCAATACGACCAGACCTCACCCGTAGAAAGTTTGAGGAGCCGGTTGTTCATCCCGCCGTCCCCGTCCACCACAAACATCTCCCCTGCATCGTTAAACGCCACGTCCCCGACCTGGTCGAACTGCAGCGGGTCCAGACTCGTCCCCTTCTCTCCTGGTGTCCCGAGCGTCGTCTTCAGGTTTCCTTCGCGGTCAAACATCTTCAGACAGCAGCCCAGAGGACCTTAAAAAAAAAAGAAATATTCCGAGGCTCAACACCATGACTTGTAATTTTGGGACGAATTAAGGTGTGCACGTGTGTATGTATATGTGTGTCACGGTATGTGTCACGGCGTGTGTATCACGGTGTGTGTGTGTGTGTGTGATGTGTGTGCGTGCGTGCGTGCATGTGCGCCTGTCTGTCTGTGAGAAAGAAGAGAGCGAGGGACATCATACTGAGTCAAGGTTTGGTACGTATGTTGGCAGGTCTATAGAATATGAATGCGAACTTAGATTTTCGCTTCCACAAACAATAGCTTTCTTTGTTGTTCTTTAAGTGCTTATAAACCTGCGTTTCGATCCCCTCTGGTCTCTCAGTCACTGACGAAAGCTAGTGGATACTAGCTGAAACGTCTGACCGTTTCCATATCCAGTTGCTTGAGTAACTGCTTTTTGGCGTATCGTATTACCTGGATGTCTAACCTTCATCGAAATAGCTTTCTCTGACACTTCAGCTTTTATTCTATCTTTTCAATCGCATGTTCCTACCGTTGCCCACGTCAGTAACCCATATCTCGGCCCCCGCTAGCCCCTGCCCGGCCGGTACTCGCACCCTGGTGCCGTGGGGCATGTGGATCTGCATAGTGTCCCAGCTCCGCAAGAGTGCGCCACTTTCGGAGAACACCAGCATCTTCGACTTCACGTCACCTCTCTGTTATTTATTCATAACGGGTACTGTTGTTAGATTGATTTGATTTCATTTCATTTATTAAACTGTATACACAGATATACAGCCAGGACTGTCCAATTAGCCGGAGGCTATTATTATAAAGGGCTAGCCCTCATAACAGGACAATAAACAATTATTACAAAGCAGCTGTAGTAGTAGTAGTAAGCCTTTATCTAAACTCGATAAACTATAAACAATTAACAATGCTCGTCACAATTCAGATATTTCACGATTTGTCTATTAAACCTTACCTTCCACGTACTGGATGAAACGGATGCACGTAATACCCATATATATTAAATACTCATACGGCACATGCTCGGATATTGACTATAACTGTAGGTGTGCTATGGTGGTAAACGTGAGAAGCGCAGCCGCCCCGTACCTTCTTAGTTGTTCAGGAACTTTCTTCGATACCATTTACCCAAACCTACCTGGTCACAACAACAGAACTCTAGGACAGTTCTGAATTAGACCTATATAATACCGCTGGAATTCACGACTGACATACAGTCACATACATGTATATATCATACATACCTGAGCGACGTACACTTCGCTTGTATCACCGAAGGACAAGACGTCAGTGCAAAAGACCTGCGCCTTGAAGTGTGACGTGTCCTCAGGCCACGACTCCTCAAGTTTATACATGGCTGTAGCGCTAGCAGGGGTACTTGCTGCCAGTTTTGAGACGCCGGTGATTCTACAGCGTAATAGGTAATGTACCTGGTAAAACTGTGTACGTGTCACAGGCTTGTCCGACTAGTTAGTGCCTACGTATTATGTCATCGATTTTTTTCTGCAGGTTTATTTTGGGTGTGAATGTTCCAAAGCAGGACACGCATACGCGGCGCAAACGGATTTAGATGTGTTAAGAAGACACTTAGCAAAGTTATAATTTTTCTCGCTAAAAAATGGAAGTTACGCTTTTCTGTCAAAAATTGCCGCCTAGCCGTTACAATGTATGTAATGCACGTTCCATAATTTTACTGAGCTTGGCGGGCCGATAAGAAACCAGCCGCGACCCGCTGTACTCTGGCTTCCAGGGTACAGTATAGTATGATTTGTGTGTGGAAGCTTGCAAGCAGGACATGGACACGGAAACATGCATTTTTTTCTTCTATTCACGAAAAAATGGATCAAAGTTCCTGTCCTTAGGGGCCGTTAGGCGTAGAATTGTTAACGTTACATGGCACTAGAATTGATACACTTTCCATAGTTTCACTGACATATAAATGATAAAATCTCATGGCTCTTTTTACGCGAGTTGTATAAATTTGTGGTCAATTTCTACTATTTATTCATGTACGGGTATAACGTTACTTGTAATCTCCAAGCAGATCCCTTTCGGTGGCCAAAAAGACAGTATCAAATTGGCCAGGCAGTATCCATTAGCCAGAGCTAGAGAAGGTCGCCGGCCACCGACGGTGAGGGTAGCGACAAAAAAATAAAACGGCCATATATAAAAGTTAACGATCATTCCCCCACAACCTCTGCTTGGAGAGTAGTTACGTGTACAATGTAGGGGGTTTCACTTTATTAGGGGGCGTGGTCCAGTCATGGTGTCATCCCCAGGTCAGTGTGTGACGCAATCGTTGGGTAAGCTATAGAAATTGCAGGGGTGTACGGCTCACAGAATGACGATAAAGAAAGAACTTATATCATTAAACACGACATGGCTGCTAAACTGATTATAAAAAAGAGGGTTTAAGGTGCTAAAGATAGTATGCTCACATAACAATGATCTAAATGCCTATTTCTGATCATAGATATATTGTCACACCCCTATTTCAATAGTGTGCTCTTCCAAAGATGGCGCGCTAGTCAAACAACCAAGAAAGTTTTCGTCTGTATTTGTGTGGGATCGTAGCGTAGTTTGTCGCCAAGGTTTGCGCGATGTTGTCAGTAAGAACGCTGTGTAAGAGACTGGGGTACAGGCTGGGGAGAAGAAGTGCCTCCACCGCTGCACAACCGGAGCTGAAGACGGAGTATGATGCCATAATTGTGGGAGGAGGTTTGTAAACATTTAACAAGTAACTCTAAGGCAAAACTGCCTATTTAAGTCTTGTTTTGAGTCCCCCATTATATAATGAAACTGTCCTGTTTTGGAAAACCTGATTTTCATAGAGAGGAGAGAACGATTGACGTGAAAACAGTGAAAACAGCCTGGTTCAGATGATAGATTTCACGACGGTATTTATTTACACGTGGCACTTTTTTAGCACAATAAAACAAGTCCCAGGGTCAAAGTTCGTCTGGGTAACCCCAATTTGAATATAAAATTCCACATATAGTTATGGAACCAATAAGTCAAGTCCATTTAATAGGCATATTTTGATGATGAATGTCATGTATAATTGGTAAAACTAAGATCAATGATTGTGGAATGAATGTGATGGATTTTACCAAATTTAAAACAATTAAAAAAAATTTCTTATATTTATTTTCATTATTCTTTATTGCAGGTCACAATGGCCTTGTTGCGGTAAGTTCATTCTAATAGAATGGAACATTTTCATATTCTCCATATTCATATTTCTCAGCAGATAGTCAATAGTACGATTTTTGTAAAGAATTGGTAATAGTAAACAAGACTATTGCAAAATCTCCAAGTAGATGTTGCAAGGCAAAATTGTAACATTTTCTAGTCGCAGGGATCTGGTATGTCTTATGATCAGTCTCCCAACATTATCTATGATGAGGACATGGTTATTGATCGATTGATTGATTGATTAATTGATTGATACTACTAGATTAATTTCATAATTTAGTTTTGCACAACGGGAGTTATTAGCCCACTATGCAAAACCCCCACTGCACTGGGAGTGTAGTTGAGCTGGGTGGCAGAAAACTATTACGGCCCAGAAGGGAGCATGCCCAACTGGACACTATGTTTAACTTGGTAAATGCATTGATGATATCTGACTCCATTGTGCAGGCAGCCTACCTGCAGAGATCTGGTATAAACACGGTGGTGTTAGAGAGGAGACACGTGATTGGTGGAGCTGCTGTCACAGAGGAGTTAGTACCAGGTGAGCATGTCAGATATTAGTCTCCACCAGACTCTTTTGCAGGCCAAATAAATAGTAGAAATCAGCCTAAAAAGAATGTAGCTGGCCAGGGGAGTTGGCCAGCCATAGAGGGTCTATGCAGGCAAACTGGACCCTCTATGGCCAGCCAACTCCCCTGGCTAGCTACATTCTTTTTCGGCCCTTTTCTACTATTTATTTGGCCTGCAAATGGCAAAAGAGTCTGGTGGAGACTTGTGTCAGATCATCCTTCTGTCCTTCTACCTGCCAACAGTAGCTCAAGATATGGGTAACAGTTACCTGTAAATGTCTGAATATTTGCTGTGAATAGGTGAGTTACAGTATTGCCAAGACTGCAAATACTGCAAAAGCCTTCTTTCCATTGAATATTCCTACTGCAAAATTAATTGATGCAAAAATAAATCAATTCAATCACAGTGCAAATGTATTAAACTGCTTTTTGGAATTTTTCTGGTTTTCTACTTCTATAGGATACAAGTTTTCCCGAGCTTCCTATGTTCTCAGTCTTCTGAGGCCAAAGATCATCAGTGAACTAGAACTCAAGGTGAGATGTAAGCTTGTTTGTCTATATAATGCAGCATGGTAAGTAGTGGTAGTATCCAGTATTTCAGTAAGGCAAGAGCACAAAAAAGATGTCTGAATACTAAGACTTCAACTCACAAAACCTGCTTTATTCTTAAATAAATACTCTGTTTTTCATAGATTCTAACATCTTAACGTTGCTGTTAGACGTTGAACTGACACTGCCGTTTGAACATCCGAACTGCTCACCTCTTACACCTTTCCTACAATTGTTTTAAGTCCTAATTTCTGTGGTAATTTCTCCATGTACAGAGACACGGTCTGAAGGTGTACCTGAGGGACCCCAACTCCTTCACCCCCCTGCTGGAGCCGGATGGTACAGGCCAGTACCGGTCCCTGCTGCTGGGAAGAGACCTGAGGGAGAACCAGAGACAGATCGCACAGTTCTCACACAGGGACGCAGAGGTCAGCTGTCTGTATCAGGGCTAGCAAAATCAGCCTTCTATATAATAGAACTTATATATTATAGAAGGGTTAATAGTATTGTAAGAAACAGGAGGAGCGAGTAGAAACACATAAAAACCCCTGATCCCGGGCCGGGGTTCGAACCCACAACCTTCTGAGCACCAGCTTCAAAATCCGACACTCAAACCATTCCGCTAAAAGGTCCCGGGGGCCGGGGTTCGAACCCACGACCAAACCCGGGTACCAGTTCACACGCCAACGCTCTAACCACTCAGCCGAAAAGGTCTAAACCCTTCGGCCAGGTCAGTTGGTAGCGCCTATAAACCCCCCACTGTTACAGTATGATAGTCTGTATAGTGTTATCACACAAGGATGCTGAGGTACATTTTGTAAGCTGTCTGTATCAGGGCTACGAATAAGCCTCCTGCACAGACTTCTAGTAGGGCAGCGTTTATTTCTATGAGCACTCATAGAGTGGCAGTTTCTTACATTTAGGGGAAGACCTTGTTCAAGGCAAGAGAGAGCTGTATCCAGTGTTACGTGGTTTTGTGTGGCAAAATGGTTGGTTGTATGGCCCAGAAACCAGAGGTGCTGGGTTCAGATCCTCTCAGAAATGTACTTGACACCTCTGAAACTTTCTGAAATCTTTTCTAGTTGCTTGAGTAACAAGTTCCTTGACAAGTATTTAACTTTGTTAGATCTTAAGTTGTAGAAGGCCATACAAAAGTCCCTGTACTTTTTGTTGAGTCAATAAAGAATGTCTATGTGACACATTATGTTGTTTCCTGTTGGCATGTTGTAGATATTCCCGGAGTATGAGCACACCATGAGCAGGATAGGAGAGGCTATAGAACCCCTGCTGGACAACGCCCCTCTGGACCTGCAGAGACTCAGCCACGGCTCCAGACTGGACAAGATGAGGGCACTGATGACGGCAAAACCACTCGCTGATGCTGGTATGTGTGATGAACTACTTGGTAGTAAGGTGGTTAGGGTTGTTGCATGTTGACTCCGAAGGTTCTTGGTTGAATCCCTGTCAGGCCCCAATGTTGTGTCTGTGGGAAAGGCATTTTGCATGTATTTCTTCACTTGACTCAGCTGAAAATGAGAGCCTATTACCTAGCCAACCAGCCAACCATTCAAGATATGATAGCTCAGTTAGGGGGGGCCTGCATGGGGGTCCCGACAATGCTCTACGCTAAATTGTGATAGCTCTCGATTACACTTTACGATAAATTCCAAGTGGCTGCAAAGCATTACATAGAATTATAACAGCAAATACGCAAAATGCGCCAATGACACTCTACGTTGAATTAGGGCGGTCCGTCTATGCTCTACGTAGACGCTCTACGCTCTACGCCATTTAGGGTGAAAAATACCTCATCAGATTTGAGAGTCAGTCACTTTTTCTTACCAAGTACATTGTAGTCTTGACTTTCTATATATATCAGTTTCATGAGTGAAGTTTTTGTTGTTACAGCGAAGGCTCTGGGTAGTGACCTGAATGCCTTCATTGAGTTGCTGACTGCACCTGCCAACAAGATAAGTATGGAATAGTGTCAGATGGTCTGTTGAAAATATTACCATTGACTACAAAACATTTCTCATTTTTTTTTGTACATTGTAAGTACCAGCAGATTGTAAGATGATATCTTTTCTGACACAATATTTAAAAACTATGGAATGTCATCCTTAATGTATATTATGCAAATGCGACCTTAAACTAGATGGTCTGCTATGCACAATGAAGTACTATGCACAATGCATATGAGTTTTGTGCAGCCACAGTATCTATTCTTAATGTGCTATTGAGATATACATGTATTTTGCTGCTTTTTCTCCCTTCACATGTTGGATAAGTGGTTTGAGTCGGAGCCCCTGAAGGCAACGTTGGCCACAGATGCAGTGATAGGAGCCATGCTGACGCCTAACACTCCTGGCAGTGGGTAGGTCATGGAAACTGTAATAAATTCAATATAAACATCTATTAGATACAAATTTGAATTTAAATACATGTATGCATCATTATATGTTTTTCTTGTTTCATGGATTAGTAGTGCCTTGCTTCATTGCACATTGAATAAGTAACACCTAGCTTCAGTGCAAAGTGAACCAGTCATAACTTGATGACAGACAGTCATTGAAATGTCAGACAAAAAGATGAAAAAAGATGACAGACAGTCATTGAAGTGTCTAGCCTGGGTGTCATCCGATTTGGATGGCACCCAGGCTACCAAATGTCAGCTCTTGTTAAACAAGTGACAGTGAAAAAACTGCCAGGTATTCTATATTGCCTGTTTTGTGTATTCTTATATGTATTGCTGTCTTTGACTACTAGTATGTAAAATTTGTTGTTATATACATGTGTTTTTTGTATGGGGGAGGGCAACTTGTAAAGGTGCGTATGCACCTGTTTTGCCCTCGCTTTCTCTTTGCGAAAAATTCTATTAAAACAAATAAAAACAAATAAACAAATATTGTATCCTGTACATTAATTGTGGAGATATTGTCTTCCTGATTGCAGGTATGTTCTCCTTCACCATGTGATGGGAGAGTTGGAGGGAGTGAAGGGTGCGTGGGGTTACGTGGAGGGAGGGATGGGGGCCGTGTCACAGGCCATCGCTAACTCAGCTCAGGAGCAGGGCGCAACTGTGCTGACAGAGAAGGTGGGAGAGAGAAATTTTTTTATGTTTGAGCTTTGAGATGTTTGAGATTTTCATTGGCTAGGAAATTCAGAATTTTGTAAAGTTTGAATTATTCATTGGCTAAGAATAGAAGTCTCTGTTGCTATACTACATTTTAATGCCTGTGGGGGAACCATGCCGGACATATGCCCTGTATGTACCGACGCACGGCAAAAGGCGCCCAGGGCGCCAGCGACTCGACTACCTGGGCTACATCCGGAACCTGTTGGGGGACACCGAGGGTGACCACCTGGGCTACATCCGGAACCTGTTGGGGGACACCGAGGGTGACCACCTGGGCTACATCCGGAACCTGTTGGGGGACACCGAGGGTGACCTGCGTCCAGAGGACATTGCCAACCTGTCGGCGGATCGACGGTCATGATGAAAACGATGATGATGATGATACTACATTTTATTTTATTCCAAGAAGAAGCTACAAATTACAAGAAGGATCTACTATATTCCAAGTCCAAGAAGGATCTACTATATACTGTACTCATCAGTGTAAAAGTGCAAAATGAAGTCTAAATATTTAGTCAGAAACAGTTTTTTGTTTTCATCCAAGTTTTTGCGTGCTAGTTGCCATTTAAGTTCAAGTCAAAGGTAGTGTCTTTGAAGTTTGAAAACTAGAATGTTTTTTCCTCCTTCCTTAGCCTGTTAGTTCTATACTGGTGAATGGTTCAGGGGAAGCTTGTGGAGTGGTGTTGGAGGATGGCACAGAGATCAAGGCTACCATGCAGATAGTCATGTCTAACGCCACACCAAAAGTCACCTATCTGGACCTGGTCTCCAAGGTAAGAAAGGAAACTGAAAAGTAAATTTTAAGATGACATTTTGCAAAGCAAATGCATTAATGTTCCACCATATGGTGATGATCTGGCTCAACAAACTACTCAGCATTTCCGTTCATTCATACTCAAACACTATCATACACATATTATACACTCTCTTTATGTAGTTTGCCATACATTGTACCATGTGCAATTGTCGTGCAATAAAGTTCTACATGTATATTATGCATTTGTTGACCAGCTTCTCAAACTCTGTTCTACAACTTGTTAGTAGACATATTGTAATCTGAGGTAACAGGTGAACTAATAGGTCACAACCACATGGAAAAAATATTTCAGACTTTCCCTGTCTGACCTTTTTTTAATATATCCTCTTGTCATTCTGCCTGTCAATCTGTTTGCTTTTAGGATCTTCTTCCTGCAGACTTTTTGTCGGAGGTGTCACATGTGGACTACAAGTCTCCGGTTACCAAAATCAATGGTAGGTTGTGCTATATACACATGTAGACTGGTTGGACCATTCACAAGTGTTTCCCAATTGTAATTACTAGTATGACAGTCTGAAGAATTGATACTTATATGTAAAGGTACATGACAAGTTATACGTAGATTTTCTTTATACATGTACAAATACATTGTAGACTGGTTACGAGACTCAGTGTGCGTGTTTACCAATCATATACAGTCCGAAGAATCAATGACTATTAGGTACACTTAAGTACACTACAGTTTTATAATATACTATATAATCATGTACATAATGTATTTAGCTTTGTTCGATCTTAGTTGTTATAGACAATTCCTGTACTTTTGTTGTGTCAATGAAGAATCTCTATACAAAATGTATCTTAACTTTTTTTTTAAAAGCCATTATCAGTTATTCTTAACAATTGCTGCTCTGATCTTGTTTCTGCACAGTTGCAGTCAACCAGCTCCCGAACTTCAAGGCAGCGCCGAACACTGCCGACAACACCCCCCTCCCTCACCACAGGTGCACCATCCACCTCAACTGTGAGGACTCTGCTCTCATCGACGACGCTTACCACGATGCAGTGGTGCATGGGATACCTTCAAAGAAGTTAGTTATAAATAATAGAAATGTTGTTATAAATTTTGATAATTTGAGTCAAGTTTATATAGTACAGGAACGTGCAGCTCATAGTACCAGTTTTTATTATATCTGGCATACTTTGACTGTATTACTGTAAATTGTAGTTGTTTGAGTGTAATAACCCTGATAATTTGTTGTGTTATTATATCTTTTTAACCTTAAGTTGTATATTGTTTAAGTTTATAATAATTTATGTATTATCAGCACCATAATGCAGTCTTAGGACTGACTGCAAGTGTAATATGTGCGTATGAAATGTCAAATAAACAATTCATATATACCCAGTGAGTGTACAAGGACTTTGGCAGAACATAATGCACCTGTGTGAAACCTGGATTTTTCAGTTTCAGTTGGATGTTTGGTCAATGTTGCATCAGAATTTTGCCAGTTACAGACTATCTTTTCCGACACAGCATTTGAAAACTGAAGATGGGATGTTATCTACCTGTACCAACAATTCTAGATTTCCTCAATTATGCAAATAATCTTCTAATTGGCATTATTTGTATTTCAAAATACTTTTAACTTGATGAGTTACTTTTAGGTTTCTATAGTTTCTGTGTTTCAAGTTGAGATTAGATTTTTCGTTTCCCTTCAGGCCGGTTATAGAGATGTGCATCCCTTCCTCCCTGGACCCTACCATTGCTCCAGCGGGGTGCCACGTGGTCACCCTGTTCACCCAGTACACACCGTATCACAGGAAGGATGGTAGGGAGTGGGACGATCAGGCCAGGAATGAGTACGCTGACAGAGGTAAAGTTACCTACACCAAGAATTATTATACATGTATCATAATGTTATTCTGCATCTGGTACAATTATCACAACATTTGAATTCATTGTGTCATGGTATCTGAGGGCTGAAATGCCTTCAAGTAGTAACAATGTACTCAGTTTTGGAATGACTAGATCTCTTTTTTGTTTTATTACAGTCTTTTCCTCATTATATTTAATATAATTATATAACCATCACATTTCTATCATAATAAGTAGCATATCACATGTTATCATAATAATTATGTCATTGTTTTTAGTTTCTTATGATGTAGTTATTCAGACTTGATAAATGTGAGGAAGTGTCTTTGACTTAGCTGTGTTTTGTTGTATTTCAGTTTTTGACAACATTGAAGACTATGCCCCGGGATTTAAGGCCAGTGTGGTGGGGAGAGACATCCTGACTCCTCCTGACTTGGAGAAGACGTTTGGCCTCACTGGTGGGGTAAGTAACTGTTACAGTAGTAACCTAACCTTTTTGAGGCTGTAGGGACTAGGTTGTTATCCATTGTGATTAGGGCACGGTATTGGAAGGAAAAGCCCATCCTCTCTTCTTCCACTGCCTTCTACCTCCCCAACCAAAGTCAGGTGCCCATTTTACACCTGCGTGGAGTGAGGAAAGTCGTGTTAAGTCCATTTCCTAGGGACACAGCGTCTGGCCAGGAATTGAACCCACAACCTTTTTATCTTGTAGGATTGCATTGATTTTTTCTACTGAAATATTCCTTGCACTTTCATGTACATGTAGTTTGTTAGCCTGGGTGCCATCCTATTTGCTCTGTATACCGGGTCTCCCATACTTGCTCCTTATAAAATATTTTTAGGGAGCGAGTATGGGAGCTCCAGCATGATGGCACCCAGGCTAGTAGTGTGTCCTGTATTACTAGTACTGTCAAAAGACTATGAGGTTAACTGCCCAAAACGAACAGTATGGCTCATTCAAGACAAGACAAATCAGTTTGTCCTGTATAAAGATGCTAAATTGTGCATGTTCTACTTGACTTTCAGAACATCTTCCATGGTGCGATGTCTCTGGACCAGCTGTACCAGTCTCGCCCCGTGCCCAGCTTCGGCAACCACCGATGTCCCATCAAGGGTCTGTACCTGTGTGGCAGTGGCGCACACCCGGGTTAGTCTCACTGTTTATGTTAAATTTACGTTTGTTAAACCAGTACAGATGTTTAAGTACAGGTACAGGTACCAGTACAGAGGTTAAGGTACACGTTCAAAGGTTTTGGTACACATGTAATGTTACAGTAGTGATGTTTGTGTTTATTTTGCAGGGGGAGGGGTGATGGGAGCAGCAGGGAAGAACGCTGCAACTGTGGCTCTTGCTGATCTCAGAAGATGAAGCCCTTTTTAATATAGCGTAAATTGGGAAACTTTTGCGGTGATTTTATTTTCCAGTAGGAGGGAAAGGAAAATTTTTTCACTGTTTTAAATTTGTGGTTGAAAGTCTTTTAGTACAGTAGTCATACAAGGAAGACATATTCACGGTTAGTAAATAAAACCACCGCAGAAGTTTCACAATTTATAATGATTACTACCTTATAGACCTACAATATATATACCTTTTTTTAACTAACTGCAAAAGAAATACCTTATTAGCCTATTGTTGTCCTATTATATTATCTTGATTCCATTTTTTACTTCGGATAATTTTAATTTGAAAATGATCCCATGACATCGACTAGATATTTTGTCCATTTTTAAAAATGTAATATGAATGTCAGTGTCAAATTTGTATCACTGGGAAATTCAAGTGCAATTGAAAAGTAGATCAAAAGCCCTTTTAATAGTATACTTATAAATGTGCCTTATGTGGCAGAGAATTTCATTCTCATATTGTAGCCATAGCTAAAGCTGTAGGACTGAAATCAGTTAGGATTTTACCATGGCCAATAATGACTGAAGGAGGCCATATATAAGACTTGTATACTATATCTGGTAGATTTGTTTAGGATAGTCTAGTTTTGGTATATCTAGTAGTTTTCATGAATCTGTGATACTGAGTCATGTATTTTAATCTCTCTCAAGTAACATTTCAGGGGGACAAGAATCAACAATTAAAAAACAATTTGTAAGCTATAAAAGTCTCTTTTTTACTTTTTTGGTATAAAAGAGTCATGTAGGATGGTCTTACATTATATCATAATTAATTATAGGCTCTGATTGAATATATTAAGATATAGCTTATTGTTCAGTCTGTTGATACAATACAACTGAATCCAACAACACATCTTGATGAATAGGCAACATATACTCTCTTAAGACATGCAAAGTTCTCTTAACTGTTGACAAAGGCATTCTGGGGTGACAGTATAGACTCTATATATTGCACACTCCTTTACCTACAATATCTTCCATCCCATAATACATATATCTTTTCAACATGTTTCTGTGCTTAATAGTTAATGTACATGTTAGCAATCTACATCTCTTAAATGTGACTGGTTGTTTCAAAACCAAAAGTCCATGCTGATCGGCCGACAGACGTCACATGACCTTCAGCCTGCCGCCATACAGTTGTTCCATCACCCTTTGCACACTGCTGATGATGTCCTCCACTGCTCCTCCCCACGTACTCGTGTCTAGCTCTTTGCACAACCTGGAAACAGTTAACAACAAAACAGTCCTGATACTACTGCTTGAACAGATTTTTAAGAAGGAACTACAAAATCTTGGTTTGGGATTGGAATACGTTTCCTCAGGCCTTACCCTAAATCCAAGAGGCCAACTTGTTCAAGGAAGCAGTACTACTACACAAGGGCGCAGTGCACTCCTCCCTGCGTGTCTTACCCCAACTGAGGGGTGTTACACAGTACCTTTTCAAGATCAAGATCTACATGACAAAAGATGATAATAACAAAATCTGGCATGTTGAGTTTGCAGGTTAGAGATAATATGATAAAGTATCCATTTTCTATTCATCATACAACCCCCTCCACGAGTCCAATACACTCACAAAGACCCAAAATGCCCCCCAGAGGTCTGAACATATCATTAAGGCTCACAAAAACCCAAAGTACTCCCTGGAAGTCTGAAATCTCCAATTCATTGATGCACTGTTGTGTTTCTTTTGACTTTGAATTGAATTTGTTGTGATTCTGTATCCATTTTACAAGAAATTGGAAAGCCCTTAAAATGTTTTCTAGCTGAAACTACTTCTAAGTTAAACTTGTAAATTGAAAAACTTCTTTACCTCCTGATGTATTTGATGAGCAGGTCCACAGTCTCCAGGTTACGATCCAGGATCAGCTGATGAAGGTACTGGATAAACTGGTCAACATCTTCTTCCTCTGGGACTTGGAAAAGGTACAGTAGAATAGGTCTTAGTCTTAGAAAAAAATGAATCAGGCAAATATTCTGAGAATCAAGAAATTACATTGATGTGACCAATAAATTATACTCACTACAGAGCATCACATTGTTGATTCTTTAAGTTTAAGGCCACACCAATTTAATTTGTTGGTTCTCGGATTTGCCTCTTCGTTTTTTTCTGATTTGCAAAAAAAAAAAAATTGATTCTGGTCCTGAATCAACTGAAAAATGCTCATGTTTTGCCCCCCAACAGTTGAGGAAAGTCCTTTTCTTCCTAGTTGTTACAGTTTTCCCATCTATCATTGCAGTGGTTTGATTAAAAGTTCAAAATTCAATGTTTAAATTTTAACCCAGCCTTTTGTGCTGACTTCATGGCTCATTTTGTAGCATTTAAGCCTATAATAGGATGCCTAGACCTGTTTTTATTTTTATTTTTTTTCGCCCTGTCGCTTCATATTTTTTCTGAAAAAATCCGAGAACCAACAAATTAAATTGGTGTGGCCTAAGAACATTACCTCCTTCCAGAATGAATTCAAAAGTATTGATAAATACAACACAAACACACAAAAGCTACCAAAACACAACCTTCTTGGGGAAGGTACATGTAAATTTTAGTTTGCCTTTTCCAAATTGTAAAATCCCAAGCCAAATATAACTTATCATTAAAAGTCGTGGAATATGCAATATACCTGGACAGGTGTGTGTCCACTCCTTCAGCAGTTCTTTCACCTCGGGAAGCTCCACCCTGCCACACAGGTGCACCTGCTGCACCTGCACTGGTCTGTCACAGGTGTTTACAGCTACTTCAGGTGCGGGGTCGGGTACAGGTGCTACAGGCGTAACCTCCAGTTCTCTGCTTGACGTTGTTGCCTTTATGATGAAAGGAAAAGAGGAAAAAGTGTTGGTTAAATGTTTGTAAAAAATTTTGTATACAAGGGCTGAAGTATACTTTGTTGACAAATTCCTCCATTGCTTATCGAGTCACACAAGGAATATGATGCTTTCTAAAGTTTGCTATTTGATATTTTCCTTTGATAGAACAACTATGAAATCCACAAGTCAAACTACCATTAAGGGATACATCTGCATCTAGATTATTTTGAAAAAATCAAAGGAAAACTTACCACATTGTCCCTTGTTTGGTTCCACACCAGCTTCTGTGGACTGAGTCTTTTCTTGGCAGGACTACCAACAGTACCAACAGTTGCCTTTCTCTTACCAGGACTGTTGTTGGGAGGTTTTCTCCTGGTGTATTTTCTCTTAGCCTTGGGGGGACTGGGTCTCCCTTTGGACTGGCCCAGCAGTTTCAGGGCATCCTGTGGTTGGTTAGGTCTCTGTTGTTGATGTTGTTGAATTGGTTGCTGTTGTTTTTGTTGTTGTGCATATGCTCGTTTGAGCTCTTGTTGGAGTTCAGGAGGCAAGGCATCCAGGCATGTTGGGTCAATCTGAAATTGAAAATAAATGTATCACTAATAATTCAAATCATAAGAAGACTGTTGACTGCTACGTGTATGCACAGCAAGTTCACAATATATGATGACATTTGTGATGTAAAATTGATGGCAAAAAATTTAATACATTCATTTTCGCTCTTATTTCTAACATCACAGCTAAGACATGAAAATGTTCAAGACTATTTATGTAGCTCAAAATACCACAATACAGCCCTATAAGAACAGTCTTACATGTACCTGTAAATAAGTCAAAGAAGATTGTAAATATATGTACTAAGTACAATTAAGCACATGTATACAAGAACTACATGTACCTTGTTGAGGTCTGGTAGTGCTACAATAGGACCTGAGTCACTCCTCTTCTTTTTTCTCCCTTCATCTGACGGTCCTGCTACTGGCTCTGTACTTTGCAGCAGGTTGTGGGTCACAAAACTGTTGTGGTCTCTTGCATCATTGCTATGGACCAGTAAGGAATGCCCCCTATCCTCAGTTGTACAAACTGCAGCTCCAAGTCTATCACTTTGCAGTTGGTGTGATCTAGGGTTTACAAGCTGTTTTTCTCCAGTTCTGCCTGTCACCGTGCTTTCTGATGCCACCTTCTGTAGCTGTTCTTCTTCGATCTCCCTCCTTAGATCTGGAGGCAGGGCGTCCAGAAAACTCTGATCTATGCCTGGTGGACTCTCTCTATCACTGGCCTCAGTTTCTCCTTCTGCATCATGTCTACATGTGAAACAGACCACATAAGATTCAATGGAAAGTTATACTAGTACTACATGTACATGTAGTACCCTTGTTGACAGTAACAATTCAGTTACAAGATAGACTGTTTCCTAAATATACATTTTACTTTATAGTAACATTCATCACAGCTTAGCTACTGTAGCCTAGTGTCCAGCCTTGTTAGCTTTAGTCTACTCCCCAAGATCCGCTCCAACCTTGTTGGCGGGAAGCGGATCTTGGGGAACAGACTAAAGCTAACAAGGCTGGGCACCAGGCTATAGCTACTGAGCTGTATGCTATTCCAATCAAAAGATGATCATGTATAACACCATTCCACCTTACCTGAGTGGTAGGTTTCTGGCAGCATATGTCTCTTCTATCTGTTGTCTGATATCCTCTGGTAGAGCTGCCAGGACACTGGGGTCAACCTACATATACATACACGTACAGAACAAGAGACAACAATAAATACATTTAGTATGTAGATTCCTTTATGGTGGATTCTTTTCATTCCTCTGGTGTCATTTGTGATAAACTTTGTTGAATTTGTATGTAAAAATTCATACAAAGTTTGTCTGTTCCTATACATACTATCATTCAATACAATGTACAATGTACAATGGCCAAAGAAATGTCATCAAAGTCATCAAACATATCAAACTTGTTAACTTAAAGTTTGGTAAAAGACAAAACCTTTAATTCAAACCTTTACCATAACCTTATTTTTACCCATCTTTGAGTCTTTCAACAAACTTACACATCAAGAAAGTCACAAACTTCAGTACATTTTGAGTTTTGAGCGATAACATTTTGACATAAGTTCGACATAAACTTTCTTGCACCCACCTGAGATGGTGACGGTAGGTACAAGTCATCATGACTGGTTGATGCTCCTTCGTTCAGTCTTCCTGGGACAGCAGCCCTGTGTGTCTTTGGTGTCTTAAATGTGGGAAGCATTGGCAATGGAGGTAAGCCTGCTCTTTTTGGCGTTTTCTTGGTTGTGTTTTCACTAGTTTCAGATGCATCAAAATCTTCATTAGTACCATCCAGTAAAGTTTCTTCTTGTATGTCTTCTGTTATAGTTAACATTGAAGGTTTCAGAAAATCTAGCATGGTCTTTTTGTTGGCCGTACTCCCTCCTGCCTCACTCTCTAACTCTGTGATGTCACCACTGCTGGGGACCGCGTTGCAGGTACTCGCCCGCTGCATTGCAGTAGCAGGCTTGGCTTTGACAAAGTCCATGATGGACTTGTTGCTTGCTGAACTGCTGGAAGCCCCTGCGGCACTGACCAGGCGTGTCATCTGGATGCCAAGCTGAAAGGAAAACATTCTGTTACAAAAAAAATCAAAATCTAATTATATTATGCACAATACAAGTACAGCATGTTGCATGAAGTAGGTTGACAGCACTTTGTGGGGGAAGATTGACAGGCAGAATGACAAGGTGAACAGTCTCAGAATTAGCCAGGGAATTAGCAGCAGGAATTAGAGGTCAACATGGGGGAATTCAGGAAGCCGAGCATATTTCCCAGAGGCAGAAGCCCCAAATTCTTGCTAACTTGCTTGCTGTTAGCCTATACAAAAAAGGGCTATATTACTCACTCCTCTCAGATCAGAAGGCAGAAGCTTCATCTGACTCAGAACACTCCACGCCTCCTTCCCAATCACTTTGGGGTCATCTGTCGCTAGGCCCAGGGTCGATGACTTGGAGAGACTGTCACAGATGCCGTGACCCATGAACTTGCTGGGTTCCACGGGAGCGTCCGCCTTCCTGGCCATGACCTTCACCGTCACAGTTTTGCCCTTCAGCCCGGCTTTCTGCAGCCTCCGCTGGACTTCTTCTGCAAGGTTGTACATGAAGGTCTCTGCCTCCACATCCTGCAGCCAGGAAGAGAAGGAGATACATCACTCACTCACTATCCAGTTTAGTGTCTGTTGTTTCCCGACTTCCGAGGGTTAGACGTGCTTGCACCACAATACTGTGGCTTTATATTACTCACTAGCTTGAAAGGAGGTTGGGAGGTGGTAATGACATTTGGTTCAGAGAATAAAGGGTCACTGTTATTACAGAACCATGTGTTTTATTCCGCTGATATTTTGGTAATCACCTTCCTCAGGGCAAATTCTGACTGGTTCACATTCTACAGCACAGGTGTCGCTGCTAGCTATAGATGTGTTCCCTAACGTAGAATTTTGAGACATATCTACACGGTTACAGGGTATGTCTCTATGCTACAATGCGGTCCCAAACTTGAAGGCATGACTATTCCTTAGGAAAAGAAGAAAACCCAAACTTTAAGTAAAACCTGCCCTGACCTTGGTGAACCTGATGCCATAGTTGATCTCAGCTGACACAGACTTCCTCTCCCGCTCCACCTTCAGGCCCCTGTCGTCCTGCCCCCTGCAGCTCCGGTGCAGTGCCTGTCCAGTTTTGGGCCCAAACTCCTTCTGCAGGGTGGGAAGGGGCACCTGCTGGAGGTCACCGCAGGTCACGACCCCCATGACCTTCAGCCGGGACTCCAAGGAACGTCCGACCCCTGGAAAAAAATACAAGACAAGAAAACAGAGGTTCAGACTTCCAAGAAGTGTTTTGTTTTTTGGCAATGTGATTGGAACTGAATTGTATGATCATGAGGAAATATCCAATTGAAAATTTAATTACAGTCCGGAATGGTGCTCCAGGATAATGTGATGTACATGCACATTATGTCATAGCACTTTGATAGAACGTCTCCTATAATGTCATGTTCACATATACGTGTATAAGGATGATATCCAATCTGTAGTTTTCAAAAAAATATGCGACAGATAAAATTTTGGTGCAACGTTGACCCAAACATCCAACAGATACCATGGTTTCGTTTCATGCAGGTGCAGTATATTCTGCTGACAAGCTGGTAAATAAGTAAATGTCAGATCTATCAGACAGTGTCCCGTATGAAAGGTGTGACTGTCTGGTTCCAATCATCACCCCAGAATGACATGTGGGGGTCTTACCCCTCCCATAGTGCATAGCGACTTGGGATAGTGCCCCGTACCTGGCAGTTCCCTGACCATCTGTGGACTGACAAAGTCCAGGACGTCCTCAGGAGGCAGGTAGAACTGACCGTTGGGCTTGGCTCTCTTGGTGGCCATCCTGGCCAGAAGGATACTGGACGCTGTGAAAATATAATTATATAACATCATTTGCCATCAGGAATTCAAGCTTTAATTTCAGAAAAAAAATCTTAGCCAGGATGCTTTCATTTTATGACTGGTTTATTTATTTCCACACAAATACAAATACAAATACAATACCATAGCAGCCCTTCGGCTGAATTGTGGTTATTGTTTACATTTATACAATATAAAATCAGCTATAACGATTCAATACAACAATGTTAAACAATATAAAATCAGCTATAACGATTCAATACAACCATGACTTACACAATGAACATGTCAACTATCATTTAGTAACTTTACAATGAAAGGTAAAGTACTGTTCTTAAATCTCTCTGCAGCTAAATTGACTGATTTGACTGATACTAGTACATACAAGTATATGGCTTACATGTATAATATTCAATCCATTTTCTCCAATATTTATTGAAAAAATTTGCTCCTACTAGTACATGGATAGTAAGAGGATACAAAATGTAATTACACGTATGTACATTTGTGAATATTAGTATACAAGTATGTAGTATAAATAACTTCTGTACACATAACATCTGTGTCCATAATATCACCAGGGTCCATAATATCGCCACATTGAGAAATAGTGTGCTTAAAGATATTTTTACTCCAACATACTTTTGGTATGCACTCCTTCACACCTCAAATGTACATACCTAGGGTATGTTGGAGTAAAAATATCTTTAAACACACTATTTCTCAAGGTGGCGATATTATGGACTATGGTGATATTATGGACACGGATGTTACTTGTTTAGAGCAAATTGTACTTGTGCCTTGAAGCATGAACAGGGACATCAGGGATGTCTAATTGAAGCAATCCCAGGTGTTCTTACCTAGTCCGACCGACGCGGGACACTGGGTTTTCTCTAAGATCTCCTGCCGCAGGACCGTGGCCAGGTCGTCGGGCGTGGCCCCCGTGTCGCCGAGGATGTCCGTCACGTCTACGAAAGCCTCGTCACAGCTAACCGCCTCAATCTCATGTGTGTAACTGGAGCAGTGTACAAAATACTTTTTTTTACCAAAATTTAGGTTACCCATCAGAATTTTAGGTTGCCCCACCTATAAGTTACTACTTTCCCCAAATTGAGTAATGTTACATACATATTAAGCCTTTGACAATATTTCTAACAGCCTTTAATTAACTGACACTAGTAATAGCCATTAATACCTAAAATTAAAAAGCATCTGCCCGATACAGTGGTGCAAGCCAAGTGGGCATGATTTGGGGGGGGGGGGCATTCTTAAAATTCAGGTAGGACACTGGGCTACCTAGGTTCAAAAATAGGTTGCCCCAAGTAAAATTTGGTTGCCCGGGGCAACTGGGTAGCCAGGTATTTTGCATGCTGCTGGAGCAGCAGAGAGTCATCATCGCATTTAATGTACAGTTAAAACCTGTCCAAGCTGGCCACCCAGGGGACCAAAGCAAAGCGGTCACCTTGGACAGGTGGTCTCCTTGAAGAGCAAATTGCCTCACAAAATGACTGGGACATAAACAGTTTCCGAGTCGAGATGTTTTAATGTCAAATGCTGTAAACATCTTCAGTTCTGTGGTACAAATGTAAATGCAATGTGGGAATGGTGGCACATGGAACAATTTACGTCGAACAAAAACATCACCCAGCAGTCAAGGCAAACTGGCTGGTTTCTCCATGATTTCTCAGTACGTAGTTATCATCATGTCCTAATGTCCTATCATATGGGTCAGTAGCAAAGTTTGATGGACAGATTGAGGTCGTTTTGAATGCCGTGTTAATTTTACCAACATTATCCCTACATGGCTACACTGTTAAATTATGATTGATGGTAATTCTATATTTTGTATTATGTTTGGACAATAGTGACAGAGTCAAGTGATAGGATACCTTTGTCAAGGCGTCACCATCCCTTTACATATAGGACTTAGCTAACTAGGTTTCTTTGTACTAGTAACTAAAGTTCTGTTTTTCACTTTTTTTATAGTATTTGACTAGTACTTGTTGTAGATGTACTAGATCCATAGCATAAGTTCCACCATACATGTGATGATGTTACAGTTATATTAATGCATTTACATGTATTAAAGTATTGCTTGTACATGTATTCCTAGTGTTCTGTAAGCCACATGTACATGTACCTGTTAGTTTTGGTAATAAATTCAGACATGTAATATGATGTTGTCTTTATTATTTATTCTAAGTGATTGTCTGTTTGGTAGTTTGTCTAATTTCCCCTATGCAAATCAGTACATGCAACATGGTACGTTCCTTTGCCTCCCAATCAAGTAAAACCAAGGACTGTAGAACATCCTTGGTAAAACCCACCGGACCGGTTTCATCCACCCACCCTTAGGCCATGCCCTACATAAATGCATGACTGACTCTGTTCCAGTCAGTACTGACTCTGCAGCCGTGAGGATCTGTGTCGTTGTGAAAACATTGTGCAGTACTTTGGGAGCGTCCGTGCATCTTGGTAAGTGTCGACTATGATTTCATTTTCCTATATATAGTATATTAATCTTTGATTTAATGTTTGACCAAGGCCATGTTGCACTTTGTTGCAGGTCACACATGCATGTAACATGATAATTTTAACAATAAATTCAGTCATGTAATATTTGTTGTTTTATTGTTGGTCTCCAACTTTTTCATGTTGGGATTGCGCCGCTGGCGTAATCTTTTGGGATTGCACTAGGGAATGAGGAGATGGGCCTCCCCCCTCTAAGGGAAGCGCTCTACTAGCCTCAATTCCAATGAAAAAGGACCGCCATCTTTCTGTCTTTTGGCCCAATTTTTTTTCTGTGGGTGCACTGGTGCGCCTAAATATTCTTGTAGGCATTTTTATACATATTAAGTGTATAATCATAGTACAGGATATTCTTGACATCTAAGTGTCAAAAAAATAATAAAACCTTTGCCGTAGTACTGTAAGGTTTTGAAGTTAGTAGTTAGTAGATTTTGAAGTTAGCTCCCATTTTAGATTCAAGCTCAAAAGAGGAGCAGGAAGATCTGTATGTTTTGTTTTGTATGGTGCACAGAAAATTTTTTAGTTTGGGTGCACCAGTGCACCTATTGCCAAAAACGAATTTCAAGCCCTGCTTTTACATGATGATTTTTTTTATTCCTGCAGGATCAGAACATGGCCGCAAGAGCTTCATCTCATTTGAACGAAGAGGAGGGAGAGACTGAATGTGGAGAGCAGGATTTTCCACGTGCCTACAAGTGCAGCCAGTGTGACAAGGAGTTTCGTTACCCGAGCGTTCTGAAGCGACACATGCAGACTCACACAGGCGAGAAACCGCACAGATGTGAGGAGTGTGGGGGGCAGTTCACGGTGTTGGGTAGTCTGAAGACACACATGCAGACTCATCACACAGGTGAGAAACCCTACAGGTGTAAAGAGTGCAGTCTACAGTTCCTTTACCCATGCCTTCTGAAGCGACACATGCAGACTCACACAGGCGAGAAACCACACAGATGTGAGGAGTGTGGGGGGCAGTTCACTGTGCTGGGTAGTCTGAAGACACACATGCGGACTCACACAGGTGACAAACCGTACAGGTGTAAAGAGTGCAGTCAACAGTTCAGCAGGCTGGGTCCACTGAAGGAACACATGCGAACTCACACAGGTGAGAGACCGTACAGGTGTGAGAAGTGCGGCAGCCAGTTTACTAGACTGACACATCTAAAGAGGCACATGCAGATTCACACAGGTGAGAGACCGTACAGGTGTGAGGAGTGCGGCAGCCAGTTTACTAGACTGACACATCTAAAGAGGCACATGCAGATTCACACAGGTGAGAGACCGTACAGGTGTGAGGAGTGCGGCAGCCAGTTTACTAGACTGACACATCTAAAGAGGCACATGCGGATTCACACCGATGAGAAAGAATATCAATGTGAGGAATGTAGCAGGTGGTTTAATACAATGTACAATCTGGAGAAACACATACGGACTCACACTGGCGAGAAACCATACAGGTGTGAGGAATGCAACGTGCAGTTCAGTCAGTCGGATATTCTGAAGACCCACATGCGGACTCACACAGGTGAGAAACCGTACAAGTGTGAGGAGTGCGGCAGGCAATGCATCACGCTGAGTAATCTGAAGAAGCACATGCGGACTCACACTGGTGAGAAACCGTACAAGTGTGACGAGTGTAGCAGGCAGTTTACTCAGTTGTCAACTCTTAAGACACACAAGCGGACTCACACTGGTGAGAAACCGTACAAGTGTGACAAGTGTAGCAGGCAGTTTACTCAGTTGTCAAATCTTAACATACACATGCGGACTCACCATGAGAAACCATGCATAATCGATGTGAGAAGTGGATTGGAGCAGACAGTTCAGTCAGCAGCTCAGTTTTGTTCGTAGTTTTGAGTATCATTTGAGTCAGTAGTGAGTTTTGTAGATCCCTTTTAGCAAGGTGACCTCTTATTATTATTATTTACCTTTTTAAAAGTAATGTACTCTCTGCATGACTCCATTGTAAAATTTTAAAATGCTCCGTAGCCCGAACTAGAAGTCGTGTGTAAATGCGACTATGAATTGTTTAGACACTAGTTACAATTGGTACTCTCTACATGACTCCAAATGTAAAATCATGAATGCATGCTTCTCAGCCCGTCAATTAGAACAAGGGCGTTCTTGTAGAAATCTTTTATAGTGTAACTCTGTCACTATTGTCTGAACAATCAACAGTCGCATTTTACTGAGTTACACTGTAAAAGATTTGTTTGGCGTCAAAGCGCATGGTCCGTCTGTTATAGCGTGTAATCAACTAGTTTTCTTTGATTTGCTTTTAGCTAACAGTATACTAGATCCTTAGAATTTGAAATTTAGAATTAGAAGCAGCATAATTACAATGTTAGTTCTAAATGCACTAGAATGTGGATAAATATTGTTTGTTTCCCAAGTGTTCTGTAAAAGACATACTAGTAGTAAGTAGCTGTTAGTCATTTGTCATCTTTCTGCATCTCAGATTCACCAATAAATCAAAATATGTAATGTGGTATCTTCTTTGTTGACCTTTTTCCTAAGGATGTTGTCTAATTTGCCTCAATGCAAATCAGTGCATGTACACAATTGTACTAGTAAGACAATAATTTCAACAATAAATTCAGACACATAATATTTAACAGAATACAAATTCACATACACCTACAAGTACATGTACATATAAAACCCAGTACATGGATGGACAAGTGCATGTAGACATCAGAAATACATGTACCTGCATAGCTCAGCTCATATGGACCAGTGCAGGTAGACATCAGAAGTACCTGTGCACAGCTCATATGGACCAGTACATGGACCAGTGCAGGTTAGCTGCAGGGGGGTATAGACATCAGAAATACCAGCACAGCTACAATTTTACCTGCACCATACTGCACATGCAGGTTGTATTTCCAGCAGCCCTGACATGCCTTACCTTGCAAGAATGTTGTACATCTTCTGTGCCACCTCCTTGTACCCCTGGAAGTTGTACGGTATGGTCTTGAGATCCGGGCACAGCTTGAGGGCCGGTCCCATGAACATGCCGTTCTTCACACCAGCCTGCCTGGCCTCGTAGCTGCAGGACGCGATCTCAGAAAAGGACATGTAGGTGTCTCTGGGAGCATGTCCTCCACGTGTGTTGTCCTGTTGTTATCATTCATGTAATTATGTTTAGGTTATTATAATCACATTTCATCTGTTATCTATATTTATGCTCAGTTCATTTAATAAGTAATTCCTGTTTTGTCAATCATATATTACTTTTGGATTTTCATAGATACAATTATACTGAGATTATGTTACTTAGTAGTTGTTCTATGACCTCTACTGCTCACTTCTACTAGTACATGTAGTATATTTTCTGTCTAGTGATCGCATACGTTTTGTTACCTTCGCCAAGAAGGTTATGTTTTCAGGGGCGTTCGTTTATGTGTGTGTGTGTGTGTGTGTGTGTGTGTGTGTCTGTCTGTAAACACGATAACTTGAAAAGGCCTTGATGGATTGTCTTGATACTTGGTAGGTGGGTAGGTGTTGATGAGACCTCAAAATGATTAGATTTTGGACCCCCTAGCGGCTTGTTATGGTACTGCAGCTGAACTTCCGGTTTTGATATCTCATGATCTAGACATGCTATGGTGATGAAATTTGGATATTAGGTAGCTCTTGTGATGGGGAAGAAGTGACGTGAGTTTAGGCCCCCTAGCAGCTTGCTCTGGAACTACAGGGATATATTCTTGAAAATATTCAAAAGGGGATAACTCAAGAACCAGTTGACGGATCGTCGTGATTTTTGGTATGTAGGTAGCTTACGTGATGCTTAATATAATTATGTGACAATTATGCAAATATGGATGTAATTTGTATAATTAATGGGGAAATTCTATAAATCAGCTGCATTCCATGATAGGACAATTGAAGCTTGTGACGTTGGTAATTGACAACGAGAGAAACACAGGAAGATATTGATTATGTTAATAATGACTTAATTTGCATAATTAATGAGAAAATTTTATAATTATGTAATGATAACTGCCTGGAATTTCATACTTGTGGTATTTGAAAGTTAAATTGAGGTGAACATCATTAAACATAATTTATTCAAATCAGGACCTCATTTGCATAATTTATTCGGAAATGCTAGAATGCATTGTTTGTTAATACATGTATAAGACTGTCGTTTGGTTGAGATTATGATAAAATGATATAATTCATGAAAATTAGGTTGCTATTTCTTAAATCAGGGGGGAATAATCTAATCTATACTTTGTCAGTCATAAAGATTAACATCATTTGGTGAAGGTATGAGATCGGGGAACTCTAGTTCTTTATGTTTTATCCAGGAAGAAAAGTGTGAAATTTTTGTAACACTAATGTGGATCCTAATAAAAACAAACCTCTGTCTTGTCAGTGACATCCTTAATGCTGTGCCGATGTGGCGTCATCTTTTCCCAGTAAAATCTCTCATATTCCGGGTCCATGCCCGGTCGCAGTGTCTGCTCGTGACCCTTGCCCTTCGAGTGCGTGACGGCGACAGGCTTCCCGCGGAGTTCGGGATGATTCCTCAGTCCCACGGACACGAAGAAGCAGTCCATATCAAGATGCATGACCACTTTACCTCTCTGAGAATTTGAGTTAAGCCTGTTGGTACATGGAAAATCAGAGATACCGATACTCCCACAGTTTTCGTCTACTGAAGGCTCCAGGCTTGTCTGTAAGTAATCGCGCAGTCGTTGCCTCCCCGGGAAACCGCTGTCTCCCTTCCCCTGCAGGACGTTGACGTAAGCCTGGAACTCAGTCCTCCACGTGGAGAGGTGGTGCAGCCTGGAGTTGTCGTAAAACTCAGCGACGAAGTTCGCATCCTTGGAGCTGCCCATCGGCTTCCGTGCTGAGGGGCTGGTGACGACTGGTTTGGAAAGAGGTTGCCCTTGTGCAGAGGATGATGATGCGCTGTTGCCATGGGCGCTGTTGCCATGGTCACCGGGTGCTTCTTGTGCATCATCACCATGGTAACTGGCACTTGCTTCAGTCACTTCTTCAGTCCCTTTGAATACGGATTTGTTAAGGGTCAAACCAACACCGTCATCACTGGATACTACTGATGTTGACAAGCTGTCATTACCATGGAAACTGTTACCATGGGGATCAGTTGGAACAGGTCTCACACCATCAAAAGGTCTCACACCATCAGAGGGTCTCACACCATCAGTAGGTCTCACACCATCAAAAGGTCTCACACCATCAGTAGGTCTCACACCATCAGAGGGTCTCACACCATCAAAAGGTTTCAAACCATCAGTAGGTCTCACACCATCAAAAGGTCTCACACCATCAGTAGGTCTCACACCATCAAAAGGTCTCACACCATCAGAGGGTCTCACACCATCAGAGGGTCTCACACCATCAAAGGGTTTCAAACCATCAGAGGGTCTCATACCATTGGTATCTTCATCAGAAGCTTCATCCAAGGAAGCCCCGTCGTCATTGATGACAGCAGTGGAAGTCCTGGTGAGAGACCTGAAGTTGAGGGATCCCTGTGCTGTGTCTCTCCTGTACAGCAAGTAGGGCACATGGGACAGCAGCTGGCCTGCCTTGATACTGTGAGAAAAAACAAAACACTGAGAAATGAGACACTGTCAAATTGAATGGCAGTTTTCTCACCACGCAGTAACAAAACCTACATCAGAAGTGTCTATCCTCAATAGCATTTTTAAACTTTAAACACTTAAAATTTAAGCAGGAAAACTGTTAATAATAAGTAGTTCTATTAAGCAAATTGCTAAGTTAAACTGACTTATCAATATCAATTTACGCACCTGTCCGTGATCCACTGCGGCCGAACCACCTTCTTGTCCCTGATGTCTTTGATCTTCCTGTCGGGCAGGTTGGAGGCGACCACGTGAGTGGTATGAGACCGCGACGGGTACACGTCGTACTTCCCACCATGCACCTGCATCAGCCGACGCAGCTCATCCGCAGGTGGATCTGTGAAGAGTGGAGGTGGTCATATTAGCCTGTAGTCCAGCCATGTTAGCTTGGGTCTGCTTTCAAAGATCAGGAAGGGTATAGGCAGCGGATCTTGGGAAGTGGACAAAAGCTTGACAGGGCTGGACTCCAGTCTAGTCAAATTGGACTAGCTATAGCCTGGAGTAAATATGACTCGGAACTTTCCATTGGTAGACAGGGTGGGTAGTACTGTATCCTGAACCAAGCCTGGAGCAAATTTAGCCTCTACCAGGCTTTCGGAAGCAGCTGGAAAGGGTAGAAACTGGCCAAATAGACAGATGCTTTGCCAGGATAGTTGGTCGGCGCTAAGAAAACAGTTTGCTGGTCCCAAACTGTTCTCTTATTGTAGACTGAAGCCTGGTAGAGGCTACATTCTTGGATACACGGAGACTATTTACTTTAATTTAGAACTGTGCCTGATACTAACCCTAACCCATTCAGGCACAGTTGTTGATACAATGTGGGGTGTCTGACCTGTCCATCCGTTGACGTAGATGACCACACCATTGAAGATGTTGGAGCAAGTTCCCTCCTTCTGCACCTGGTTTGGGGCGTCCGTCTCAAACTGTTCGTACAGTTTTCTCTTCTTGGCTGCCATGTAACCCCTCTGAAGTAGGAAACAACATATATGCATGAAAACAGAAGTTACATTCTACAGTGATAGAATTATATTATTAGGCCACACCAATTTAATTTCTTGGTTAACGGATTCGCCGCTTCATTTTTTTTTCTGATTTGCAAATAAAAATAAAAATTCAGAATCAACTGCAAAATGCTCATATTTTGCCCTGAACAGTTGAAAACAGTCCTTTTCATACTTCTTGTTAAAGTCATTCCATCTTTCAATGCAGTGGTATCATTAAAAGTTCAAAATTCATTGTCAAAATTTTGAACCAGCCTGGTGTGTTGACTTCATGGCTCCTATCGTACAATTTTGGGCCATCATAGGATGTCTAGGCCTGTTTTTATTTTATTTTTTTTTTCGCCCGCCCGCTCCATTATTTTTTTAGAAAAATCCGTTAACCAAGAAATTAAATTGGTGTGGCCTTATCATTAGTTTGTATAACATACAATTAGGAATGTACTTACCATGCTGTGATATGTCCTACACTGTAAAGTATTACAATGGAGCACAGTATACAATCAAGTTATAAATATTTCTTTGTAAAACCAAAATTTGATTATGAATATGATTTGGAACTCCACTGAATTTCAAATTACAGCACAGTAAATTGAACATTCCTCCGCACACAAGCTTGACCGTCGGCTGTCGCAATAAAAATGAGCACAAAACGTGTCTGTCCAAGTTTTTATACAACTGGATGTAATAACTTTTATAGACGTCATGACGTTGACTTGTTTTGAGCTGGGCAAGCCCTGGCAAGCCCAAACTAGCCTTAAATCAAGACAAGTTCTTAAGAACTGATTATCCGCTAACTTACAATTCCGTCACCTCCCCAGCCATCGTCAGATTCCCGACGCCTCCTGGGTCTGCTCATGGTGATGTTCTGGTGTTTGACAAGCTTGGAAAACGCCTTTTACCTCCCGATTCCAACCTGGAAGTTTAGAATTTCCGCCATTTTCGTGGGTTCATCTGAGGTCAATATTTTGGTATAGGACGATTACTAACTATAGGGGGGATTCTGGGAGAAATATTTATTCCATAAAAATTGCAAGATATGGATGGAAGTAATAGCTAAATGTTGTAAAGTTTTATAAATGTACTCTTTTACCATTAAATTTTATTCCAAACACTTTACCAGTAAAGTGTTGCATTTTTAATACAAACAATTATGACCCCCCCCCCCGAAATAATCGGTTGCTCCTCCAAAATTGCATTGTGGGTTATTTCCAAGATGGCAGTGTTTTGTTGGAGATTTTGCCTGTTTTCCGGAATAATTTTTCATTTTCTCGGATTTTCTCTGTCCGCAGACATTGAAATAGACGCCTCTTGTCGAAGTGAAGGCTGTGGATTCGAGGACAACCCACTGTCACCGTTCATAAGATGTGAATACTTGTAAGTGATGCTGTTTTTTTTTTTTTGTTGACTCTGGCTGGACATGAAAAATATTATATTTCGGATTTTCGTACTTCCGAAGTAACATGATGTGTTATGCAAATTATATTTGTAACTTTTTTATATTGATGTACATTATATTTACAACATTTGAAAATGCTGTAGCTTATGTAAGATAATTTATATTTGCATAATTTGCTGCTTCATTTTGGGTTTACAGTCAATATATAAATATGCCACTAATATATTTTGATCAGTCAAAAATAATAAACGCTATAAGTTATAACGTTATATATCTGACCCCAAATTTGACCTGCCAATGTGCCTGTCAATCCCATACCCACGTGCTGTCAACCTGTTCTCTGTCTGGACAAGCATACAATGTATACACAAACCCACAGCTCAGCCACTTAAAACAATATTTCCATACCCAGAAATTATTATCTTCTGCATCTGGACCCTGTCAGTGACACAATATTTTACACTTAATTTCAGACCAGCAGAGTTTGTTGAGTGTGATCCACCCATGGACCTGGATGGGAATGAGACAAAGAGAGAGGAGCTGGGCTATGGCTGCATTAAGGTATGGACTCTGTACTTTTGTACCAAAAAGTCTTTGGCAAATAAAGTAGTGATTGAAAGCTGAAACTTTTTTCTTTTATCAATCTTGCTGTAATCTTAATAGACAGCTGTACATGTCATTTACTAGTAGAAGGCTATTAAAATAGTGGTTTTGGTAAATACGTTTTATTTCTCTATCATCTGAATGTCCTATGTCCTCTCCTACATATGCATGTAGTATTTGCAGAGAGGACGAAAGAGGCTCAGCAGTCAGTCAGCAGCTAACTTACATAGGCTTGGTAACCAAGCTATTATTATGTACTAGGAGTAATATGTAATGATGATCATGTAAGTTGTGTTTCATACTCCAGTTTGGTGGTGAGCGGTTTGAGGATGTGGAGAACACCAGTGTGGAGTGTCGGGTATTACCAGGGATAGAATGTCAGGGAAACAGGACTTTCCTCAGTCTCAACCAAGTACCATGTATCAAGTAAGATATCACTACAGTATAAACCATTGGGAAGTGCCTGTATATTTAGCATATTATCAGATTTTGAAACTTTAGTGTTCAAGAATGAAGTAGCTTTATTCATTGCATACAAACTTTCAGATCTACCCCGGTAAGCTATCAAATTTTGTACTGCGCAAAACTTATAACAGTTTGTTATAGAAATACACACGTCGGGTTCTGATATGAAAAGGTTCATATTCAAGACTTAAATAGACATTAACATACCCCATATCCCAACACTTTCCTGTCATATTCTTGGCTTGCAATTACAATGTATTTACAGGGAAATAGACCTGTATGATGTTGTATCTCTGTTTACACACACATGGCGCACATGTTCACAATCTCCTGTATCATACTTTATCTCATTACCTGGATGTCTAACCATCGAGATACTTCTCTGTTTGTCCCCTGCAGGTATTCTGGACACTACTTCGTGACCACGTTGATGTACTCCCTCCTGCTGGGCTTCTTCGGAGTGGACAGGTTCTGCCTGGGGCACACCGGCATGGGGGTGGGGAAACTCCTGACCCTGGGGGGCCTGGGGGTGTGGTGGATGGTGGACATTATCCTTCTCTGTACGGGGAGTTTGGTGCCAGTCGACGGCAGCAACTGGAACCAGTACTACTGAGTAACAGACTTTATCTCCAACCAGGTCTTTTGGATGGCTGCGAAGACAGTATCAAATTGGCCAGGGAGTATCCATTTGCCACCTCGTACAACAAAGATACCAGTACAAAAAAGAGAGCCCATAAAAATGCCTAAAACACGCCAAAAATAAGCCGAAGCCCAAACCTCTGCTTGGAGAGTGTAACATACTACCAAGTGAGAACAAGTTTAGTACCAGTGGATGGCAGCAACTGGAATCAGTACTACTGATTAACGGACTAAAAAGAAAGAACAAGTGCTTTGATTGGCAGGTTATTTATGGCGACACTGAACACTGGGCCCTACTGTCTGTAAACAATTCAATCATCTGCAAGCAATTGCAAAGAATTATGTAACACAAATTTTGACTGAGAAAACAACTGAGACAGATGAAGACAGCCAGGATTGTAAATGAGTTCCACTTCTGTGTTCAAGTCAGTGTAATACATGTACATGTAACAGGTACACCATAAAATAGAATGTTCCAATCATAAAATGATTAGTCTTATGTAAATGTCATTATGGAAATGATGTACATTTTGTAAAAGAAAATAATTTTCAGGTTTTTTATATGTAAATAGTCTGATGTACAGAAAGTTTGTACTTCTTGAGTTATAAATAAAACTTTTGTTGAAACTGATTTGTCAAATGTCTATGATATTACACAAAGTATTGTCAGGACTGTTTTGAGCTCAAATGGGCTTTTTTTACATAATCATTTTTTTTTGTAATCATTTCATAGTATATAGAAATCACGTAAAAGGAAAATGACTATTGTATTGTCATTAAATATATTGTCATGAAAAACATGCATTTAAATCATGTGTAAATACATTGCACCTGATTATGTTGTCGAAAACATTGATGAATAAAACAGTCAATTGATGATGAATAGTGTGGCATAATTTCATGCCTTGAATTGAAATACATTTGTAGTTTAAGGAATTTGTTACTATGTGTGGTAATATTCACTATTGACTTCCTGACAGAAGAGCAGATCCAATTTTCTAGAATTACATTAATAAAACAATTCCAGTGCTACCAACTTTACTCTTGCTATTGTTCACAAGGCTAAAATTGTTTTAAGTATTTAAAACTCATTATCAAAAACTTGAAGCTTCCTAACATTTTACTAAAATTTAAAATACATAAAACTCATTGTCATAAACTCTTGCAGACTGTATGGCATCCTTAAAGTGTGGGCAGAACTGAAGAATCAGATGACAAATTACACCCTGAGGAACTCCCTAACCATAATCCTAACCTTATTCTTATCTTAATGATAATCCTACCAACAGAAATTTAGCTACAAACGTGACTGTGGAATGTCTAAGATGGCGGTGAAATGTCATGATACCACTTCTTGTGATAAATAACCTAGCTTGGGATGTTAACCCTAGTAACTTGGAAGGAAATCCAGCATACTATTCCTGTTGAACACACACAAGGAATTTGATAATTATACATGTATCTCATGTATAGCTATTGACATTTAGTGGCACTAGTTATCCGACTTCCTGATCTAACAATGCCGACACAACTGCCTCCACATTCCCATCATTGTTCTGAAGCATCATCAGTACAGTACCAACTTCAGTCTGTGGCAGGACAGCTCTCACTAGCTGCACTTTCTCACTCCACTTCTTATCAGCGGTTTCAGTCTTTACAGTTCCTTCCCGTGTAGAACCCGTATCTGTCGGTCTTGGCCAGGTTTCTTGCTCAAGGTCATCATCATCTGAATGCCTTGTTTCTTGGGAATCATCGAGTAAAGATATGGTTTCAAGTTCTTGACTAGAAGTTGGAAACGTATCTGTTTTGTTTGGCTGTGCACTGCCACTTGTGCTTGGTTCTGCAGAGTTTCCAAGTGAAGGCCCAAGTTTGGTGTAAGAATTTCTCATACTGTCTTGTTGTATAGATTTCGTCCTGAGTGTGTCTGTAGTGTTCGGTATATATGTATTAGACTTGTATGCTGAACTTGACTTTTCTTCAGAATTCTCCTGTTTCTGGGCACTCATTGACCAAAGGTTCAAGTCGTAATCTTCATCTGAATCTTTCGTTTCTTGTGAGTCGTCGAGCAAAGAAACGGTTTCTAACTCATTTTCTTGTGTGTATATGCCTGTTGCAGACGCCCTGGTCTTGCTTGCTGTATCTAGATCTTTCCTTGTAGCATTTGAAGTCATTGAGCCTTTCCCTTGTCTATAGCCATCAAATCTGTTGTCTGTATCTGCTAAGCCTGACTTCTTTTTAAAAGTGTTTGGAATAAGATCCTTTGCAGTGTTCTCCCTTTTTATTTGTTTTCGAGGGGATGGTTTTGATGATGTGAGGTGATTATCTGTTATGTCTGGTAGTTCGTTGTCAGAGTCACTGTCACATGCAAACACACTACTGCAACTTGCCATTGGTCTCTTTCTGTTTAAACCTGAACTAGTGGCCTTTGAAACTGCACCGTCCATGTCAGAGTGGCATCTCTTGTCAATGCTGTCTTCGAACCCAGAGTCTAGTCTTCTTTTGTACATGAAGTTTGTTTTTGGTGTTGGTTTATTGTCAATTGTCGAGTTTTGTGTGGGAAAGTTCTTCTTCTCCTCACTCTCAACTTCTTGAGAATCCTCGTCCAAATCTTCAAGGGATGTTTCTTCAAAGTCACCTCTGTAGCGATTTCTTGTGTACTCCGCAGGGTCGTACATTGCCTGTACTTTGGGGAGCGGGCTATTCTCTCCGAAGTCTGGCATTTTCACAGCTGCGCGCTTTCTACCAGGACTAAGGAGTGGTTTCTCCTCCGTCCTCTTTACCAGGGATGAATTCAGACTCTTCCTGCAACTGTTACCTTTCCCCTCTGACCCCTGACCTCTCTTAGCAGGCGACACAGGGAAGAAGTCCTTCATTGTTTTCTCAGGGGAAGGGGACGAGCCATAACCCCTGACCTTTGACTTGAACTCTGCTGCGTCCTTGAAGGGCGAAGTCTTGGCCGTGTTCCATAGCAGAGACTTTTGCGGGGAGTCTGTGGTGAGTGGACGTACAGGACTGGTGTCAGGTGATGGCATGGAGGGGTACTTTGTTGTGGCAATTTCGATACCACTTCTGTCTGGACTGGTTTCAATCCTTGACGTAACCTTTCCTTGTAGATTAGATCCTTTCTTTGTGATCACACTCTTCTGTTCTTCAACGTGACTGCCGACTGCTAAGGTATCGAAATCACCGGAGTCCAACCTGAAAAACAAAATACTGCTTTGTTCAAGTGGTAGTTGACACAACACTTGGAAATGCAAAACATACATAATACATACAATTTCTAAGGCAAATCTGAACAAAATGCATTTTTCAATTCCTTTCCTGGGACAACATAATTTCAAATTATAAGTTTGATTAAGATAAAATACATCTAACGTAACAGCCTGACATATACAAAACATTGCCTGCCAAGACTGTAAGTACAAACAAGTGTCAAAAACTTTTCTTGTTCACAGGAGGATATGTTTTACTTCACCTCTGCTGAAGCTCGACTGTGACTGTAGCCAGGAACTCCACTGTGCCCTCGATGTTCTCAGTTCTCACCAGGTCAAATTCATCACTGTCATCCAGTTCTTCTAACACATTCTAAAAAAAAAAACAGGGAAAACAAAAATCACTGTGTTGAATGTAGTTCAAATAAAAAGTGACATTGTGTTGAGATTTCCAAAACAATGAAGTCACATTATGCTAGACCCAGGTGATCAGTTACATCAACATTTTCAAACAGCTTCAAGAGTCATAAATTATCACTGACTGATGCCATTTGGGTAAGAACTTGACTTTGCAGTACATGTATATGACATTATTCAGCATAGTATAGCAACTATTATTAAGTAGGCTTTTAAACCCAACCTTTTAGTCTACTTTAAGGGCACAAAGTCTTGCGGAGACTCACGTTGAGCTGTTCCACTGTGGGATTGCCACACCTGGCCACACCCCTGCATCCGTCGGCACACCTAACCATGTACTGCTCAGGTGTGCACTCCAGGACGTACTTCAGACTGCAGTGGAGGCTGTAAGGACTGAACCTCCGCCTGAACTCCAGCATCTTCTCCTTCTGGGTGAAGTAACGGCCGTCCTTCAGGCTCCAGGCCAGGTCATCTGTGAGTGCAAACATGGTTTCAAACTGACTTGATCCAAACTTGATCTTGAACCAAATTGAATAGCAAAGTTCGTTATTTACGTGCATCCTTTGTGTTGGAATAAAGTTCAACATTTTACATGTACTATGATTACTACCAACACAGAAGAACTTATGATAAGTCCTTTAGTTATTCATTACCACTTGTTTCACTAGAGTCAATGTTTCAATGATCGTCTGTCATCTTCATCACTCAGGGCAATTATGACTGGTTCACTGTACATTGATCCTAAGGTAACTCCCAGCTTCAATGCACAGTGAACCAGTCATAACAGCCCTGATGAAGATGAGAGACTACATGTGGATCCAAATAAGCTCAAACTCACCTGCCCTTTTCCTCTCCACTAACACAGGTGTACTACACCTGCACACTTCTACACACCTGTACTAGAACTCACCTGCCCTTTTCCTCTCCACTAGCACAGGTAATACATGCTCCTCTCCTGCACATTTCCACACCCAGCTGTAGTCCCCACACTGTAGTGATGCCGTGCGATGTCGGACACCCAACCGGCACAGGTAACGATGCAGCTACACACAACACGGTAGCATATTACATTGTTCGTGATTGTGTAATCTACATGACAAGGCTAAATCAAACGGTTTACAAGAAATCAAGGACTTCCAAGCTCCATGAAATGTTTTTGTGAATGTCTTGTTTTATTCATCCTGGTGAACTTTCTTGTTGATTCTGTCTATGGTTTTTCTCACTGCCTCCAATAAGGCAAGAATTTGAAGACAGGTAATGAGGAGATAACCTTTTCTGGGACCTTTCTGGGATCTGTCTGTCAGTGTCCCAAACATGCCTAGCATATGAACTACTATGAAGCACAAGCAAAATTAATACACAAACTGACACACACACTGAAAATAAAACCCCCACAATACCAAGTAACTTGAGGTGTCAAGAGTTAAATACAGGTTGCATATCAGCCTGCAGGTTTGAGGAAAGTTCACAAACTGTTTTAACGTTTTTTTCTGCCATACTCACCTCCCCCAACTTGACTCTGTCTCCTCCCCACTCCCTCACATCTACCAGCAGGACAATACTGTAAAATACAGGGATCCGAGATTTCAGTCTTCTTGATCTGGAAGCTATTGGGGGTTGCCTGAAAAATTGTGCTACTTGTATGACATTGTACAATTAAACCTATAAGGTCTCTAACTGTTCCTTGAAATCCAAATCCAAACACTTACCCATCAGATCCATTGTCATTGGTGTAGAGTGCCCTGTCTTCCTCAACTGGAACATGTGCTGAATTCTCTGGCTGTGGTTTAGCTGAGGAAGAGGATCTGGATCTTGCTTTCTCCACTACTTGACCTTGGATTGCCTCTCCTGGTTTGGTGCCTGAAAAAATGTTTACATTTGGCAATCATGATCAGGGCTCAAAATATGTGTGTACTGAGTGCATTTAGACATTTTAGTGCACCCAAAATTGGAACTGTGCACACAACTGTGGGTGCACTGGTACACCTAGATATTTGTGTAGGGTTATGTTTGTTATGTTTGTACACTACTATACAGCAAAACTACATTTTTAATACATTTGTACATTCAATACAAAAAATGGCAGAACCTGGCAAATTGTTCTGACATGTATACTGCATGCAATAAATAAAAACTAGTATTCAAACTAACATTCAAAATCTGCCCAAAATGTATCTCAAAAGCTGAGTGAATACTTGTCAATGATTTTTTTTCATGTTCATTGAACCATGTTCCACACAGATGACATCATACTGTTAGTCACACTGGTGCCCTTATAAGCATACAGATGTAACTTTTCAACAGGTCACAATGGGTGCCAAATACTTGGGTGCTTCTAGCTTTTAACATGTGTGCAACAGTTTTAAAAAAACTAGCCTAGGTGACATCCTCATTGTATACCAGGGCTCCCATACTCCCTAGTAAAAAATCTATAACAATCTCGGAATATTTTTTGCCTTTGTGTGCTTTGAGTTAGGGAAAGACCCAAAAACAGTCCAGGTTCTGGACTGTTTTTGGTACCAGGTACTTGACAATATGTAACTTGATAGTCATCAACTTCCCTTTTTTTGTCCATAGATGAGCCCATAATGGCAAGGGGTGTTCCTCAATTATGTTTTCATTTAAAAAGTCAAAATTTGAATTTAAACATGAAACTACAAGGCATGTCCTGGTTACATGTATCATAACAATTCTGCACTGTGTATGTCTAACTCTTTTAGAGGAGCACCACACACTAAATTACATGAAAAAAATTACTCTGATTTCCCCCCAAGAACTTTCTTATGGAATGTTCCAAACTTCCTCATTCAGAACTAGAACTGTTTCAGTTTATCAGTTCCTTCTTTTGGATTTCGTTTCAAATACCAGCAAGTAAGGCAATTCAAATTTTCTTTCATTTGAAGAATATACATCCATTCTCTTGATTCTTGCCTATAATTTCTAGAATAGTACACTCAGAAGGAGTTATTGTTTTGTAAACAATTACTGACAGAGATAAGGCCACACCAATTTAATTTGTTGGTTCTTGGATTTGCCTCTTCGTTTATTTCTGATTTGCAAAAAAAAATTTGATTCTGGTCCTGAATCAACTGAAAAATGCTCATGTTTTGCCCCCAACAGTTGAGGAAAGTCCTTTTCTTCCTAGTTGTTACAGTTTTCCCATCTATCATTGCAGTGGTTTGATTAAAAGTTCAAATTCAATGTTTAAATTTTAACCCAGCCTTTTGTGTTGACTTCATGGCTCATTTTGTAGCATTTAAGCCTATAATAGGCTGCCTAGACCTGTTTTTATTTTATTTTTTTTCGCCCTGTCGCTTCATATTTTTTCTGAAAAAATCCGAGAACCAACAAATTAAATTGGTGTGGCTTAAGTGTCATTTCTCTTCTCCAGGAAAATAATCCTAGGCTGAACACATTTCTGCTGTAGATTCTATGATGGGTCAAACAGAACACCACTGCTCCAAACATCTATTTTGTCTAGCTAATGCTATGCTCCTGGTACTGCTGCAAATGATGTCTTGCCAAGGCCTGGCTGTGAAAGGTAAGAATTACATTGTACATGTAGTAGCCTGTTTCAAACCTATTTCGGCTGCCAAGTCTCTAGTGCATAAAATATATTTGTACACGAGGCCAAAGAATTAGTATAGGAGATTTGGCGTGAATATAAATAGAAATTAGACATTTATTTACTCTTACATGTTCATATGTATGTAATGTATATGTTTATGTTCATGTTCTGTACCCATCCGACCTGTACTTACTTCTGTAGAACACAAATGTACAATAAAGGTCTTCATTCATTCATTATAAACCTCATACACTGTATATGACAAGTTATGTTAATTACAGAACTGATCTATATAGAACAAACTTTAATTTCAAGTCATGACGAAGTTACACATGTATTTACACCCAATATTCTTTCTGTTAAGAAAGAAAACTTGTCATCAGTCTGTACAATGTAGCCATAAGAAGGAAGTAAAATGCTGGTTATCTTCTAAGAACAAGTAGCACAGATATATTTCTGCTTTCAGTTCTGGGATGGTCAGTCCCTTTCATGTCACACTGATGCTCCAGACTGGAATACCAAAATACAGCAACATGAATGTGAAATGTCAGTTATTCATGTTGCTCATTTGCGTCCCATATAACAAAAATAATGAATTGTAGCAAAATGCATACAAAGTTAAATTTTGTTTCTCTTCCCTTGTTTTAGTGCCACAGTGTACAAGGATGAACACAACAGTTGACTGCAGTGACAAAGGCTTCATCCAGGTCCCTGCCAACATTCCTGCTGACACTACCAGCCTGGACCTCAGCTCCAACAACATACAACAGCTGGACGACTACTCCTTCTCCACCCTGCCTCTCCTGACATCGCTGGACCTCAGTTCAAACAGTCTAGTCACCATCCAACCTGCAGCTTTTTACAACCTTTCCAAACTGAGGGAACTGTCCCTATCTCGAAACAACCTCTCTGCACTTCCATCCGCGATATTCCGACCGCTGAAGTCATTGGCAGCTCTTTCTCTTGCTGATAACAATCTTCCTGATATACTAAGTTTTGATGAGATATGGGACGGGCTACACTTAACCAAACTTGATCTGAGAGAAAACAAGATAACGGAAGCAAAGTTTTCACAAGCTTTTTCTGAGATGCCCTCACTGACATCATTAGACTTATCCTTAAATAGGATCTCTGTACTTAAAATTGCTGATTTCGAGCCCTTTGTTTCACACAGATTTCAGACTCTGGAATTATCTGTGAATCCTATAACTGTCATAGAACCTGGATTCTTTGCACAATTTCGAACTATAGAATATCTTGGTATGTTGTTAACAAGCGCAAACATTCTACAGAATGCATTTTCAGGTTTGCACTCTGTAAAAGTGACTCGATTGGACATAAACATTGCAGACTATAGCAATACCATAAATGAGGGTGCGTTTCAGTTTCTTCAAAACTCATCGTTGAAAAGTCTTGTCTTGGGATGGGGAAGTATCAAAGAACTCCAGGATTGGGCTTTCCATGGATTAGACAGCCTGGAATATCTTACTCTCCAAACTATTCACATAGAAAAAACATCTCCACATGCATTTGGGGGATTACAGAATCTAGTTGTGCTCAATCTGGGAGAAAATCATTTGGAACAAGTTCCTTTCAAGGCACCTACAGTCATGTTTCCAGCTCTGAGAGAATTACACCTCAAATACAACAACATAAAAACCATCGTGCCGGAAAATTTCAGGGGCCTTCCGAACTTGCAACTACTTAATCTGGACCGTAACATGATAACAAACATACCTGCAAATGTTTTCCATGGACTTCGAAATCTAAACACATTGTCTCTACAAAACAACAAGATCAGTCTCCTTTCCAACGAGAGCTTCGTGGGTTTGGAAAATGTTATTTTCATGGACTTGTCTATGAACAAACTCACCGTACTCCCAGATGGTGTCCTATCTCCACTAACAAGCCTGGAAAAGCTTGACTTCTCAGAAAACTACATCTCCCCTGACATGGAGGATTTCAACGGCCTAAAGAAGATCACGACACTCAACTTACATCAGAATCATGTCATTCTCAGGCTGAGCACGTTTAGGCTAGTTTCAAGTCTAGAAGACCTCAATCTGTCTGGAAATGACCTGTTCAATGAGCACATGCAATGCTGGTTTAAAAATTCACCATGCAAGCCTTTTACAACTCTGAGGAATCTACTAACACTTGACATAAGTGACAACCTCATTGCTCCAGCAAGTAATATGCAAGAATTCTTCGAAGGTTTGGTGTCTTTACGGACTTTGCGTGTGATACGCACTGGAGATGTCTGGAGGAGGTTTCAAAACACAACTGTTCTGTACAGCATGCCCAACCTGGAAACTCTCAACATGAGAGAATGTAAGATACAGCACATCCCTGCTGATGCACTCAGCATACATTATAACCTACAGTTTGTAGACTTCAGTGAAAATTCCATCTCTAGTCTTCCTGACACCGTATTCGTAAATGTCAGATCTCTCAAATACCTCTATCTTAAAACAAACACCATTACTTTCTTGAACGAGTCAAGTTTTGCGACTGTCTTGCCAACTCTGGAAAGTTTTGGCCTAGATCTTAGTGAGAATCCTTTCTACTGTGACTGCAGCATAACATGGTTTGTTAGCTGGGCTGATGCTAACCCCTCAAAAGTAATTTTCTGGGAGAAGGATGGTTTCTATGTCTGCAACACTCCTGCATCTCTGCACAACAGGGAACTGCGAAGTTTCCACCCGGATTGCGATTCTCACTTGAATTTCTACATGTGCGCGGCCACCACTTCCCTCCTGTCCCTGTACATGTTGACTGTGTTTGTGGTGACTCAGTGCAGCTGGTACGTCCGGTACCTCTGGTTTCTGTTACAGGCCCGGTTCAGGGGGTACGAAGAACTCCCAGGCAGGGAGGTACAACGGTTCAAATATGATGCATTCGTGGCGTACAGCAGCGCAGACAAGAATTGGGTGACCCAAGTGCTGCGGCCGCAGCTCGAGGACAATCCGCCGCGCTACCGGCTCTGCTTCGGCGAGCGTGACTTCCGCCCAGGGGTGGCGATCACGGAGAACATCGGGCGTGCCGTCCGCGCCAGCCGCAGGACCATCTGCCTGATCACCCGGAGCTTCGTGCGGAGCAGCTGGTGTAACTACGAGATGCGTGCGTCGGAGGGGCGGTACCACCTGTTCGACCCACGCAGGGTCAACCTGATCCTGGTGTTCCTGGAGGAGATACCGGACGGGGACATGGAGCGGCACAAACACCTGCAGGACGTCCTGAGGAGGGACACCTACATCAGCTGGCCCGGGAACGACAGGGGACGGCCACTGTTCTGGGCAAGACTGAGGGAGGCTCTGGGAAAACCTCTGCCTGTTAATCACGCTAGAAACAGGCACATTCTAGAGGACAGTGTATAGACAGGTCGTGTCTGACACAGCTACATGTATATGTAAGTTCTTGACTTTGAAAAATTCAAATTCAATCTTTATTCAAAAAACTTGCAGACAATATTCTCAGTCCGAATTATGTTCTTCTGACAATTCCATAGTCTGTAGACCCATTGCACATGTTAAAATGACAAGTAAGACTAGTAATCTGAAAAATGATGCCTTGACCACTTAACAGACTTTTGCTTGTATGCATGGAACTATTTTTAGATACAAGTAGTAAATGCATATAACTGAATGTTTAAACATGGTTACACAGAATACACAGCTCCTCTAAAGAACTATTGAAATTTCAGTACAAATATGTAGTACTTGCTAAAAGAAAATTATGATAGCTACTATATATTTCTCACCTCGCAGCCTGTGTGCCACCTCCTCTCCTGCTGGCAGCAGTTCATACACAGGTTGTTTTTCTGAAAAACAAATATTTTGCTATGATCTATTTGTTCATCCAACATAGAACATATATTACATGTATGTGTTATGTAAGATGTTCATTTGTGTTTAATTTTCTTAGATAAGATATTACAGTACAGGCACATCTTCCAAAGATGACCACTTAAGTGGTCATACATACGTACAGTGTAAACATGTACACATATGATACTGAACATACTTAGGGTCCTCTTCTTGATGTAGAGTCTCTGGATCAGTACATGTAGTCTCCACCATGCCATACACAACCCTGCAGCACACAAGAAAAGGATCCGATGTGAAATTCATGATGACAAAAGAAGAAGAATAGACTGCTTGCAATTTGCATGTACATTTGTAGCAAATATGGATAGTATGTTTACCCTAGCCTGAAATTCACATTAACTATTCAGAGAAACTGTCTAAAGAAGAATGTTTGAAGTATATCTAATACTTATCAAATACATGATTGTACATTAAGTACAATATACAATACACATGACATAATGTAAGGTACAAACAGTACAGATGACTGAGTATCTTTTCACCTGTGTTTCCTTCTTTCCCCTCTACAATGTGTTGTGTGGACTGTAGGAATGTCTCCTGTGTGATGGCCTGGGCCTTGACTTTCAACATGGGCTCTGGGACCAACAACTGCTTGTCACTGAAAAAAAAAACGAGCACAAGCTGCACAATTAATAAACATCATGCTTCAATTTGCAATTTTTTTACAATTTCCACTGGATAAACTTGTACATTAAAAAAAATATAAAATAGACTTGTTCTAGCCACATTCGAGTTCCTCTTTGACTCTTCAAAGAATTTATCCAGTTGCTTGATTTATTCAGTTTTTAGTATGATCCATACATATTTTCTAAGTTTTCAGAGGTACAGGTAAGACTTGTCTGGTGCAGATAATTTCAGAGTTACCTGCACCAGTACAGAAAAAAGGATTTCAAGCCCTGATAGTCTGTATATGAAACTGACCCTTCATTTATGAGTTCCTCCTTGGCATTGAGCATGGCCACCAGCAGAGCAGGAGCAGAACTCAGGAATGTACCATCTGGAGGGGGGTCGGTTAAAATGCCCGGTGCTGCCTCAAATGTCTTCAGTTTCTCAGCCAGGACACCTCCAATCTGAGTACCAAGAAGAAAAAGTGTAACAGTTTATTCTCTATTGGGGAGCAGGAAGACATTATGATTTTCCCTTCTTCAAACATCTGCTTCAAAGATAAGCAAACTGCAACATTTAAAGTCAAATACAAAGGGGGGGCACACATGCCTTTTTCCGTACGGTAGAGTGTAATCAAACGTTTTAATTCTATGTAGAGCACTCTGCTGATTCAACGTAGAGCATAATTGGCGCATTTTGCATAGAGCGTAATTTGCCGTTTTAATTCTACGTTATGCGTCGTAGATACCTGGAATTGATCCTAAAATGTAATGGGGAGGCTTCTTCCATTCAGCGTAATATGTATCCGGCTCTCAAAATTTAGCGTAGAGCGTTGTCGGGACCCCCATGCAGGCCCTCACGAAGGTCCCTACTCACCCCCTCCAGCTTGGTGGCCTGTTTGACAGACTTGACAGGTTTCTCCTCCAGCTCCAGGGAGACGATCGCGCGGGACGTCCACTCCGCCGCAGACTTCAGGTAGTGTGCCCTGCGCTGGTTACGCTCGTGGTGGATCAGCCCGCGGATAAACTTGTACCGCTGACGTACGGAACACAACGTTAATATCCATAGCTAGGGAACCTTGATGTTAAGTGGTACATGACTGGTGAAAATTGCATATTTTTTGCAAGGGCGTTTTACAGAAGGCCTCTTGCCTTGTAGAATGTCCTAGTTTTTAGAAGTAAATATTTGAAAACAAAAGAGACCGTAGATGCTAAAAAATCTTACTCTGCTTGATCTAGCCATATCAAGATATCAAAATCCAACCAACCCCAGCCCCCTTCTTTGTACCCCTAATTATTAAGTACATCATCATATATATCTTTGTGTGTTTACTTTCATGCCCACGGCGGTCGGTTGCTAGGCTAAAAGTCGCATTACTAGGGAGGTATCGGGTTACAGAACGTGTTCGAACGTGGCCGCGCGGGAGTCCCGGGCCGGCCCGGGGGCAACGGGTAAAATTTGAAAATAAACAAAAGTAATTGGAGAGTAAATACTCGTCAAAATAAAATGTAATAAGTGATTTTGTTTACCTCAAATGTTATTCTTGCACTGCCTTTGCTCCGCTTTGTGTACATTTGCTTCCAAATGAGATCAATTTCGGATTTCAAAAAGGGTTCACGAGAACCAAACAACTGATTTTAAGAGGCCCCGAAAATTAAAAATAAGGTTAGATTTTTGGATTTTTAGAAATATTACAGTAAATTTAAACTTTCTGTCTTAGGATTTTTTAGTTTTTAACTAAAACTCGACTTACAGTCAAAAGAAGAGCTAAAAACGCAGTGTTTTAACTTTAAATACCGATAATTCATAATCGCGGCCATATTTAAAAAATCCCTAAGACAGAAATCTGCGGAAACCGTTGCTCTTCCAAACAAGCCCTCAATGAGGTAATTTGAGCGATTTTTGGGAATGGTTAAAATACCATGTTTGCACGCGTGCTATGACACTTGGATATGGGGACCTGGCTTTTATAACAGCGTATACAAGAATTCTGACCTTCAAGGTCACCCACGATGACGGCAGTAGCTTCGTTACATGTTACATATCCACAATAAAATCACGGCATAGATGTAATGTTTTGAAAACGGTTCATATTTGTGGAAAGGTGGATTTTTCCTGTTCCGTGGTTCCCAAGTAAAAAAGGGCTTGAAGTAGCCGGTTGTAGCGGCTTTGCTGTAAATGACCGCGGGTAACCCCAGATCGAACGCCCGCTCTATTCGAATGACGTCATATCGAACAAGATTCGCGGGTTCGGGGGATTCGATCTCCATAGTAGCGGATTGGGACTTTTGGGCCCAAATCTGACCATCGTGGCCTAGGCTTGCCCATTACCCCGCCCCTCCCCGTCCCCTGAAACTTCGGCGACCAAAATTATTTTCCCTTTCCAGTCCAAAACTCTCCATCAAACGGCAATAAAAGCATTAGAACTACTTTCTATATGTACACATATATAACCTGAATATCAAACATCGATAGTTTTGACCTAATATCCTTGTGAAACTCAGAAAACTGTCAAACTTACCAAATCTGGATATTTTTTCCTTCCCGCGTCCGCCATCTTCCCGCGCAGAGAATAATGGGAAGTGAAGAGTCTCCTACCCAATCAGCTTCCTCTTTACAACAATTGTGACCAATCACAGACCGTTTGACAAGATCTTTTGATAGAGGTTAAAGGTCAGATTTGTTGTGGCGCCAGAGTGTGCATTTTGATATGGATGATGCGGATGTTGTTTTGTTTTATGGCCCTCCCTTAGTGGTATGTACTTTTCCGTTTTACTCATTTCTCAGAAAAGCAATCGTAGATCCTTTATATGATCCTGTTGTTTTGCGATCCTTTTTTCTTTATCTGTATTAACTGCAACCTATTTTGTTCATGCATACTGCTGATTTACACTTAGTTGACAACTCACAACTCTCGCCAAAAAATCCCAATCAATGCCATATGTTCAACATATGGCATTGATTAGGATTTTTTGGCGAGGCCACTGGGGCGAGCTTGCGTCATGTTTTAGGTACAGTGTGTATGTAAGGGTAGAGATTGCAATTGTTCAGAATGGCTGATTCTACTAGCTAACGTTGCGATCAGAGTAAGTTTATGTTATCACCATTAACGTGTTACTGTCAGGGTAGTTTCCCCATTTATAAATCCTGAATCCTTTCAAGTTAATCCATTGATTTACGTAACGTGAATCAAAGAGTAAAAGTTCTGACTGCCTTTTAAGAGAAGATCCCCTGCACAGAAATATAGTCACAGAATCCGACTGCATCTCTTCCGACAGTATCAGCAATTCTTCCAAATTATAATCTCAATCCTGAAGAATTTTTTAAAGGCTTGCAATGTGTTTTCTATGTGTAGGGAAAGTCGTCCCACTACCAACAACATCTGACCCCCGGCCATGTCAGGCTGTCTGCACAGGAACTGTTCCAGCAGGACCCGACCTTGTCTCTCCGACAGGTCGCCATGAAGGCAGTGGGGCTGCTCAGACAGGTGAGATGTAAGAAGTAGAGTGAATTCATTCCTAAAGCTAACAGACATCTGTTACAGGAAGAATAGTGTGAAATTCACACCAATGGAGATCCTAAACAAACATACAAACAAACCGCAGTCATTCAGTTTGAGGAATGAATCCACTCTACTTTGCACTGCATAGTTCTCAACAGATGTAGGTTAGCTTGAGAAATGGATCCACTCTATTTCATACTGTATAACTATAAGATGGTTCAATGTTCCAACAGTGCATGCTCAAAGTTAAAGGTGAAGGGCCCCTGACGTAGTAAACAGTTCTTGTCTACACACCTTAGCCTAAAGAATGGATTATTTCCATAATGGTAGTAATCACTGGATTGATTTGTTACAATGTTTTGTTGTTTTTTTTCTGCAGGGTAAGAAAGTTGTAATCGACGATGAAAACTGGTCCAGAAACACGCGGATGTCCTACACCAAACTGATCAGCTGTAAGACACCTGGGAAGAGCATCAGGTGCCTCACGTTTCACCCGCAGGACAGACTGCAGCTGGACTGGGCCAGGGAGTGGGCAGCCACGGGGAACAAAGGTCAGGGGTCGCAGGTCAACTGGAAGCAAGTTGATGCCAAGATCGACGCCTGGTTTGATGAGAACTGTTGGCAGAGTGGTGTGGAGAGACCAGGTATGGGTCCATCTGGAGTAAATTTTGTTATACACATTTGTATACCACAAGCAAATCATTCTACACTGGATAATTGCTGTTCATATACACATACTAGTACCATTGTTAGCTAAGTCAAGTGCTGACTGAGGTAATGACATTTGTCATTGCCATTTATGCATTCCATTATAATTGCAGTACCACCAGCAGAAGCCGAGGGTCTGTCAGTTGACGAGCTCCACACACAGTTGATTTGTCAAACACACTACAAGGTACTTAGCTACAGTACTCATATACAGTAGGTAGAAAGGCAGTGGATGCTACATGAATTTTCTTACCTTTTCCAAAATCATATCCAATTGCTTGAGTAACTGTTTTTTGGCGTATCTTATTACTTGGATGTCTAACCTTCATCGACGCATCAAGGATTATTACAGTAAGCTCCCTCTCCTCCCCCAGTTTGAGGTGCCCTGTTTGCTGGTCCAGTGGGAGGCAATGGTCCAGTCCACGGGAGGCAGACTGGTCCTGAGGGACAGCTTACAGGACATCCTGCAGCTGTGGACAGAAGCCAACCCCTGTGGGCACATCCTGGTCATTGTGGACGGGCAGAACAACATGGCGGGTAAGAGCTGTCAGATTTCTAGACAGAAAGGAAAGTGATTTGATCTACTCTTGAAGAGCTATTCTTCCATTCTTCGTGACAGAGAAGACATGTGCGGTATTACAGTTTCATGGTACTGGGGAAATTCCCCTAGCTCTGTTCAAGTACCAGTGGGCCACAGCTTAATGTCCCATCCTAAGCACTAAAACCCTTTCCATTAGCATGCATGCTGGGTGAGTGACAACTTGGATTCGAACTCACTACCTCATGGTCCAGAGACAGTATATGTATCCAATTGTAATGATGTGTACTAATGCCTGACTCCATCCTTAGGCACACATGGAAGCACCAGTAGTCAGCAGACCATCCACCTGAAATCTGTGATGACATCATTGTGTCAAGAGGTCTGTAACTTTCTTACATGAATTGATTACCTGCTAATCATTGTGAATACAAGAACTGGACCCTAGACTATGATTCAAATTAAAAACCTGTGGCATGTACATTTATATGATAACCATTGACCAGGCTGAGTGATAAATAGTAGACGGTCAACGGTCCTCACAGAGGAAGGGTAAATGCCAACAGATGCAAACATCCAACTTGGATGGAACAGATCATACAATAGGATGCAAAAGCTGATAATGATGATGATGATAACAGCAAAGCAAGAACTTCAACTTTTGATATGTTTCTTGTGATATTTATCATAATATTTACAGACATCTGCCAAACTGACATTTACTTAGTACATATGATACAGATTTTGCTCTTAATCTCCATCTTCACCCTCCAGTTTACAGCGAATGTGGTGTATTTTGCACAAATCGCTGACTTGGAGGAGTCAGGACCATTCAGTCGGCCCCCGGAGCCGGGCTTGTTGGCATGGTTACAGCTGAGCCACCATCTCAACCTGTTCCATCAGGTAACATAGATCTACCAGCACGTCTGCAAAACGTACTATGCCTGCATGAAACCTGTAATATATTGTCCATAGCACTTTGGTAGAATGTCTCATTTAAGGTCATATTGAAGGATGACATCCCGTCTACAGTTTTTAAATATTGTGTTGGCAACAGAAAAACTTCTGATGCAATGTTGCCAAGAACCTCCTTGTGTTGACCAAACAGCCAACAAAAAAAAAATCCAGGTTTTGCACAGGACGTTCTGCTGACATGCTCACTCCAACTTAAATGTTGTAAATGCAGGGACTTTTGCAGTATTTGTAGTTCTATTTTAGCAGAAAACTTGTTGTCAGATCTGTGGTGCAGTCAAATAATCACACCAAGGAGGTAATCAGACTGAGTGCTAGACGAGATGAGAGATACATAATTTTGTAGAACTGTAGATGCATTTCTTAATCGATCCTTGTTACTGTGTTCCCAGTCCAGTCTGTATGTCTGGCAGTCATCCAACCACAGGAGGAGTGCTGAATCTGTGGGGATGAGACATGTCAGTGGGGACAGGCTCGTGGCACGGCCCAGGATGGTACAATAAAATTATATGGCGTACTTTAGTAGTGTTTAGGAGAATTAAAGAATTATAAGTTAGAAAGTTTTTAAAATCTTGTCGGAAAATTGGCAGCGTCTTAGGCAAACACTTTTTGCATTTGATATGCAGAATCAACAGTTAATATTGCTCAGTTGTAGTTGGAGAGTTTGAAACAATTAATTTAATAGATAGCCTGGTTTCATATTACTGATAGTGGCTCATATACATGTACATTTCGTTGTTGGAAGTATAGAACCGTCTTTAAGATTATGGGCAAATGTAGAAATAAGAAATTTTGAGATTCCTGTAAGTCTTACAAACCTGAAAAGATACTCAGGTATGTTACAGAGGTCCAATTTGATTGTTCCTCCATGTATCTCCACTCATCCAGGTATTATCAGTACCGAAATCTGTGAATGCAGAAATCCCTGCAACACTACAGTCCCTGAAGCTGGTGACACCAGACACCCCCCCACCCCCACCATCTGTCCCCCTGTACCAGGAAGCCTTACAGCACTGTGAACTGGGCGAGGGCACGTCTTCTACCCCACAAGTCTGCTACATCAGCAGGAACATGCAGGGTGTTGGGAGAGTACACGGGGTGTGCTTCAGGGACATGTCTGTGTTGGAGAGAGTGCAGGGCTTGTACAGGGACAATGCAGCACTGCTGATGGAGCCCAGAAGCAGGATAGAGGAGATGTGTGGTAGAACTGTCGTAACAGTACAACAAAAAACAGCGGATCAACAGGATAAACAACAAACTAGCACATCTACTACTAGTATCCATGGTAGGTTTGGCAAGCTTACTGCTTGTCTAGTCCTTCTTTATTTGACTTTTTGTTTATTTACATGCAGTTAGTTTTCAGTAGCCATGCACAAAGGAAAAAAGTTGAAAATAACTTTCTTTTTTGATTACAGATTATTAGTACTTTCTGTGTCTTTTATACCATCCTGTTTTACACAGTAATAGTCTTTCAGACTGACTGACAGTAGTATCTTTTTGCATCCCAGAGAAAAGAAGTGCTCCCAATTCATCTTCCACCTCCAAGACCAAGAGAACCATACCAGCCTGGATGTTGCCCAGGACAGAAAAGAAGAGGTCACCAGAAGACGTGGAGATTAAAGAACTTTCTCCTCGAAAGAAGAAGCGCAAGAGCCCAGCACAGGCTAAGTGTATCGAGTACTGCATGAGTGAGGCAGAGCTTGTGCACATGGCTGAACAGATACTACAGAAGGTATTTGTGCTAAATTGTGAAAGTCAATTAGTACCACCTAGGCCCCGTTCATGATTGGATATCTGTTGCGAATCAATTCGATTTAAAAAAATAAATCGATTCATTTAGGAACATGAACGCTCCAAGCCGGTTCCGTTGTGATTTATTCTGAACCACCTCGCGAGGTGGTCTGAAACGATACGATACGATTCGCATTCGTAGAATTGTAATCATGAACGCGCGGATGCGAATCGTACCGGTTCGACGCTGTACTCCCGGGTACGTGGGGGCCACGGTCGGCCATAGTTTGCGGCGCAGTGGCTTGTACTGCCGAAAATTCTACTTGAATCGTACACTTGACATCGAGTTCTAATTACTGGTCGACTGAGGAAACAGGAGTTCCGATATTGACTTGGGTAAATCAGGAGATCCAGAGGAAACTGGATGGTGTGTACTAGAACCTACCCTGGGCGCAAGGGCGAGTGGTAGCCCAACGGGGGCGTTGGGGCGGCGGACCGTGGGGGTTTGCGCTAGATGCGTCCGGGGCACAGCCTATGCCATGGGGAGGACATGAGTCGGGAACGAGCGACCACTCGCCCGGACAGGCGTAAACTCTCCGCCTTACGAGCCGGGTTCTCAGGAAATATTCAAAGAAATTGTGATATACATATGAAATGAAAGTCAATTCGAGGTGTGAAACCGTTTCCAGTCTGGGTTCAAGTTTTGAATCACGGACGCAAAAATATATTCCGCTTCGATTCGGATCGTGGCCAAACCGGAACACATTTCAATCATGAACAAGGCCCTGGTGAGGTAGAAAGCAATGAGGTCTAAATAGTATTCAACCCTTGGTAAAAAGTCAGTTGTTATTATTCATACAATTGTGATTATGTATTCAGCTTTTGGACAGAAAAAACTAAATGTGTGTACCATTTATCAGTTTTCAAAGCGAACCTGAAAAAACATGGGGGTGCAATGCCACATGGTTATGCTAGGTGGAGTAGTTTCACCATGTCTCAACTTTTACTCCTACACAAACAGGCAGGGGATCAGTCCTTCAATGGCAGGCAGGAGGAAGGAGAAGACATCTTCCAGGTTCAACACAAAACTCACAGGAATATTGCAGACAGGGAGACAAAGAAAGATGCCTCAGAGGAAGAGGCGTGTGTTACAAAAGGTGGGTGCGGTCAGGATTTAGACCTACACAGTCAAACATTTATGTGATGGTTATATTGCCTTCGAGAAGATTTCTTTACTGCACCAGAACATCTGCCTTTTAATTTTTTTATATCTTCTATTCTGGACATGCTATGGCCTTGAAGTAGAGGTACAGGTTTAGGTCCCCTGGGAATTTGTTTCAGAAATGCAGGGTAATTGTTGTCAGAAACTTTGGAAGAAGAGAACTGAAGAAAGAATAAATGGGTTGTGATGATTTTCAGCCATGGTAATTGTAACAGTTCTTTACTTAAAAGCTTTTGCACCAGAAAAATCTGTTTCTTTGTACCATTGCTTGACATGAATACTCATCATTGTCATCCTGCTTACAGATACTGGTATGAAAAACAATGCCAAGGTCAAACATGACACAAGCTCAGAGGTCAAAGGTGACACAAGTTCAGAGGTCAAAGTTGACACAGAGGTGACACAGCTACTTGATGACATCTTCACCACCAGGAGGAGAAAGTGCATTTTGGGAAATCCAGATCCCGGCAGAACGAGGTAAGGTCTTTATAATGTTTACCAAATTATTTACTCAGACCCCACTTTTTATCAGAAATTTTTTACTGTATTCATTTCTGACTTTGGTTCTTTAAATTGTTCCATAGAAATGTGAAGTCCAGAGAAAGAGAAAACGAAGTCAGCACTGGAACTCAGGAACCTGTCAATGGTTCAACCTCAACTGGAGTTGAAGACAGACCTGTCCAAGAGGCAAAGACAACACCAGACTTCCCACGAGGTGATGCCAAAAATGGAGATCGCCAAACCTCGCCATTCTCTAGACCAGCTGATCATACAACAGTAAAGAACACAGCCAACGATACTGACTTCTCCTTCCTCGACTCCATCATAGGAGAGAAACGGACTGAAAAGAGAAAAGTATTCGTGCAGCAGACTTCTGGTACACAGGACGTGGCAGAAGAGCCCTTCCTAGATTCTATCATCCATTCTAAGAGGCGAGAATGGAGGAAAGGCAGTTCAGTAGTAGAGAGTGAGCAAGATAAGTCTTCTTTTGGAGGTAACTCTAGAGTCTGCACTGCCAGTGATAGAAGCCCTTGGAAGAAAAATCCTAAAACACAACAAGAAAGTAGAAATGGCCAAAGTGTAGATAGGCTCTCTTTTCTTGACAATGTTATAAGTGGAAAAAAGAAAGGAGAATTGTTTGATCTGACCTTAAATGACCCTCAGGATGATGAGAGTCACTCAACAGCTTCAGATGGAAGCCTGTCATTCTTGGACAATATCATAGGGGGAGCTGCTGCAAGAAGAAAATCTACAAGCAACAGTTGGTCAAGAACAAGAAAGTTACAGGAAGAAGACTTAGGTGTAGGGTCTGCCGGGGAGAAAGACCAGGAAGACAATCTATCTTTTCTTGATGAAATCATTCTTGGCTCTAGAAAGAAGAAAAAATGATTTCCCAAAATGATTTCAGATGGCTTTCTGTTTACACAAATGGTAAGAAAAACCCAATATCCTAGAACAAATGATGTCAGGAACAGTGTTTAGATATTGGACTATTATAAGTTCTGTGATAATCATTTGTAAATACAGTATGTATGTAGAAATAGCTGCAAGTTTGTCAATGATGTTTACTACCTATTCACTCAAGTGCAATAGTTTTGGCTAAAACATGACATGAGGTATAGTGTTTCATCTTGCTTTGATGTGCAATACTTGTTACAATCTATGTGACTGTATTTTTACTTTTATGAAATGTTAGTGAGGCATGTTTTTATTGTTTTAAGCCATATTTGTACTCCAACTTTGATAGCACAATTTTATCTCATGAACTACCAGTAGATGACATTGTATACTCTACTTTTTATGGAACCTGTTCTTGGATACATTGTGAATACATGACTATACACTTTCCAAGTGCCTGCCAAAATTTTGTGTGTCAGACCCTTCAATACAAATCATTTTATTGTTGTAATTGTTAAAAACTCCCTAGAATTTAGATACATTGATTTTAATTTTATATGAACATGTATTTTTAAACTCAACATCAACCTTTTGACCGTATTTGGCAAATATGTGCTATTTTTCCAAATAGCACATAACAGTCAGACAGAAGACTAGACGTCAGTTTGGTCAGCAGTTTTGAAAAGGGGGGGGGGGGCGCAGTATGAGTGTGAGGGTGGGGTGGGGGCTATCGCTGGACCTGACCACCCATGTTAACAGTCTTCACCAGACCCCTTTGCAGGCTGAATTAATAGTAGGAAAGCGGCCTAAAATAGAATGTAACTGACCAGGGGAGTTAGCCTGCCATATAGAGGGTCTGTGGCCAGTTACATTCTTTTTTTAGGCCGATTTCTACTACATGTATTTATTCAGCCTGTAAAGAAGTCTGGTGGAGACTACGTGTTAACAGGTGGTCCACTCTCTCCCGTCCCGACCACTTTCTCTCCCAGCTACTCCCAGCCCGCGCTCCGGGCGCGAAGAGCGGCGGAACATGTTGTTAACAGCGCGCTAATTAGCCGCAGAAGGGGCGCAGTAATGGCGAAATTAGAGGGCAATTAGCGGGTGCCTAACCTATCAACTCAGGTGCGCTGCCCTATCACTTGATCGCGCTGGAGCCGTGTAGTGGTCTGGTGCCTGTTGTCCGGGCATGCCACGCGTACCGACCCACAATTACTCATCCACAAGTGGACTGCACCTCTTCTTCTCGCTAAACCTGGGGCAAATATTTGTTGCCCGCTGTGTTTGGGACGAAGAGTGAGAGAAAAAGAGAAATAAAGAAAGTCGCCACGAACGGCATGCCAGGCGTACTTCCCTACAATTAATAATATTCTTCCAGAAATGGACTGCACCTCTTCTTCTCGCTAAACCTGGAGCAAATATTTGTTGCCTGCTGTGTTTGGGACCAAGAGTGAGAGAAAAAAGAGAAATAAAGAAAGTCGCCACGAACAGGTATGCCAGGCGTACTTCCCTACAATTAATAATATTCTTCCAGAAGTGGACTACACCTCTTCTTCCCGCCAAACCTGGAGCAAATATTTGTTGCCTGTTGTGTTTGGAACAGAGAAAGAGAGAGAAATAAAGAGAAGTCCCTGGCCTCTACCCGGCTTCAGGAGGCCGTTGGGTGCAGCAAACTGTACTTTGCAGCAAACTGTACTCTAGCGGACCATCATTTCTATTTGACCAATTTCTACTCTTTCCAGCCGCCTCCCGAAGCCTGGTAGAGGCTAAGAAGTCGCCACAAACAACCACAGACGCCCGCATCTGTCACGATTTGTGTTGTAGTCCTGAGAGCCTGATAGAGGGCTGTAGTAGGCGGGTTCAAGGTC